TCATATAATCAATTCCTCTTTCAAAGTAGATAAATATCTTGATGTGATATATCAAGTTGACCATGATTAAAATTATCACAAGATGTTTTAATTTTCAGTGATGCTTGATAAAATTTATAACGTACAATAGGTATGTGACCAATGATCTTTCATACCACATCAATAACAATATCCACTTTTGGTAGGTTATAAGTATTCATCCACTTCTTGATAGGTTATCCACTTCTGGTGGGCTAATGGGTTAAGGTATCTTTCTACTTTTAGTGCGTTAAAATTATTCATCTATTTGTGATAAGTTACAAGTATACATCCACTTTTGGTAGGTGATTCACACATGATGGGTTGTCCACTTTTGGTAGATTATGGACTCATTCATTTTTATAATAAAATTATCTATCCACGTCTAGTGGTAAAATTATTCTTAAATTCAAATGATAAAATATCCATCCACTTTTGGTGATAAAATAATAATTAAAATAGTGATAGTGTAAATTGTTATGGCCATCATAATTAAATGATATTGTATTCACTTCAGGGAATGTATGGATTCATGATTATGACCATAATTATTAAATGATGACGCATTCACTTCAGGGAATGAATGAATTTATAATTTTTTTTATTAGTATCTCGTTTGTCACATTCGCATCAGGGAATAACATTCATATTTTTTATTAGCAGCTCATTTGTCACATTCACTTCAAGGAATGGATATTCATGGTTTTTTTAAGTAGCTCATTTGTCACATTCACTTCAGGGAATGGACATTCATGGTTTTTCATCAATAGCTATATAATAGCAAATTCACTTTTCAATCAAAAAACAAAATCTAATGTATAATAGTAAAATTCATATTAAAATTGATTTTAAGAGAATGAAAATACTAAAAAGATATCAAATCACTTACTTGATTTTTTTTAAAATCAGAAGTCAAAAACTCAATCATTGAAATTATTTTTTTGAAGCTTGAAGGTGATGAAAACATAATAATTTTAAAATTTAAAAAATCAGAGAATCGTGCTGATAACGTGTTATGAAATAAATCTAAAAGAACAACTATAAGAGAAATATAAGAGAAAGTATTTAGAGGGAAAGAAAGTATTTAGGAGGAGAGAAGAAATCTTATTAAAGTGTGTATACAAATGAACTAAGAGAGCCTATTTATAGGTAAATAATCTCTTTACAAGATGAAGATAACACTTAGAAATTAGATAGATTATATCTTAATCTAATCTGATTTACATCAAATCTAAATATAGATAATATAAATAGATATTCACAAAAATATTCATAACAGAATTCAAAATTTGAAAAGTGAAAAGAGTTCAAAGAGTAATTTTTTGTCTTAAATTGTATTTTTATTTACCTCAATACGTGAAAGTCACCTTCCCACCTACTAAGAGATTGATATTCTCAAGATTTTGTGATAATGTAATACAAACAGTAAAACTAGATTTTCAAGAATGTACACACCAAACTCAAGAAAATGGTTCCCGTCAATAAAGTTTTCAAGAAATTGACTCATTTTCTTAATATGGAACAGCCCCTTTTAATAGTAATGGAAAATGGGATAAAACTTATAGTGAACTTTTTGATTGCATAAATAACTTGGAAGGATCATAATTTAAGTGCAAAATAATTGGATTGAATGGAGCAAAGTTTTTCAGAAGAAAATCGCATGGAAGAGAAACAGAATAAAAAAAAAACAAAAATAGCTGTAAAAGAATTAGACATTCTACCCTTCTAGTTAGAATCAAACGACATACTTTGATCAACGTAGCAGACAAATCAAGAAATCTTTTAAGGTTCTTCAATTCAAAGTTCAGAAGCTACCATTGGAATAACGTTTCTTTTATTTTTATATATAAATATATTCCCCGCTAAACACCATTCAAATGGTTAATTTATACTTTATTATTACTTGATCAAGCCAGTAAAATACTGAACATAATTGAATATTATTCAATAATTCAAGCAAAGTTTAATGGATGGAAACTGATTGTCGGTTTAAAATTGGAAAGTCTAAACTGAAAAAATCAAAAAGGAAAATCTGATTTATTTACCCATGCAGAATGTTGGAACGACTAAAGTTCACTGACATCGGCTCTCGAAGTTCTCCACGTGGCAAATCCACATACGTTGAATTTTTATTTTTGGCTTTTCTTATATTAAGACAAGTAATAAAACATGGAACCAACTGAACAAAAGACAACAAGGGAAATAATAAAGGAGAGTAACAGATTGTAGAAAGTAGACACGTTAAAAAAAGAAAAAAATATTAATAAAAATGATAAACCCTATAATGGAGTCGGATTCCTCTATAAAAGGGGCCTCGTCGATGGACGCGCTCTTCCCATTCCATTATCAGATCTCTTCTTCTCTCTTTCATCATCGTCTTTTTTTCTCTGTGTCTCTTTCTTTCATGGAACAGTTATTGAATTGAGCCTTAGTGGAGTCTTTCTATCTATCCCTTCCTTTTTCTTTCAAAACAAACAGATAAAAACAAACTCGGAATTTGTCGGATTTTCGGCCCCTTTTTGTTATTGTTTAGGTATGTTTATTGTTTAATATCTTTTCTCGTTTTGGTTATTCTTAATATCTCTGTGCTTGTATCGTCTTGATTGACTAAGCTTTGGATTCTTTGTTTTGCCCTATGGGGAACTAGAAGCGAAATGTAGAAAAAAAATTGTTTCGTTTTATTTTCAGGAAAAGTTTCTTTCAATTCCTCTCGAAACTCTATCGAGAAGCAAGTTAGAAACATGAAAAAATAATCGGTAGCTAAAATCCCATGGAAATTAGCTTGAGAATTACCCTTTCATTTTTGATTTGAGACATTGAAGAAATTAGTAGGCCAATAGTTCGCTAATCCCTCCTATCTGGTGGGAAATTTAGAAATTCAATGTTGTAGTTTCCGAAACTTAGATTTAATTTAACTTAGAGAAAAAAAAATTGTTCTTCAAACTAGTTGCTTTACTGTATTGAGTCTATTGACTTTGTTACGAGAGTTGATAATAATCCAGTTTTGGCTCGGCCATGTCTCATCGACGACGGGAGGGGTCTGTCGGTGGGGGCTGCTTGGAAGCTTCATATTTTGGTTTGAAGAGTTGTACAAGTTCAATTTTTTGCTGGGTTTCAAACTGTCAGGTTTCACCAAATTTTAACCTAATAGAGCAGAACCTGTACGATGCAGTTTGTTCTTTGATTGTTTGTGCTTCACCTAAACCGACCTGATTTCGTCTAAAACGGTAAATTTTTGTCACCAGTAGGGTCAAAATGGTAATTTGAATTGCAGCTGGAGTAAAGGGCAGTTGTCAAAAATGAGGCAATTAATGTGGTAGGGAAAACTCCAAATTAAAAAACAGGGGGTTGAAGTGGATCGGCAAAAAGATGCCGCTAACAAAGGCAAAAGTTAAGGAATACGTCATTACTCTCTCATGAGTCATGAGTGGAATTTTTTATTTTTTAACCTTTTCCTTAATGGACCTTAACCTTTTTGTAGTTTTACTTCATATCAAGATGTCATTTTCAATGGAAATATCAAGCCCTAAAACGTTTACATATGTTTAGTTCTTTATGCCTTTTTTTTGGCTCAATAGTTCTTTATGCTCTTATGCTTTAGCAAAGGATTTTGGGAAATGAAAATGAAGGATTCAACAGCACTGTTGAAGTGTTGGACTTAAAGCGTCTTAAGTGGAAACAAAACTCTCAAAGCATGTTTTCAGGGCAGAACAAAATGAGCTGGTTCATCTTAGAAAGGGACATGGAACTGCAGAAGTTCAACTGGAACCTGAGAAGTATAGATAACTAATGTTTCAATCACATTAATTCAATGTGTGGGTCCCTTAATTAGCTGTTTTTTATCCATTTGGTAGATGGGTACAAAAACTTTTGGCCCTTTTGATGAGAAAATATGAATCAAGCTAGCAGTGGGCCTTATCTGTTTGGTGTTTTTCTTTATTTTGGCCCTTCATATGTCTTCTGCATATGCAGTTGCTTGCTAGTCTTTTATGCTTCATATTTCTGTTTCTAGATTTGTTGCCTTCTTCTCTTTCTTTTCACATTTTGTCTAGTTGCTAGATTGTTGCTTATTTAGTGGATACCTGGAAATTCTATGTGCTGATCCTATTTAATTTTTCTTGTCTCAGAGGTCAAGAGTGTCCTAGTGGTTAATCTGAGTTTCTAGAACAGATCCATGGCCTGCAAGCAATACTATGCTCAGGAATGGAAGACTGTACCCAGCGCTTCGACATCTGAGAATTTAAATGGTAGCTTTGATTGCAACATTTGCTTAGACTTTGCACATGAGCCGATTGTCACTCTCTGCGGCCACCTCTACTGCTGGCCCTGCATCTATAAGTGGCTTCATGTCCAAAGTGCCTCCCTTGCTTCTGATGAGCACCCACAATGCCCAGTTTGCAAAGCTGATATATCCCATACCACCATGGTGCCGCTTTATGGTCGGGGCCAATCTGAATCTGAGCTTCAAGGCAAGGCGCTTTATAGGGGTTTGGTGATACCCCCTAGACCACCAGCCTGTGGCACCCAAGCTCTTTTATCAACTACATCCCCGAATGGTCAGCAGCTTCCTTATCGTAATCCTTATCAAAATCAAAATTACAACCCCCATGCTTACTATGAAGAAGATTCATCCTCACCGCTGCTTAACCTCGGAGGCACCACAGTGACCGGATTTCATCGTCCGGTGGTTGGGATGTTCGGAGAAATGGTATATGCAAGGGTGTTTGGAAACTCGGAAAGTTTACACACTTACCCAAACTCATATTACGTAACGGGGAGTGGAAGCCCCAGGTTGAGAAGGCATGAGATGCAAGCTGACAGGTCGCTAAATAGAATTTCAATTTTCCTCTTCTGTTGTTTTCTTTTGTGCCTCGTCGTATTTTGAGCTTCGTATTTGCCCCCTTCATTTTTGTATACTTTTGTAAAAAGAATCACGATGTAAACTTATGGTATAGTTAGATGAGATCCTATTATATGATAATTAAGCGAATCAATGCTTCACCCATCAAATTATTGCCTTATGGATCAACATCATGTTTGTGAGACGAGCCCTTTCAAGTTTCATTCATGTCGACGAGCAACCTGGCTGTGCCGATTGCTTGCAGTTCGCAACTTGTATGTAGGGTTGTTGGTAATTAAGGTATTTGTCGCACTCGGGAAATAAAGGGCAACGGGATGAGAAAGAAACCAAAAGTAAAGAAAGTACCCTTCCAACTCTTTGAGCAACCTTGCATCTCTTTCCTTATTTTCTCATTTCTCATTGTAAATTAAATTACCACAGTATTTAGTCAAAGAAAATAATGATTGAATACTGACCCTCGCTTCTGCTTAATTTCTCTTTTGACATTCTATCCAAGTGCCACTTGATTACATATCCCAAAGATTTTCCCCTACTTTGCATTAAAGAAAGAAAGAAAAAAAACGCTCTAGAATGAAAGTTTAAGGAATCTAACGTTGTTTCATTATCATTTGAACTTAGACATGTCTTTGAGATGGTAGCTTATGGACCATTAAGTTAAGTCATTAAAGTTTGTGTGTGGCATTTTCTATTATTGTGAATTTGACTATTTGTTTTTAATTTTTTATTATTCTTTACAAAAAACAAAAAATTTAGAAAAAAATATTTATCTAACAAAACATAAATTCCTTTTAAGATCTCAAAATATGTCCACTGTCTTGAACTAAAATAAAAAAAAATGTTAAACACTTGTTAAGATTAATTAAAATTTTTTCAATTAAATGAATATTTTATAAATTGATTTCGTTATTATGTAACGTTCTTCTTCAAAATTAATTAGAGAATAATAAACAAATCAATTCTCGGGTTTATTCTTTTATTGAAAATTAGTGCTCCATTTAATTGTTTTATTCTTATATGACACCAATTCTTCAGTTGTGCATTAAAAATCAATCAAAATTACCGAAAGTCACAAACGTTAAATGGTTGAGTAAAACTTTATTTAAATTACCTATTTAATGTCAAGGAGAACATGAAGGTTCATTTAATTTTTAGACTTACTCTACTTCCCCCTAACGACAATATAATTTATAGAGTTAATTTATCCAAAATTTAAACAACGTAAATATCGGGGAAATCATAATATTTTTTGTCAGCAGCTAAGTCACCACCACTTTAAGACGAGCTCACAAGTTTTCTTGAAAAGGATTGGTGAAGGGATGGCCAGGTGCGGTCGGTAGCGAAGCCTGTAGGAAAGGACCCAAGCTCCCTCCCTCCCCATCAACTGCGCCAAGGACATATCCATTGCTTACACAATACGAAAAGCTTAAGTATGTATGGACTATTCTTTAAGGTTCCCAGCTCACAGCCCACATGCAAGTCTTCAATTGGTTCACCTATCCCAATTGCAGCCAAACCCCTCTTCCCCGCCCGCCTTCAAACAATTGTGATAGTCAAAGGTGGTAAGTGCTAAGTCCTTATTGTTCAACCATAACTGAGAATTGTCTACTGATTAAGACATTGGTCCCTTTTTCTCTACTCATCCATCTTCTGTATTTTTATTTTTGCTGCAATGAAGAGCAAAAGAATTAAAATGAAAAGGGTCACCATCTAATACATTATGCTTTTAACTTTGTAACTTGTTCATTGGGGAGATAAAACCAATCATCATATGTATATATATAGAATGTCAATAACAGCTTGATACCATCTCAACAAATTTCAAACCTTCATTTGACTTTGATCTACTAAAAGAGGGCCCAAATTGGGTGGTCATGAGTGCAAGACTTTGTTGTTTACCACTACAAGCTGTGGCCATTGTCAATGTGCCTCCTTGATTTATTGAAAAAAAAAAAATTAAATATATCGGGTAAGTGAAAGTATATAAAAAGTTATCTTTTAAGGCTATTAAATATCAGATCAGTTAATTATTCATGCTGAGATTATTGAATCTACTATTTAGTAACTTCACAAATATTTTTCAATAGCATTTTATACATTCTGAGTAATTATTTTCTATGTTACTGAAATTTTGTACGCTTATTTAATATTTGTAATCAACAAATAGTTTATTCGACTTTTTTTATGTGTCAACCGAATAAATTAATTTTTCAGAAAAATACTTAGTTGAAAGACTTGAAAAGTTCAATATAACAAATAAAATAAACTCAAATGACGAGCAACAATCCATAAAATGGGATTTCCAGAATCTTCGATAAGGTCCAAAGACTTGAAGAACTGAGTCAGTGGAGATCCAATCTCCATTATTACACTGTTTTGATATAATTATTTTTTAATTGCATTTGTAATTTTTTGCCAAAAATTCATTTTTATGAATTGACTCATTCTCCGAACCATATGATCCGTGACTCAATTCCCATCTCTCAATGTGCTTGTCTTTGGTTTGGTTAATCCAAAACTCAACCAAATTTTCAAAGATAGAAAAAACAAATAATTTTTTTTTGACTTCGTTTCTTCCGCCACATGATCTTTGATTATGGTAGGGACATGTCTAACCGACTGAATTATGGGTCATTACCATGTGTTTATGTCCCGATCATGCCATTGTCGAATAGTCCGTTAACAATTCAAATTTATTTTTAAACAATAAGAAACTTTTTTTTAAAAAAAAAATACTTTTGCTCAGTTAACATATTTCGACAAGATTTGATTGGATCAAAGGAAAAAGAAAGAGGATGATATGATTTTTTAAGACATATGTAGATAAGATCTACTAAAATAAAAAAGTAGAATGCTGTTTTGATTTTTCCAAGATTTAAAGTGGAAGCATTTTGTTTATTTATGAATACTTTTGGTTAAGTTGTCGAGAAAAGCGAATCTCCTTATGAATATGAGATTGCGGTGATCATTCCTCTTAAGGAATCGTGGGTTCTTTTGCTTTGCTTGTTTCCGAATCAAAGTTTTGCTTTGGAAAAAGCATATTGGACAGCAGTACTTCTAGATCAACTTTAATGAAAATTACTATTAAGTGTGGTCGATAAAAAAAATTTAAATTTGTATTTAATATATTGTTAGTGTATAATATTTATATATTATATTTAATCACAGAATATCTTCTTATAAATGTGAAGGCTTTAATTTTTAAATTTATTTATTAACAAAATAATAATATTTAATTCATTATGTAGTGAGAATAGTCCTTACAAATGGATAAATGTAAGTTGAGAAAAGGAAAGATGGCAAGAGAAGTTTCTTGCTAAGTGCTTGCTGAAGTAACCCACTTTAGTTATTTTATGCCGATTTATTCTTTATTTCACCTTTTTCATGTTACAATTTGGGACACTTTGGAAATCCAACAGCAACAACGCGCATGGATAATTGAAAGAGGAAAAAGAGAATAAAAACTCTAAAGATAAAGACAAAAACAAGCTCTGGATGGAGAAGTGACTGGTCCTGGCATTAATTTATGGGGGTTCCTTTCATTGGTTAATGGGCGAAAAGGGTGGCCGAAAGCACTAAAGCCCGCTTCCACTTTGCATTAAGAGTTGGGAAACTTCATCAACTTTTTTTGCATTTTGTTATTAAATTTCTCCATTTAACAGAAACAAAAAATGTGAATGGTGTGTTTGGTGAGATAGAAAAGACTGAAAAGAATAAATTAAAGAGAAAAACGAAACAAAAGAAATAGAAATGCTTTCTTATTTTCTTTGATATTTTCCTTCCCTTTCATTTTCTTTTCCTTTCTTACTGATATAAGTGCATGGGAAAATTGTCAAACGACAATGGCTCCTAAGTGGCTGATGAATCTTTTATTTATCTTGTTGATTGTTTATAGATGGAAGACGACAGAATTTATGGGCCTGAGCTGCGTAGCATCTGACTGGATTGATCTTAGATGAGCTTAGCCCAATTTCATAGTGAGCTAACCATTGTTGAATTTTCATGGCTTCAGATTGAAGTAAAAGCCTATTAGATAAAAGGTTTGAGAAGAAGTGGAGTCCGAATGGTTCCAAAGCTAAGAAAGAGGCACATGATTTCATTTCCTAAACTGATAAAGGATTCAGTAAATGGGCTTCTTCATCATTCCTTTGCATCCTAGAATTCAGATGATATGTTCATAACTGATGGGAAGTAAAAGATTTGACTCCATTTCATTCCAAATGTTCTTCATACTCAATCCCAAAGGCTTCCTCTGTCTCAAGCAAATGCAAAAAGGTTGTAACTTTCTACCCTGTATATGATTCAGCAATATGCTATGACCAACAGCTTCAGAGGAAAGACCTTCAACCTTCAGTTGATTTATGAATTCATCAGCTCGTTCGATGTCTCCTTTCCCTTCCAAATATTTTAAATAGGTAGCCAAAGTCTCTTTGCTAGGCTTCCTTCCAGCTCCAGGTAGGCACACTGAGCTTTCTTCATTGCTTCCATGGCCTTTAGGAATTTGATTGTCTTCAAGATACCCACTTGCCAAAGAGCACCATCCACCAACCAAAATTTTCAGCCCCTTTTGCCTGTGCATGGTCCATGAGTGATTCAGCCTTACCTAGAAGACCCTTTTGGAAAGACACATCGATTAGTAATTTAGGAATACGGGTATCATAGGACAGCTTTTAGGAATGCCACTCAAAAATCTTCTTAGCACCTTCAACTTGATCAAGCTTCAAAAGTGCACTTACCAGGGTTTTATACCCCTTGTTATAGATTATGCCCATTTCCTTGTAACGATTCCAGATGCGGTAGATCTCATCTTATTCACCAATATCTGCATACAATTTGAGGAGGATATCAAAAGCATCATTCCTTCTTTGAAAGTTATCAGTCCCTCACATTTTTTCAGCATCCCTGTTGCCTTGTCTACTAGCCCAACCTTGAAGCACCCTTGTGCTGCAGCAGAATACGTATCCCAATCCAGAGCTGTTTGTGGACTGGTTTCCACCTTTTCCAGGATCTTATCTATTCCCTCAACATCATAAGCAGCTGCATATGCAAGAGAGGCGGATGCAAAAAGTATATTGGTCGTAACGGATCCCATTCACCTCCATTTCAAGCATAAGGGCATCTAATTTCGAATAATTCAGTATGGTAATAGAGACCCAATAAAATATTGTAACATAGTATGTCGGTAAAACCCATTTCTCTCATCTTCTGCATAAGAATCTCTGCTTTCTCCACGGAATTTTCATGGGCATAGCAGTTGAGAAGAGCAAAATGAGCCTGAAAACCTTTCAATCGTTTAGAAATGCTGCAAAAAAAATTCTCCACCTGCTCAAGACCATGGACTTTCCGCATCAGGTTCAGCCGGTCAGCAACATCACTAGTTGAAAGAGGAATATAAATTCAGTCAGTCATCCAGTGAGATATCTGATAAATGATTTAGAGGGAAAGAATCAGGAAAAACTGAGAATATCACTTGTAAGAATGAGGTAGTTGAGGCTTCCAGGGTGACAAAGTATCATATTGCATATACTGATATGCGTAGCTAGCAATGTAGCACTACTTCTCTCAACTTTCTAAGAAAACTTAAAAGAACTTGAGCATTTGTTCATATGGAAGAGGTCTTGATTTTCTGTATTTCTAACTGCACAACTCCGGTTCTTCCCATTTCTCCATCTTCTCAGCAAGACAGCCACCAAAAAGCATTGATTTATTCAAAAGGTTGAGAATTTAGAAAATGCCCACAGGCAACAACTATCTTTAGATAAATTAATCAGAATAAGGCCAATGCTAGTTTATATCCACGAGGAAATAAACTACGTAACTCACAACCAAGCTGCTTTATTAATTGGTGTTCTGCAAGTTCTACAACTCCAAAGGCCAGAACAAAATGTGCTCATCATCTCACACTTAGTTTTTGCTTCTGGTTTCTACCGAATTCACCATGCTAAAGCATAGAATTTTGCATCCTGTTCAAGCATAAATCAATACTTAAACAAGGAACTAGAATATTTTGGCCAGCAATTTGGCTTTTATCAACATAATTCCATCGGGATTACTACAGCTATGTTACTGAAGTAAAGGACTTTTAAAGTAAAATTGATTCCATCACGTCATTGTTGCAACACATTTGCTTGAAACAGCAACATTAATTCTGAATGAAATAACAAAGGGTAATTATCAATTGAAAACTTGTGCTTACCGGCAATAGAGACACTACTTGTACAATCAAATTCAATCAATTTAAAAGAAAAATGTCACTGACCCTTTAGCTTCGATTACCAGAAAAACCAGGAAAAGTGCAAAACATTCATGCAACTAACGACATTCCATTGTCAAAGATGCAGCGATCCAAATTAGACAACATCAGTAAGAAGCGAAAGAATACAAAAATTTGTAGCTTATAGAGAGACATCAAGGGCATCCTTGAAACGATTTTGCTCCTTCCGCCGTTTTATCATAGCTTGAAGCTCAGTTTTCTCAACCTTCCTGCCTTGCGGGAACCATTGATCCAGAGCTGGCACCACTGAGATTGTGGAGTGAACAGTGGTGATGAAGAAGGATTTGTAAAAGAAGGTCAAATGTTGCTGCCCAGGATCGAACTGGGGACCTTCAGTGTGTAAGACTGACGTGATAACCACTACACCACAGCAACTGGTTGACCCCAAGGCTACTTTTTAATTTATTTCAGGAAAATGTATTTCCACACTCAAATTTGTGTCGAGCGTTTTAAGAAAAAGTAAATGGAAATCTCACATAGAATGAGATGCTATACATTTCATTAAGTTTTTTTTTTTTTAAGTATGATCTTGTGATAAAGTAATATTAAAATAAATTTAATTTAGATTCAATTTATTTTTAAGTATCTTTATAGAGAAGGTAGCTAAAGTGGCTAATATCAATGAAAACATTTTGAGATTAAATGAGAAAGAATATCATGTAAAGTGTTTCAAAAGAAGAATGGGCACTAAAGGGTAATGACATGTGAAATTTGCACTTAGTTAACACTCTTTGCTAGATGCATTTCACCTAAACACCCACTTAACCAATCATGATTATTGATTCAGCAGCAAGTAAAGCATAGTTTTAAGTCAACGAGAGATATCTTTCTTGTAACTAATCCAAATTATTAAAAAAGTGTATCTACATTATTGGAATATGTTTAAGTACTAAGTAAGCTTTCATATCATAAGCCTTCCAAATGATTACAGGAAAATTGAAAGTAAAATAACAGAAGGATAACTCTTGAGACCCAAGGCGTATTTAAAAAGATAATAATATTGTACTTAAAAAAAAAACCATCTCGTCAACATCCTTGGTTCCAAATTCGAACATCATACTATTCATTTCCGGGCCGTGATGGCTAGTATATCCTAGAGGGAACAATAGACTTAGAAAATATTGAAAAGTTGGATACACCTTTACGGCTCTATTAGAAGAAGCGTAAAAGGGTAGAGACTGCAGATTAGACACAGAAGAAGTGGTTTCTTGCAGGCACATTGTCTCAATGCTCTATAGGTAAACACACGTAACCTCTATTTAGCAGTCAAATCAAGTTTGCCACCAACTCTGGGACATTCTTTGCATTTCTATAATAATAATAATAATATTATTATTATTATTATTATTATTATTATCCTCCACCAGCCCAAAAATAGCACTAATCACTCACGAAATCACAACCCTTTCTAGTCTTTAAGCAATTAATTATGAATTAACCTTTAAATCACATATGTCACTTCCCTAGTCTCAACCTTCTGTGAATGTTGAAGAAGTTTAAGTATCTTGACAATCTAAAGTTTTAGTGATTCAAAGGAAGTGGATAGAGTGATCATTGATGCAGCAAGATATAAAGTTACATCATGTGACAAGATTATATCTTTTTTTTCAGAATACAGCAGGGAAGGTGTTGAAGTTTTCCAGACCCTTACAAATTAGTCAGAATTCGCGGCCATTCCTTGATTTTCAACCTGTCGGGGGAGACTGATGTGAAAGCTGGGTCGCACTAGGGCATCTGTATTCTATGCACCCAAACCCTGATTCTGCAACTTGTGTTTGTGCTGAAACATTTACTTTCTCTGTCAACGACCTTCCTCAGTAAATACAGATCCCCTTAATGCGGTAAATTACTTCTGCATCCGGGCTTGTTTGGTTCCTACAAATGAAGGACTAGAACCTATGCTTAAGTTATGATACAGTGAGGAATGAACAGAAAAGAACACGAAGAAAAAAGAAACTTAAATTAGCCCCTAATTAGAAGGTAACGCTGACTACAAATCAATAACAATATTCAATGCGATGAAAAACGTTTGCACTGGTCTTGGAGTTTCACAGAAATCATACGATCAAATAGTCAAGTTTTGACCATAGCTTACTTAATTACATTCATTTGCAGAGAAAAACACTGCCACTTTGCTGACTTCCCAATTCCAAATGGCTGAAACTTCTATCTTCTGTGTGGCATAATATAATATCGCCTCTTCCTTTGGCTTTGCCTAATAATAAGTTTAAATAAACTGTTCGTTATGGAAATATTCATGTCTTTTCCATTTCAACCAGGACCCGTGAGAAAGTTGCACTATTTAATTCAAAAGCCAAAAAGAAATAACAAAAGAAATCTAATAAAGATCACTAAAGAAAGTACAAGAAAGTAGAAAAAGAAACAGACCACCTTCCACGGCACTAGTAGTTTCCAAGAGGCTGGCATACAAAACCAGGAGAAAGGTGTGGAATAAGGAACCTGCTATTTGGGTACCACTGATTGAAAGACAAAAAGGGAAAGAAATTTCTTGAAGATCCTGAACTAGGAATGAGCAAGATTACTACTTCAAGCTTGTCTCCGAGGACCAAAGGCGCTGCTCCATTCTTGTGGAAGACTTATGCTTTGTTAGAGGAAGGTGAAGAAGGTGCAGAAACTGCGGATCATAGCAAGAAAATCGTTTCGTGGAATGCTGAAGGAACCGGGTTCGTGGTCTGGTCGCCTGCTGAGTTCTCAGAGCTCACCTTGCCTAGATATTTCAAGCACAACAATTTTTCCAGCTTCATTCGCCAACTTAACACATATGTGAGTGGCTATAGCCCTGCTATAATTTGCTCTACACCTTTTTTCTAAGCCAAATTCTTTTGCGTTAACATGATTTGCTGGTTGCGCCATTACAAAAACCAAACCGCCTTTGAACATGATATGCTTGCATCCCATGCTGAAGAAACACCTCATTGTACGTTTGTTTTCCTGCCTATGGTTTTTCCATAGATTTTATTCTGATTCAAGATTGTTAGGTTACGTTTGTTTTCCTGCCCATGGTTTTTCCATAGATTTTATTCTGATTCAAGACTGTTAGTTGATCGGTCTTTCCATGAATAGTCAAAAAGCTGAGTTCCGTTGCCGGGACTTGAACCCGGGTCTCTCGGGTGAGAGCCGAGTATCCTAACCAACTAGACTACAACGGATTGTTGGGAATCATGCTTCATGCCTATCAACTGGGATGTATCGAGCCTAGACCTAAACTACAATAATAATGGTGTTTGTAAATTCCTTCCACCACCCTAAGTCAAAATAAGGAAAAAAAAATTAGCACAAATTTTGGGGTCAAAATCTGGAGGGTTTTGGTAAAAGTCAGAACGATCACACTCAGGTATTCTTCCATTCTAGTAACTTGAATAGAGTTGGATTACTCTGATGTCTATTGGTTTGTTAGAAATTAGTCAAATCCGGCCTGTTGGAAAAATATTGCCTTAGCTGTTATATTTTCTGAATGCTCAATGATGAGACTGAAGCATGGCTTCCATAGGTTTATCCTGATTGAAATGTTATAACTTTGGCTGTCTATTTACATGGTTTGCTTTCAGAACCTCTCTTGTGGCTTGCAAGATGATGCAAATTTCTTTGAAAATAGCATGAAAAAGTTTTTTAGTAAAATCGGGATTGTTTTGTATTATGATTTTGTTGAATAGATATAAAATTATTACCTTTTTTTTATTCTTTTCACATATAAAGATTATTTTTTTATTCTTTTATATATAAAGATTAGAGATTTATTACGTGACATGAATTACAAAAAAAAATAAATTTAAAACTAATTTTGATTACACATCGAATTTAACAAATGTGAGACTATCATCATCCCTCTAATCCTTTGTTCTCCAATTTTGAAGCAGGGGTTTAAGAAAACATCATCCAAAAGATGGGAGTTCAAGCATGAGAAGTTCCAGAGGGGTTGTAAGCATCTGCTAGTGGAGATAACAAGGAAGAAAACGGAGCCGAGCGTGTTCCCTGCCTTCCTGAAGGCTTCTGATGAAGACAACGCCAACCATGTTGAGGAGAACAGTTGCCAAACACTCTTGGAGGAGAACGAAATTCTAAGGAGAGAGAAGGAGGAATTGCAGACCCAAATAGCCCAATTCAAAGCTCTAGAGATTAAGTTGTTGGATTGCCTCGCTCAACACATGGGAAATACCAATCACAAAGAAAGGAGGTTGTGCTAGCTAGCACTAGGTGGACGACCTTGGTCTCTCTTCTTAATTCCCTTTGTAATTCCTCCTCGTCTTTCCCTTGTAGCCAAAGGGTTATGTTGGGTGCTTGAGAAAATGAACATAAGAAAGAAAGAAAAATGGTTTCATTGTTAGCCTAAGGTCATGGAAGCTATGGAAACATACTTTCATTTGATTTCCTCACTGCATTTTAGATTAACACATACCATTAAGCAAGTACCAGTTTCTCAAATTAATGCGCTTCTTCATCTATGTATTATGTGATATATCAATTACTTATAAATAATCTCTCTAATTACATGTTAAAAATTAATCTCTCGAGTTAAAAAAAATATGAATATAAATATATAACTAAATCATATACCTAATTCAATAATAAAATTTTGGATTACGTCGGTCAAAATTTCATAAATAAATTATTATTACTACTAATTAAGTTAAAATTCAACCCTATAAAAAAAAAAGTCTTTTATGTAAATGATCCAGTGGTCAACAACTTAATTGATGGTGTGGAATCAAGGTTATCACTCGTAATGGGCCCTACTTGAAAAGCCCGTTTCAGCAAAATCCAACATCTTATCTTTTTGTCGGACAAGGCCCAAATAGGCCAATTTGCTAAACCCATTCCTCTTAAGCCCTACACGAAAGATCAGGTGGCCAAAACCCTCCCGTTTCATTTCATTGCTCACCACCCCCCAAATGTCCCAGCAGGGGAACCTCGAACAATCTTATGAACCATGAACTCGACAAGGCTGTTGACAAAGAACCTAATCCAAAATGGGATAGTTAGCAGATTTTATTATACGAATAGGGTCAACAAAGCCACGTTATATTCCAGAATCAGCCCTTTGGGGAGCCCTGACAAAAGCGTCGAGCCTGAGCTTGAAGACTGGCTCAAAAATGGAAAGAAAATTCGAGTCGCTGAGCTTCAACGCATCATTCACGATCTTCGCAAACGAAAGCGCTTTACTCAGGCTCTTGAGGTTTGGGCTCTTTTTTTTTTTTCTTTAATCTTGTAACCTTGTTTCGAGTTTCATTTAGTGTCGTTCTCCCTTTTCTTTCTGTTATATATTTTGGACTAATTTATTGAAAATTTGTATTTGAAACACTTATTATTAGAGTGGTTTTCATGATTTGACTAGAATTTTACCATGGGATGTTGTTCAATTTGATTATTTGACTAATATGTTACTAAAGTTGGGAAATCGTTGGCTTGAAATAATATCGAAATTTCTAAGCTGAAGTAATGGAGTTGATTGAGCAAAATCCGGGGCTTCATTTTGTTGGAGTCAACTTTTTGAAACTAGAGTCAGTATTTGACAGGAATTATAAACATAGCAAATAGGAGACTACAGATTTCAACTTTAGAAGAATGGAATTTAAGCAAAACTTTTGTTGTTGTCGGATGCTTTACAGTGTTGCTTAAAGTGGAGATGGTAATATTAATGTGAACTGTACTCAAACCTGCATAGGCGCATATATGAACTTTTTACCATAAGGTTGTTTGTGGCAAGCAGCTGGATGTTTAAATTGTTCGATACTGGCTTTTTAATTCGTAGCGGACAAATACATATTGGCATGAAAATTTCCTGTAAAGAATTGTGATTTTGGTTTGTAATTTAATGTTCCAATGATCAGATCATGGCTAACTTTGTTTGTAATCTGTTACTTTTAAATGTCTAATGAGTCCAGGTGTCTGAATGGATGAATAAGAAGGGTATTTGTGTCTTTTCACCTACGGAACATGCGGTGCAGTTGGATCTCATTGGTAGAGTTCGTGGATTTCTTTCTGCAGAAAGCTATTTTGATAGTTTGAAGGACCAAGATAAAACTGATAAGACATATGGTGCTCTTCTGAATTGTTATGTGAGGCAGCGCCAGACAGACAAGTCCCTCTCTCACTTGCAGAAAATGAAGGAGTTGGGTTTTACCTCATCACCTCTTACTTACAATGATATCATGGGCCTCTACACAAATATCGGACAGCATGAGAAGGTACCTGATGTAATGAGGGAGATGAAAGAGAACAAAGTCTCCCCTGACAACTTCAGTTACAGAATCTGCATCAATGCCTATGGTGTAATGTCTGATCTCGAGGGAATGGAAAGAATTTTGAAGGAGATGGAGAGTCAATCTCACATTAAGATGGATTGGAACACATACGCCATTGTAGCCAATTTTTACATAAAAGCAGGTCTCACTGAAAGGGCAATCGATGCTCTAAAAAAATCAGAACAGAAGCTAGATAATAAAGATGGAACTGCATACAATCATCTAATATCACTATATGCAAGCTTGGGGAATAAAGCTGAGGTCTTGAGATTATGGGGTCTAGAGAAAGCTTCTTGTAAAAGGTATATAAACAAGGACTTTATTACTATGGTGCAGTCTCTTGTGAAGCTTGATGCATTTGAAGAAGCTGAGAAGGTACTCAAGGAGTGGGCATCATCTGGCAACTGTTATGATTTTCGGGTACCAAATATCGTCATTGTTGGCTATGCTGAAAAGGGTCTACATGAAAAATCTGAAGCAATGCTTGAAAACCTGATGGAAAAAGGTAAGGTTACCACCCCTAACAGTTGGGGTGTTGTGGCTGCAGGTTACCGAGATAAAGGCCAGGTGAGAAAGGCTTTGGAGTGTATGAAAACTGCCCTATTTTTAACTGTGGAGAATAAGGGGTGGAGACCCAACCTTAGGGTGATTACAAGCATCTTGGATTGGCTAGGTAATGAAGGCTGTATTCAAGATGCGGAAGATTTCGTGGCCTCATTGAGGACAGTCATTCCAGTTGACCGGAAAATGTATCATGTCTTGTTAAAGGCAACTATTAGAGATGGTAAAAGAGTCGATAAACTTTTGGACCTCATGAAAGCTGATAAAATAGATGAAGATGAAGAAACAAAAACAATATTGGGCATGAAGTCCAGCTAAATTTAATACCGTAGGTACTTGTCATTCATGTTATTCCATCTGCTGGATATAGTTGTTGTTCAGAATCAGAATGTACTTTCTTTTTGTTTGTTAATTTGCATCAACGATCGATGTGAATTTTTTGTTCTGAATTGTTTAGCATGAGTAGTCAACTTGTCAGTTGTCATCCATGAAAGGATCACATCTCAATGATGAACTTTTATCAATTGTAGCAAGGCTCAAAGAAGCAAATTGTTTCATTACATGAAGTACTACTAATCACAACTCACAAAAACAGAAGTAATGGGAGTTTGATAAGCTCGCCTTTGTCATAAAGTTGAGGAAAGGTCAGCCAGTTCGAGAAATCTTTCAATCCCTGTCTCACTTCCTCATAAGCTAATATATAAAATCAATTTTGATTATAAATCGAATTCAATAAATGTGAGACTATCGTCACTCTAATCCTTTGTTCATGTTTATAACCCTTCAATTTTGAAGCAGGGAAACATCATCGAAAAGATGGGAGTTCAAGCATGAGAAGTTCCAGAGGGGTTGTAAGCATATGCTAGTGGAGATAACAGGGAAGCAAACGGAAAACGAGTGTGTTCCCTGCTTTCCTGAAGGCTTCTGACCAAGACAACGCCAACCATGTTGAGGAGAACAGTCGCCAAACACTCTCGGAGGAGAACGAATTTCTAAGGAGAGAGAAGGTGGATTTGCAGACCCAAATAGCCCAATTCAAAGCTCTAGAGATCAAGTTGTTGGATTGCTTCGCTCAACACAAGGGAAATAACATTCACAAAGAAAGGAGGTTGTGCTAGCTAGCTCTAGGTGGACGACCCTGGCCTTTCTTCTTAATTCCCTTGTAATTCCTCCTCTTCTTCCCCTTGTAGCCAAAGGGTTATGTTGGGTGCTTGAGAAAATGAACATAAGAAAAAAAAATGGTTTCATTGTAGCCTACATGGAACTTATGGGAGCATACTTTCATTTGATTTCCTCATTGCCTTATAGATTAACACATATCATTCGCAAGTGCCAGCTTCTCAAATTAATTTACTTTTTCATCTATGTATTGTATTATATGATATATTAATTATCTATAAATAATTTCTCCAATTATGTATTAAAAATTAATCTCACGGATATAAATATGTAACTAAATCATTTACGTAATTTAATAATAAAATTTCGGATTACTTTATTCAAAATTTCATAAATAAATTATTATTAAGTTAAATTCAACCCTATGAATCAGTCTTTTATGTAAATTATCCGATGGTCAACAACTTAATAGATGGTGTTGAATCAAGGTTACCACTCGTAATTGGCCCAAGTTGAAAAGCCCATTTCAGCTAAAAATTCCAACATCTTATCTAAGTCGGACAAGGCCCAACGAGCCTAATTTGCTAAACCATTTCTCTTAAACCCGACACACTTTCAAATCGTTTCTTCCCCAACCCCACCCCACTCTCCCGCCCCCGCCCGCCCCCCGATTCCAGCTGGAGAACCTCGAACAATCTTGTGAACCATGCACTCGATGAACCTGTTGTCAAAGAACCTAATTCAAAATGGGACAGTTAGCAGATTTTATTGTACAAAGCCCCGCTATTTTTGGGCTGCTATGACAAAACCATAAAAGAAGAGCTTGATGACTTGCTCCGAACTGAAACGAAAATTGGAGTCGGGGAGCTTCAACTGCCCGCTCTGCATCTTTGCAAAGGAAAGAGCCCTACTAGGGATCTTGAGGTTTGGGCTTTTTGTTTTTTAATCTTTGTTTCGAGTTTCATTTAGTGTCATTTTCCCTTTTCTTTCTGTTATATATTTCAGACTAAATGATTGAAAATTTGTATTTGAAACCCTTTTTAATTAGAGTGATTTTCATGATTTGACTAGAATTTTATCAGGGGTTGTTGTTGAATTTGATTATTGGACTAATATGTTACTGATGTAATGGAGATGATTTGAGCAAAATCCGGGGGTTTATTTTGGTGGAGTCAACTTTTGAAGCTAGAGTCAGTGTTTGACTGGAATCATAAACCTAGCAAATAGGAGAGTAACGATTTCAATTTTAGAAGAATGGAATTTAAGCCAAATTTTTATTCTTGTCGGATGCTCTACATTGATGCTTAAGGTGGAGATGGTAACACTAATGTTAACCGTACTTAAACTTGCACAGGCGCATATATAAACCTGTTACCATAAGGCTGTTTGTTGCAAGTAGCTGGATGTTTAAATTGTTTGATACCCAGTTTTCTAATTTCTAGTGGACAAATGCATATTGGCATGAAAATTTCCTGTAAAGCATTGTGATTTTAGTTCATAATTGAATGTTCAAATGATCAGATCATGGCTAATTTTGTTTATAATCTGTTACTTCCTGATGTCTAATTAATGACTCCTGGTTTTTGAATGGATGAATGAGAAGGGTGTTCGTGCTTTAACACCTGCTGGACATGCCACGTTGTTGAGTCTCATTGGTAGAGCTCGTGGGTTTCTTTCTGCAGAAAGCTATTTTGATAATTTGAAGGATGGAGATTAAACTTATATGACATATGTTGCTCTTCTGTACTGTTATGTGGAGCACAGCCAGACAGACAAGTCCCTCTCTCACTTTCAGAAAATGAAGGAGTTGGGTATTGCCTCCTCACCTCTTACTTACAATAATATCATGTGCCTTTACACAAATATCAGACAGCATGAGAAGGTAGCTGATGTAATGAGAGAGACGAAAGAGAACAAAGTCTCCCCTGACTACTTCAGCTACAGACTTTGCATCATTTCCTATGGCGTAAGGTCTGATCTTGAGGGAATGGAAAGAATTTTGAAGGAGATGCGGAGTCAAAAAAACATTAACATGGATTGGAAGATATATGCCAATGTTGCCCATTTTTACATAAAAGCAGGTCTCACTGGAAGGGCAATTGATGCTCTTAAAAATCAGAACAGAAGCTAGGTAATAAAGTTGGAACTGCATGCAGTCATCTAATATCACTATATGCAAGATTGGGAAATAAAGCTGAGCTCTTGAGAGTATGGAGTCTAAAGAAAGCTTTTAGTATAATGTATACAAACATGAACTCTATTACTAGGCACAACGCGTATAGAAACATGGTTGCTACTATGCACGAAAGACTTATGGAGCTTGATTCATACGAAGAAGCTCCGGAAGTATGGGACGAGATGCTATCATGTGGCACCAAGGACTTTATTACTATGCTCCAAACTCTTGTGGAGCTCGATGCGTTTGAAGAAGCTGAGAAAGTACTCGAGGATTGGGAATCATTTGGCAGCTGTCATGATTTTCAGGTACCAAATATCGTCATTTTTGGCTATGCTGCAAGAGGGTCTACATGAAAAGTCAGAAGCAATACTTGAAAACCTGATGGAAAAAGGTAAGGCTACCTCTGGTCACAGTTGGGGCGTTGTGGCTGCAGGTTACCTAGATAAAGGTAAGGTGAAAAAAGCTTTGGAGTGTATGAGAACTGCGTTATCTACCCCTTCGGTTTGGGATCCGTGGAGACCTGACCTTAGGGTGATTTCAAGCATCTTGGATTGGATAGGAGATGAAGGCAGTATTCAAGATAATAACCCCTTCGGTTTGGGATCCGTGGAGACCTGACCTTAGGGTGATTTCAAGCATCTTGGATTGGATAGGAGATGAAGGCAGTATTCAAGATGCGGAAGATTTCGTTGCGTCGTTGAGGAAAGTCATTCCAGTTAACCGGAAAATGTATCATGCCTTGTTAAGGTCAACTATTAGAGATGGTAAAAGTGTGGATGAGCTTTTGGACCTCATGAAAGCTGATGGAATCGATGAAGACCAAGAAACAAAAACAATATTGGCCATGAAGTCCGGCTAAATTTAATAACTTAGTTGCATATCATTCATGTTATTCCATCTGCTGGGCATAGTTGTTGTTCACAATCAGAATGTACTTTCTTTTGTTTGTTAATTTGCTTCAACGATTGATGTGAATTTTTTGTTCTGAATCGTTTAGCATGAGGTAGTCAACTTGTCAATTGTCATCCAAGAAAGGATCACATCTCAATACTGAACTTTTATCAATTATAGCAAGGCTCAAAGAAGCAAATTGTGCTATAACAGGAAGTACACTTGATCATAACTCACGACAACATTAGTAATGGGAGTTTGAAGACAAAAACTAAAACCAGAAAAATCGTTTTGAAGTAATGTCAATTGACACACATTCAACTTGGACGACTGAAATTGAAGCCAAGGTTTGTAAGGTTTGTCCCAATATCTTATTTTAACAAATCAACGCACCCTACTCAGACAGTGTAGCTTTCAGCTCACCATTGTTTCGCAGCTCCAGGACAATATCACAACCTCCTATAAGCTCACCTTTGTAATAAAGTTGAGGAAAGGTCGGCCAGTTTGAGAAGACTTTCAATCCCTGTCTCACTTCCTCATCAGTTAATATATCAAATGACCCAAAAGTCGCACCTTCCTCCCTCAGGGCATTGACAACTTTAGAGCTAAAACCACATCTTGGAGCATCAGGGGTACCCTTCATGAAGAGCATCACCGGTGAAGATGAGATCAAACTTCTTACAAGGTCCTCTATACTCTCTTTCTTAGTGATGCCTTTCTCAGCTAAAACCCTTTTAAGTTCCCCACTTTTCTGCATCTCTAACAGAATGTCTGATCCACCAATAAGTTCACCTTTAATATACAATTGGGGGTAACTAGACCAATTTGAGAAAACTTTCAGCCCTTGCCGAACTTCATCATCTGATAGTACGTCAAAACTCTTAAAATCAACCTTCTCATGTTCAAGGATTTCAACTACCTTGTGGCTGAAGCCACACTTGGGCTCATCAGGCTTTCCCTTCATAAACAGCATAACTGGGCTTGAATTAATCAAGCTTTGCATGCGTGAAGCTAAGTTTGTACTCAATCCAGAGGGTGCTGAGATGCCACCGGTTCCCTGTTCAGTCCCACTAACATCAACTCCATGATCTCTGAAAACTTCTTTCAGCTCACCACTCTCATGCATGGCAATTGCTATGTCACACCCACCAAGAAGTTCTCCTTTGCAATAGATTTGAGGAAATGTTGGCCAGTTAGAGAACTTCTTAAAACCCTCACGAATTTCATTGTCGGATAAAATATCGAATGTTCCAAATTTGACCCTTTCATCCTTCAAAATGTCAACAACTTTTCTGCTAAAACCACACTTTGGTTCCTCAGGGCTTCCTTTCATGAATAGCATTACCGGATGAGAGTCGATCAGCTGCTGCAGTCGCGTTTTAAGTGTATCACTGAGGCCAGGTTGCACTTGATTTCCGATCTGGGATGAGCCATTTTCCTTTGCCAAATCTTGGACTGTCTCAAGGACAGTGGGTCCAGCAGCCATCCCAAGACTAGCAGGAGCTGCAGCTTCTCCAGGGTTAATTGACCCAGCAACCTTGGCAACTTTGTTGGCCAGACTGGATGGATCTGCACCCTCCAATTTATCAACAACCTTACCATCCTGACAGGAAAAATGGATTCAGTACGGTAACAACTTCAGACAAAAAAAAGGATTTTTTCTTAACTTCAGAAATAACATCAAAAGTCAAGAAAGAGAACTAATGAAACAAATAATTTATGGGATGTTTGCAAAAGCTTCAGAGACACTCATAACAGGCAAAGATACTAAACACAGTAACAAGCAGTTAAAACACAAGATAAAATCTAGCAAGCTCATACTGCTGAGAAATTTTAACTAGCAAAATAGAATACTAATCAATATGAACCCAGCAACAGGAAAATAAAACTTACAGCAAATTATCAAGCACAATATTATAAGAACAAGGAAAAGGGCATAATTAGATAGGCGAGCCCAAACAGTGGTAACTGGAAAATTTATTGCTTTTATTGAAGGCAGAAGAGAGAGGTCAAAGGTAAATCCAGTAAAATGCCTAACAAGCCACCTTTTTTCACCCTTCAAGTACTGGCAAGACAATCTTAGAGTGCATGTTACATCTCTTAAAGCCCTTCTCTACCATTCATTCTTTCCCCTCACCATTTCATCTCCGACATTCCAGGTTTCCAATTATGACAAGCTACAGTATACATATTTATGATCATAAATTTTCTTCCCATGGTCCATAGCAGTGAATGATCTAACTATGTATAGAAAGTCTTCCTTCGTACCACATGCCAGACTCCTAGCCTATATATCTCCAGCATAAAAACATACAGCTAATGATAATTTCCCAACCAATTTATTGACAAAATAAGTATCAGTTTGCAATATTTCACATAATTTTTCCCTCTTTTCCCCTACTAATTTCGGGCATGTCATGAAATTGACTTCCGTGCTAGGATATAAAAACATGCAGCTAGCAAGTCAGGGAACACAACATTATAGATGTGAAAGCAACAATATTCAATCATCATAAATCAACACCACAGAAAATACTCTTTAAGGCTACTCATCTATATGTATATAGACTCAATAAAATTCAAACGAATAGGAATAGCCTAGTTAATCAAAATATTACAAAAAAAAGAGTAAACTTTTCAAGATGATTAGTACGTTCATAGTTAAATTTGATACCTTTATACAATCGTTTGAACAAATTTAATCCTACCATTTACAGGACACTGAAAAGGAACAGAATACCATAAAAAGATTTACCTTAAAGAAGACAAAGAAAGGCACAGAAGAAACCGAGTATTCCTCAGATATCTGAGGTTGTTCTTCTGCTTCTACCTGCAACCAATCAAATATTTAAAAAAAAAATTATTTAAAACAAAAAATTCCATATTTGAGGGATGAGATGAAGAGAACCCTAAGAAAGTGGGCGTTGGGGAAATCGGTAGAGAGGTGGGAGAAGACTTGGTCCATGTGCTTGGAAGCCTCGCACCACGACGCCCAGAAGTGAAGGATAACCGGTGCTCCACTCTGCCGCAGACTATCAAGCTCACCCTTCGACTTCACATCTTTCACTGAACCACCACCGCCTCCTCCCATTATTATTGCTTTTATTTAGTTCTATTGCGTTACTGAATGATCTGATATTTCTCCTTCCTCCTCCTCACAAGAGAAATAGAGAGAGACAGAGAAAAAGGTAGAGCAGCTAAGGCCTAATAGACAGAATATTACTACTATAATAAATTCCACCTTTTTTTTATTACTAATTTATGCTTTGATCTCACACCACTCGAACCAGTTCCGAAACCTAGAATCCTCTTTCCTCCTTTTCGCAAATCCTTTTGTAACGCTTTTATATGTGGGGATCACAGACTTCCTGTTTAGTTCGGACTCCGCTTCTGATCAAACTATCAATCACCGTTGGTTTCGGTCATTTGATTAACCCTGTTTTGTCGGGTCCCACGAGGACTCTCGATTGTCACACGTCAGCACAAGGATTTTGGGCTTAAGCAGAATCCAATAATGAGAAGCCCAAGCCCCAACATAATTGTTTATTTATTTATTTATTTATTTACTTTTAACACTGCAAAATTAACTTGGAATCCTCCCTTCTCAGACGATTGTAGCACCCAAAAAAAAAAAAAAACGACAATATAAATTATGTTCAATTCCATTACAGGTTCTTGTAGAGTTTACAAGAATGGAAAAATTTGCAATTACAAAATGGATAAAGAATTACTGATAACAATAACTCTCAGCTTAAAGTAGAAAGGAAGAAACTTGATCCCAGGATGCATGCCCTATTTCTTGGCAAAACTCAAACGTTTGGGGTTGATATTATCCATTCGAATCATTACTACTCCAGGAGTTTCCCCTTCACTCCAGCTGATTGATTCCTTCTCCAACAGCTTCAAAACCTGCTACAAACAAAAATTAAATCAATGGTTAAATGGGTTCTTTTTTTTTTTTTGTGGTTCAATTTATGCCAAGGATTTAATTAACAAGTCTTACCAATCGTCTTCGACTGCCTTTTGAGGAATCTTCTTCATTGGTCTCTACAATGACCTTTAGGTACTTCAATACTGATGGAAATCAAAAGTTAAATCATGAGAAAAACAGAAGGGTTCATGAGTAAAGTGAAATTGGGAGAATGGTGACTTACATGGGATGCCTGCTAGCAAAGATAGATGAGACTTCAAATGACGAATTGCCTCCCTAGCACCAAGATCGTGCAACTCAAGCTGCATTTCATCGTCAGTGTTTGTGTTCCTGACAAATGCAATCAGGAAAAATGAGAGAGAGAGAGGAGAAAAACAATGCTCCCAACCCCCCAAAAGATAAACCACAAAAACGTAAAGAGAAAGAGGCTAACCTAGTTTCAAAAATCTTTTGATTGGATTCTTCATCTGCTTGGCGAGCCTTTTCACGGAAAAATTGTCCCTGCCACACCAAAGCCATTCACAATTGGAGTCATTAGATTTGTAGGACCAAAACATTCTGTTATACCACATTTGGCCTAAAACTGATCACCTATTGCCTATTGGAACTCATATATTAAGTTCAAATAAAAGCAATCCTTTTACCAAAAAATTCTAATTATTAAACATCAAATGTCCTATATTTGCAAGCTCCTATAGCCAGACACTAAGCGAATGGAAGTTAACACTAGACACCAGTGCTTAGCATTAGGAAAACTTCCTTCAATCCAGTGGGTTTTACAACTCTTTATCCACTTTATCCATAACCAACCAGGAAAAATAGGTCAAAATTTTACTTGTGTCTTGGAAGCCTAGTGTATCTACAGAAAATGCATATACTTTACTTATTGTTCTAGCTTAATATTTTACCTGTTCTAAAAATCTGTTTGCTTGATCTGGATCCCCCTTAGCAAATGCATCAACAGCCTGACAAGGAACACATAGCAGTTACTTAGAATATAAAGGGGATTGATATATTATAAATTGCATCAGACATTTGAGAAGAAGTGTCAACATGCCAAAACAAAGGACCAATATTTTAAAAACATAAGACTTACAGCTTTATAGTATTCCTTCATTGTGCCCCTATATTCCTTCACAGCTCTTCGAAGAGCCTGGAAACCATCTTCTTCATCTTCATCTGCAAAAAAACAGAGACATGTAAAATGAATAAAATTTTACATAAAAAACAATAGCAACAAAGTTGTGGCCAGCAACTGTTTCCTTCAATTGGTAGTGATTGACGCTGAAGCAAACCATTAGCTCATACGTAATTTGCATAATGTTTTAGAAAATGCCCAGTAACAGAGGCAGAGAAGAATGTTGTGAAAAGGCAAAAGCCAGATGAGAATAGATGTGCCTTTGATCTTTTTTCTGCAAACATAGGGGATAAAGTGGTACAAACCTGCTCGTGCAGAAAAAAACACTTTGAACCAGAAAATTCATAATTTAATATCTAGGATCTTCTTAAGATCCCAAAGCATAAGGAAGCAATATAATAAGTATGGCTGCTATAAGTCCTGAATTTCTACTGCTAAAGCTTATCTGCCTCCTACAAGCATATTCCATAGTTCTTGGTTAGATAAACTTAAGTGAAATGGACAAGAGTAGATACCATCCTTTTCAACTTCTTGATAGCGAACTCCATCAGCCTTCTGCTCAGCAGGGAAATCAATTAGAGGTCCTTCCACAAGTTCTCCTAATGCTATAGGCCTCTTTGCAAACCGAGTTCTTCTCCTAGGCAATTCATCAAATCTCTCAGGACCTTTAAAGAAAGCAGCCAAGACATCCTGTTGAAGATCATTTCTGTCTTTTTGTAGTCTAGTTAATTCTCCACCATTTGCACTCAAATCGCTGTTCCTGCTTGCAAGTAAAATGCAGAGGAAAGTTCATCAGGAATTGTAAAATGTGGACATTACATTTCCCTATCAAAAGAAAGCCCGATTAGTAATTAAAAGCAGAAATTATTTATAAAACACTCCTCTCCCTGATTCTCTCTGTTGATAAGCTCACAAAAGTAGACTATTAAACCTAGCAAAAAAATAAGAAACAAACATATAAATCAACAAGAATTCATCTGATTCAACTTACTTTTTTTCTGAAGGTCCCTCTGCCCTTGTATGCATATCATTATTCTGTAAATGAAAAGAGTAAAAGAAAACAATAATCAATCCTGAAGATTATAAACACCGAGTTTAAGACAGGAATATCAAAAGACATCTCCATACTGGCAAGCTTAATACATACATCTGCAATTGAAGACATTGCATGATATCTGCAATTGAAGACATTGCATGATATCTACAAGTAATAAAAGTTGAATAATCAAAAAACAATGTTGCCATCGGTTCATTACTAATGCTTTCCCTTTTAAAAGTGGTGCAACTTGTGGTGTTTGTAAATATGTTGTCAATGAAAAAGCCATTAAGATGAAGCTGGTAAAACTTTGTCCACATAAAGCACTCATGAAAACTGTGCTTAGAACTATTTAAAAAGAAAAGTGAGACTGACAACCATCAACTTCACCGCATTTCCTAACCAATCCTAGAATGAAAGATGAATAAATTTCTTTCTTTAACGCAGAAAACAGGACAGGTACTTATAATTAACATGATATGCATTTGATAGCAGAGAGAAAAGCCAGAAAAGACATCATCATCACTTTTATCTTAATCTCACACAAACAATATGTACAATTATACTGGCTAGCGACCACTGGGTTTACACACTTGAATATTACACTAACCTTTTTACTGGACTCACCAAGAAATTTGTTCTCTTCGTCCAAATTCACAGTTGATCGATCAAGTAGCTTCTCCATGCTCTTACAAGTCAAGAGAGAGGGAAAGGAATAGTGATAAGTTCTAACAAGTTAATACATACCATACTAGATAGAGAAAATGGCATTCAAAACCATGAGAAAACCTTCAAAAGTATCTTATTCCTCAAAGTAGGAAAGCAATTAAAAAGACAAATGACCAGTAAATAAAGTCACTAGACACTTAATTTGCCCTAACAGTACATGATACTTTGCACTGACAAAACTTAAAAAGTGCACATTTGTTGAATAAGAATGGTAGATCCTCTAAAATGAGGATATTATTCATACCTTTTGCATGTCGTATCCACAACTATCTGCATGTTTTAAACAATAAAACCTGATTAGTGGTCACCCATGATCATGTATGTCTGCAGATATACGTGCACATGTAATATTGACTCAAATTCAAATAAGAATGATGTAGATATAAAATGACCTCACTTTAAGAACAAAACAAGAGCTGTAAAAACCACTTTGAAATTAATGAGACACTTTCAGTAAATAATGTATTAAAAATGCAAAAGGGTAGGCTGGTGAAGCTGCAATAACGATCTTCAGATAAAAGTAATAACTATCTTCAGATAAAAGAAATAAAATAAAACAAACAAACTATTAACTTAAATAAATCAAAAGACCAGATTAGCGATCAGTTAAGATGGCAACTGATAAGAGTTGGTTTACCAAGAACATCTCTAATGACATCCTTGTCCAGTCGAAATCCCTCCCCAAGCATTTTGAAGAGAAAATCTTCCATATCCTTGTGCAAACGTTCCTCCTTTAGAGGACTGGATTTGAGTCCTTCCCCCCAAAGTTCAGACATTGGTAACTCCTCTGAGTCAACCTTGAAAGGTTTGGTTCCTGGATAGGAACCACTAGCCAAAGGGACAGACTTCATATACCCCTTCCCTAGCATGCTTGAAACAGTGCCTCCTGAAATCGGCCGCCTTTTTTGCTTTGGAGCTCTTAAATCCCCATTTGCTTGCCAAGAACTCTGCAAACTATTACTACAGAATGATTCTGAAGGTCCATCATTTTTGGCCTCACCATTAGATGAATTGCTAGCAGCTGAAACTGGTTGGCATTCTTGCTTAGGGGCTGTAAAATCCCCATCTGCTCGACAATAATTCTGGGAGTTATTACCACCGGATGATTCTGACGATTCATCACTTTTCAGCTCACCATTAGATGCATCACCTGCAGCTGAAAGTGGTTGCCAATTTTCCTTAGGGACTATAAAACCCCCATTTGTTTGATAATAAGTCTGGGATTTATTACCACGGGATTTTGAAGTTTGATCATATTTCATCTTACCAGCAGATAAGTCAGTAGTAACTGAAGAGGTGCTCCCTTGCATTTCAAACAGAATTTCACCAGCCAAATCCGCATTCCGGCCCGCCTCACAGTAAGCAGAAGCAATATCTTTAAGAGAAAACACAGAACCGAATGCATCAAGCAAACTGGTCAATGCCTTCTCTTCGTCATATTGCAATCCATTTAAACCAGACACCTCCATTTTGAAATATTACTTCACAAAACAAGACGGGAAACATAAGAAATGATTCAATGTACAATTTAGGCTATAAAGCTGGAAGGACAAAACATTTAAATACTTCAACGAATGAATGATAATTGTTATTGAAAAACTAGTGATATCTGGATGACCGCCATTTAAACAGTCATTTAAAACAGCATTTAAAGGACGAATCACTTGTCTCACGTCGTTTGACAAATGCAGAGCCAAAAGAAGGAAAATAGATTGCAAGTAACAAAGATTAACAATTATATGACTTTTAAAAAGCACGTGAACTAACCACATCTAAGCATTAGGAAAAACGTCAATGTTCAAAGAAGAATCATCCGAAAAGGAAAATCTAAACATAGAAAGAATAGAGCAAAAAAATTACCCAATTAAATAGAAAAACAAAATTAAAACTAGCCATACAATGCCAAGATTATCTTATCGCAGCCACTGCAACTTTTGATTCTGCCACTTTACCTTCTTAGTACAATCACCGAAAATGCATGCAAGAAAGACTCCACCTTTGGAATATAAATGAAAGACCTTTTGATCATAGCAACATTTCAATGGCTAAAGATTTGGAAAAACTATAAACATGATATCAAAATACCCTTGATTACACATAAAGCAACCAAATTTAAAAAAAAAAAAAAAACCGCCCACAACTAGAATCGCAAATGCGGCATAAAAAATTCAAAAGTAATCTCCATTTCCGATTTCAATTATTCGTCATTTACAAGTAACAAGGATATCAAATAGCACCGAGTTTGGCTGCAATGAGTTAGATTCAAACAACAACCCATTTCAAGAAAAAGGAAAGATTTTAAATTCAATTCAAAACCGTTAACATCCAAAGAAGAAGAAACGAAGGGACAGGAAGCAAGAAGGAGAGAGAGAGAGAGCTCTAAAGCACTTACCAAAGGGTTTACAGTGAAATTTATGGAGGAAGAAGGTCGAAATTCTTGCGAACTTTGGTGAATTATTTATAGAGAAACATAAACTACTTTGGCGCTCAGTAGCAAGACTGTGAGTACTACGGCCTTTTATAAGAAAAAAAAAAACATTTTTGCTTTTTTTTGTTTGTTATTTCCTCAATTTCCTTCGCTTCCACCCAACTCCTTCCTTCGCACGATGTTTAAATTGCCAAGAAACTATCCTTTTTTCACTTGAAAGGGTATATTCGTCATTCACTCATATTATTGCCACTCACTTCCCTTGCTTGGCAAGTCTTTGAAAGTGCTCAGAAACTTTCCTTCTCTAATCACAAATGATAGAAACAGATTCTCGAACAAGTTTTTTCCATTTATGGCATGTTTGATCTCTTATTCCTAACTTGGTTTCCTTCACAGAATAATCATCTTGAAAACAACCAATCAATCACCTTTGATACTAATTATTCCAAGAATCAAGAAATAAGTTGAAAAAACAAAATTAAATAAAAATATCCTTTATTTTTTAATTAATTATAATATTAATTTTGCTACTAGTATTTCTTTTATTTCGAGCAAGGATTTGACCAAAAGTTTCATCAATGTCTTGGTTTCCATTGTTTGTCTAATTTGGTAGGCTTTTAGGAGCTATGGCAAATGGCATCTAACCGATTAAGCTAGAAGTTTTTGACTAAAATGAAAGTAAAAAAGAATGGAGTGACTTCCACACAAAGAAGAAGAACTCTCCTTTCAATTTAAGAAACTCAGCTCAGTTTTTTTGTTTGCCTTTATATCATGAAGAAAATGCTTTACCTATGGGAACGGAATCCTCCTTTATCATAATTGCCTAGTTAGAACCCCATTAAATAAGTCAAAGACAAAGATGATAGCATATATATATATATAGAAATCATTGATCCTCCCCTAATGGCCATCTAAAAAGTTTATTATCCTTCCAAGAGAACTTGTTATAAACATCTCCAAACACTTGTTCTCGTACTACCTAAAGAGCCTGTTTAGTCACTAAATTGATCTTAAATTTATTGAAAAAAATCTTGGGGTATGTAAGTATTACAAATTTTCTGCCCATGATTTGTATCATAGAATCTATAACAAGTAAAAGACAAACTTCTATATACTAAACATAGAGCATCATCATATGATGTTTTGGGTTTGATTTTAGATTTGATCTTAATTAATTAATGAGCCAGCTGTGAAGAATGTGGCTTAAGCTTATCTTAAACTTACCAACTAACCAGTAATAAATTCATTAGTAACTAATCACTTAAAAATGTCACAGTACGAAAGTTCAATCATAAAAGAAGCCGAAAAGATCACAATGTTATCAGACTCATCAATTAATTGAAATTTTATTATATTATTATTTTTTTAATTTTAAAAGATTATTATTGAATACATGATATATTCGTAATATGTTGTTCACACAAGCAACATGAATTGATAAACCAAATTTGAAGAAATTGCTTCATTGCCTAGCAGTTCTGATCACAAATTTTATGCCTTCTAATTTTTCTCCTGATTTCTGAAATAAACCATGCACTGACATCAGTAAAACTTCACTATATAAAGCCTTATCAGGGAGCCACTAAAGCATAAAGGCTAGCTTTGCTCTGAAAAATTAATGGCAGCAGCAAATTGGTTTGCATAGCCTTGTTACTTTCACTATGCTCCTTTGGGATGTGCTCACATGGTAGGTTTCTCCGCCATGGACGAGTCAGTTAACTTAAACCAGCTGACCAATATCAACAATTCCACGGATGATCACTTTGCTTCCAATTCGTCCCCCACACTGCCTAGCAGTGTCGTAGACGATGGCTTTGGCAGCCCGGACGACTGCAACAATGGCTGTCACTGCAACAACGACGGTAATGATAACAATGGCTGTGAAGGTTTCGAATTCTTTGGTGGCTGCGACTTTGTCTATAATTGTCACACGAATGATTAAGGAACTTACCCAGAGACTTGATGACAAAGGTTTATATTGAGAAAGCCATCCTTGGAATATGGATACTATGGCAACAGAATAAAGTAGTAGTAAGCAGCCTTGGTAATTCCAATGTGCTCCTTGTAATATGATTTTTTAATTATATAATTCCAATGTGCTCCTTGTAATATGATTTTTTAATTCCAATGTTGTACTATGGCAACAGAATAAAGGTTTTTAATTAACCTTTGATTTCAAATACATGATGATAATTCATGAATAGAAACAATATAATCTATATAATTCAATGAAAATTTGTAAGTTCTCATCATATAGTAGAGAATTAAACTTTTGGAATCCATTAAAATATGGGATTTTGAGATTATGTTTTTTATTGGAAAATAAAATTATAATTTTTCTATATCTGAACACTTAATTTAATAATTGGTATATGATTTTTTTATTCAAATCCTTTCTTCTCTTAAAGAAAAAAATTTTATGATTTTTCTTACCATATATTAATTTCTTGACTAGATCTTTTTGTGTAAAAGTACAAATTCAACAATAAAATTATCATTCAATATTTAATTTACATGAATAAATTATGACTTAAAAAAGTTCTAAAAATGAATAATCTATACCATATCTATATCCATTTATCAAATTAACGAATTTATTATTAAATATTAATTTCCTTTTGTTTGTATTTTTTTTAATTAGGACTAATATTGAAGTTCAACATGATCATCATACAATTTGAAATCAAATTATTTTTTTCAATATTTTGTGTTAACTAGCTTGTAAGATGATAATAAACATTTAAAAAATAAATGAATGAAACTAATCAATTGGAGCTAATCCGAAGGACTAGACAAAACACAATCTTTTTTTTTTTCGTTTTGATTATACTATAAATAAATAAGCACTAATTCTATAATAAAAAATGAAAAAATTTGTAGCATTTAACAATTATACAATATTTAACTATTAAAAATTAAAATATTCAATAAATTATATTTTCTTAATTAAGTTTGATATTAATTAATTCATTTTAGAAATCACTTTAATAAGAAATTTTCCATGAAGAAGATGTTGAAAATGGATTTTTGTTTTTTAACTTCAAAAAATTCATCTTAATATAAACTATTAACAAAGTTAACTGCCTCAATAATTCAGGGTCACATAAGGATGATGATCACCAAATACCCAACACGAAAATCTTTTATGATTTTCACTTTGTTTCATCTTTTCCTACCCTTTTATCCTGAAAACAACAAAAGCATGCACAGGGAACTTTCAGTGTATAAATATTCATCTTGTTTTATTGCCTCACATCCATCTACGGAAACAACATTTAAGACAGACAAAAATATGGGACAACATCAACAAGCGTGGGTTATGTTCTCAGTTCTCCTACTTCTCCTAGGAGCCATGTCCACAAGCTCTGCTGCTAGAGACGCCAGTAGTTTTAAAGACCCCAAAAGCCATGGTCAGGGTTCTGGTGGCACTGCTGTTTCTGGCCAGGGTCAGGAGAAAGTTGGTCTATTCCCTGGCATCCTAGGTTTCGGTATTCCGCCTTTCAGGATAGGAGAAGGTCATGGCGGCGGAGGCGATAACTTTCCTGGTATTGGTGTTGGTGGTGATATCTGCCTTGGTTGTTCGGGAAATGAAGGTAAAGGATTTCTCATCAACAATTTCGGGCAACCTTTCTATTGCCTGCCAGTACAGGAGTGTCGAGGAGGGAACTGTGATACTCACATTGGTTCGATAAATCAGGTTGCCTCTAACTGGCTTAACCGTGAAACCAACAGGGGGATTGACCACAAACGTGAGGCTAATAGGGTCCGAAGCCCTTCTGCTATGGAACCGGCGTCTGGCTAAGCGAAAAGCATAGATATATTTCCCTTTAGCTAACTGTTTAAGCTAAGAATAAGCATAATGTGCTTTCCTTGACTCCTATTAGTTTCTCCTAATAAAACTTCAGATTCCCGATCAGTTCCAAGAAAGTTTATTTCTCACCGGGGAATGTGGGAGTTCATCAATTGAAATTAACCATGGCTATAAGTTCGAAGCAAGATATACAAGAAAAGGATAAACTAAAGTGATAACTCTATTTGCAAAGCAAGTTACTGGGTGCTTAAAACAGAGGCCAACATAAAACATGCAAAGGTTGTAAGAACATGAACAATACTGCTGCAGATTATGTTAAATTTACTCAGCTTCTCCACTTCATCACCATCTGCCAATCTGGTAAAAACTTTATCCCTTCATTCTCCCTCCTGGACGGTGATATCTGCCCAATTGGCAGCACTGCCAGTTCGTGGAATGCTTGGGAGTCTTGTGAACAAGTCCACCTGAAAAATTACTCCACAAATTTTTCCCTCGTCGTCTTCACGAGCTATTGCTTTTACCTTGTGAAGTGGATGATCAAAGCTTATAAGACCATTCGCATTCATGAAAATGCAGCCTGTAAAATAAACCATGTAAAAATTTAGAAATACCAACTTCTAGCATTTACTTGCAATGTGTTGCCTATTTGAGCTTGAAATGTGAGTGAGTTTACCTGGAGGAAAGGGCGCACAGGATTTTCCACAAGCCTCTTGTATTGTGTTAGGATCATCTGAAAAGACCAGGGAGCCATCTCCAGCCATTCCCCATTTAAGTTCAACCCTTCCTTCACGGTCCTATGTTAAGCCAACAACATTTTCTGAGAATACTAGATAAACCTTAAATAACTTGAGAAAAACAACTGCATTAGGTTTCCATCTCACCCTGGCCACGAAGAGGGTAACAGATCTAGCATCAAAAAGAATGAAAGCAAATTTGCCTTCGAGATCTTTAATGACTTGATCAGGTGGATATGGAGCTCGGTCTCTTAGCACCTTGTAAGCTTCAATCACAACCATGGCTTCCGTTGCTCGTCTGGACAGCCCGTAATGTCGCCTGAGTTCGGGCATGTTCGCAAGATTCCCAACGAAGATACAGAAAATGTCATCCATGACAACCATGGACCTGGTACATTCCGATCATCATCAGACAACGAAAGCCCTCAAAATTTGTTATATGCTTCAAATAAGGTCAGAGATATTAACCAATAACAAATAATCAAGGATCCAACCAACATCAAATGACTTGTGAAAGCTCTGGAAGTATGAACCATATTAGAATTCTAGTTTCCCTTTCTTTACCTTGTTAGTTTTACTTCCTTAACCGCCACCCACTGTTACTCTGTAATCTACATTTAAGTGTATTATAATAGAAACTGATTCCAACTTACTTGCTTGATCGAAAACTTTATGAATTTTATCTGATACAAAGGATTTTCAGATAACAATGTAAGAGCTGAAGTATAAAACGGGAAGCACATTTCCATTGCATACTCTTTCTTCCCAGCCAAATGGAAAGAAAACAGGATCATAATTAAGCTCATTACCAAAAACATTAAGAAGGCTGAAATTTTTGAATACCTTGGATGTAAAGGACTCTCAGCTTCATGTGACAAAGCCATGAAATTCCCATTTGAAAGGTGGTACAAGGTTGACTGTGGCCACAATAACCGGAAAGTCTCCAAGATTTCTTCCAGAGTCTTCTTACCCTGCAAATCTAAGCCAACAGAAGGAAGCCTTAGCTCCTCTGGTGGATTTCCTATTGCTTTCTCGAAAACCGCCAACATGTTTTCGGCAAAAATAATCCCAAGAGTTCAGACCAACTCTTCCTGCTAACACTGGAGTGCCTCAACAAATGAAGCTGAGGCTTAGTGCATGCTTATCTCTAATAGTTGTAGCCTTGTAACTGAAAGCAATACTACTGATTTTCGCTAGCTTACCAAAAACGATTACGCTGGGGGCTTTACGTGTGGCAGCTCAAAGGCTTTTGGTTGGGTCTAACGTGTAAGGTGAGCCTTGCATGCAGGCATGATGCCAAAATTTTTAGTTTCTTTCTTCGGGTGGCTTATTGACAAGTCAGATTGCGCATTCCAAGGAAACTGAAATGATGGGTTTATTCAGAAAAAATTAAAGTGGACAGCTAGATGGATGATGAAGCATTCATAGCATGGTTATCGTTCCACTTGCTACTCGAGCCTTTATTGCATTAATCACCAGTCTTCTTGAAAGAAACAAAATACCTCCAAGAAGACACAAAATCACCATAGGTGATATTAAAAGCATGATCAAATTGCTCACTAGATTAACATGTGTAATTGTGTATATATACAAAGCTATACTGAACATGGAACTCAAAAAGAAGGGAAAAGAATTGTCCTTCACTTGATGTAAGCAACTGTACAACCATAATTCATTGGATTTTCCTGTTCATACTTCGCCACACGTGGATGATTTCCTAATATTTCCAGTGCTTGCTCCTTAAGGACACCAGTGCCCATGCCATGCACAATAAAGAGAACTGAATTTGATCCTCTCGCAGAGATGGCCATGTCGAGGTGGTGCGCAGCCTCTTCCACTCTCATACCACGGAGATCTACAGTGTTCTTTGATGTCTGAATTAACGGGCCGTAAGCAATTGCATCACTGTTTGTAGCATCTAAGTTACTCGCTAACTCTCTGCTCTGTTCTCCCTACAGCAAAGATGATAAGAATCAGAGTCATTAAATTCAATTCCAAGACAAGGCAGGAGACAGATGAACTTCAGTCAAATAAGAGAGAAGCCCAAAAAACATTTCAGAGTAGTAGACTAATTTTAACAGTATGATTTAATATCTAAGCCAAGGTCTGGCCTACTTGATTGCATCTACTTGATCTAGGTGAATCTTTTTGTGTAGAAATGTGCACAAGTATGCGAAACTACGGGTAATTTGTCTGTCAAAGCTTCAGAAACTAAAAGGATCGTTGCCAAGGACAGAAAGCATTCACAAAAAGATACAAAAAACATGGTTGAATATGTAACATTTTGAATGTAACTTAAGAAATTTCACCAAAAGGCTGGGTGAAAACCTATAATTCTAGCTTCATGCAAGTATGATATCCAGCAGGACCACAGATTATGCAAGGGAATCTTGGCTGATGAATAAAACGTTTTCCCTAGGGATAATGAATGGAAATAGACGTGGATTGCATTTTCCCAGAAGCAACAAAATGGACATTTGGGGAGTAGGTGGATAAGCTTAGCAAATATACATGAGAGAGAGTGGGGGGGGTGTGTGTGGGGGATTCCAACAAAGTCGGCCAAGTAATTAATCAAATCGCAGTGAACATCAAACTAGGGGAACCTTTGCCTAATGCTCCCCGTTACTCAGCTCAGTTGTTGGGTTTAAGGTCCTCTACCAAATGTTCAGCATGAACCCATCCAGATAACAGGACAAAAATGTAACACAAACAAATAGCAGGCAAGATGTTAAGGAAGCAATCTTTATTACACACCTGTCTTTTTATACTCTGCCTCGCATTTTTTTTGCTATTTGAAACAGGTCTAGCATTGCTCTTCTCAACCCGGACCCTAATTTTACCATATTGGACTAATAATGTGTTGTCATCCTCAGATGCTTCAACAACAGTAGCTAACCTGTTTCCTAATCCCTTCACATGGACTTGCTCACCAGACCGAGGTTGATATGAACTTGTATCTGTTTCAGTAAAAGAGAAACTGTCACCAGGGCGGTGAGCTTTTACAATGGAGTTAATTGCAGATTCAGATTTCCTAATCAACAAATTAAATTCATCAGAATTGGCAGTTCTGAGCTGATTCTCAAACTCCTGTACGACACTGTCAATTTGAGATTTTGCAGCATTTAATTCTTGTTGAACCTTCTGGGTTTCCTTTGCCCTGAGAGCTATCTCACGCTCTTCAAGATAGTCAGCCTCACCCCTAACCTTCATTATTAGGATCAAGGAGAAGAAACAAACAAACAAACAAAATGATTCAATAAGCAAAACAAAACATATTCTGGTCTCAAGAAAAGAAAAGGCAGAAGTTAAGCCCTCAAATGTGCTAATAGTCTAATAACTTCACAATAGGACACAGCTTGACTTCAAATTATAAAAGGACCCTAACATCACTTTTTTCCTGATGCTTATTTATAATAAGCAACAAGTGGCAACAAAAATTTGAATTATGTTGCGACAAAATGGAATTTCTAAAACCGTACCTCATGATAAAGTCCCATAATTTCAGCATGAAGAGATTCAGCCCTCCTGAACTGAGCTTCCAATCTGTTCCTGTCCTCCATTAGCGATTGATATAGCACACCTTTCCGCTCCTGCTGCTTTTCTGGCTTTAGACTCTCCACCCAGTTCTTTGCACGTTCAATTATATTTTTATCAAAACCAATTGAATTAGCAATAGTTAATGCATTTGAATTGCCGATGCTACCCCAGAGTATCTGGTAGGTAGGTTGTAAGGTCTCCAGAGAAAATTCCATGGCTGCATTCTCATACTGAGAGTCCTTCTCTTTAAGACGACTTAGATCCGCATAATGAGTTGTTACAACAGCTAAGTTAACACGATTTTTGAGATACTGCAAGATACCGGTAGATAGAGCCACCCCTTCTAAAGGATCAGTTCCACTACCAATTTCGTCGATGAGGACAAGTGATTCTTTTGAGGCAATTTCCAAGATCTCACAAATTCGTGATATATGCCCACTAAATGTTGAAAGACTTTGTTCCAAAGACTTCAGTCATAAAAGAAGAGTCAGAACAAAAGAGGATAAAGAAATGAGAATTTATCACTCATAAAAAAGGTAAACCACTACCTGGCTGTCCCCAATGTCTGCAAGAACAAGATCAAACCACGGAAGTCTTGGCTGCTTCTTAGCAGGCAAATACATGCCAGCCTTTGACATAAGAGATGCCAGCCCCAAAGTTTTCATGGAAGCAGTTTTACCTCCTGTATTGGGTCCTGAGATAACCACCACCCGTGTTCCACATTGAACTTTAATATCTATAGGAACAGGAAAGCTGGATACACCTTTTGAAGACTTAACCGCAGCCATTGCACCACTTTTCTCCTCCGTTATAGATGGATCCCCAGAGCTGGATGCAATGAAATCTGTGAAATTTCTTAAAGAAGACCCAAGGAGAAGCGGATGCTGTATTCCTTCAATATCTACTGACCAAGCATTATCTGCTCCGTTGGAAATTAACACTTCAGATTCTGTTGAACTAAAAATTGGACAGACACCATTCACCCACTGAGCATATGCAGCTCTAGCAAAAGCAAGATCAACTTCTAGAAGTTTATCCAACAAATACTTTATCTCAGCTCCTGATTCTGCTATTTCAGATGTAAGCAGGCTCAGAATAGCCATTTGCTCAGCTTTTTCAGAATTTGAAAGCTTTACTTCCATGTTGTTCAACTCAACTGCCTCTTTGGGTTCCATAAAATATGTTGCACCAGAGCTGCTAATGTTCAGAACCACACCATCTGGAAGCAGATATTTATGAGAGGCCTTTACACCCACACACATCCTTGACCGCCGCTTAGTTATCAAAGGTCTGTTAATGCCTCCAGCCTGAAAAACATTAACTGATACTTCTTTCAACAGAGAATCCAGATTTCCCATGTTCCTCTTCCTTTCAGCCCTAATAAGCTCCAATTCTTCACTAGCTCTATCAAGGACAGTTGAAAGATTGCAGTCTATGCAAAATCCTATCTTTTGCTCCAACTCCTTCTGGAAATTGCAATTCTGAAGTATTTCCAGCAATGGAGTGTACCTGGCACAAAAATAATAACATCCACGAGACTCTGTAAAACCAAATTTAACCTTCATGCAGGCAGGTTGTATATTTTTATTTTAAAAAAGTATACAGGAAACAAGCAGTGCACTCTTGGGTCAAAGCAACCTGAATATGATTTTCTTTTCAGACCCTTACAGAGAGAAGATAATCCATCATTACCAATACGATACATGGCCCTCTCCACATTGTATCAAGGAAAAATGAAGGCCTTTTCAGAGATGTTTCAGATAAAATTGCTTACACCAAAATCATTACTATAAAGGAAGATCTTTACAGTCTGAGGTGTCTATAATAGAAAAACATAATACATAAATCCACCTCTGTTGTGATCAAAAGGTTGAATCCATATAGGGAAAGAAAATCATCAAGTTCTTGACCATTGTAAAGAATGAAAACATTTATCATAGTTACACTGTTTCTATTCATGACAAGAATCTGGTATAAAGTAGCAGAATCAGAAGTTTGAACACTCGTCCTCTGTAACTAATCAACTATCAGATACAAAAACAACTAGCAAATCTTCTAGACGTAGTGTTCCTTAGTTTATTTGTATATACATAAGAAAGTAATCCAATGTAAGTGAAACCACGTACACTAAAACCAACTCGAAACTCCAATCATTTCTCAAATATGATCATAACAAACTATTACTACTAAATATTTTTAAAAAAATGGACATTAATTTTGGCACAAGGATGCAACAGAAAACATCAAGAATGCCGAAATTGAAAAAGGAAGGAAAAGAATTTTGATATACCTCTTCAAAGAACCTCCTTCTGCGACCGCTGCCAACTTCTCCGATACGGCTCTTGCGGCGCCAAGCGTCCTCCGAACTCTGCAAAGCTCCCTTACTGTTAGCAGCTGTCCTGAACCAGCAGAGTGGAGGATTCCTGAGACGTCCTCGATGGCAGAGAGATCCAATGGCTCCGATTTCAAGGCCTCCATGGCGTGCAAAGCGGCGGTGGTTTGGTCCAGAAGCTTCTGGGACTCTTCCTGGGATTGACCGATGGGGAATGCGGCGCTTTTGGTAAGGGATAGGGCCATGGAGGTAGATGTGAAGGGAGAGAGGTAATTGCACAGGGAAGGCCATTCTAAGGTTTTCAAGGTTTCGCTTTGGAGGGCGGTTGCGAGTTCAGATGAGCGTGACTCGGGTGAGTTGGCAAGCGAGTTGATGAGTTTGAGTTTGAAAGGTCTGGTCGAGGGAGAGTAGTGGCGGTGGCGGTGGCGGTGAGAGAGAAGTGGAGGGTTTTGGAGGGAAAGGAACTGAGTGGTTAGTTGCATGAAGATTTTTAAGACGGAGACTGGCGAATGCTTTTACATTTGAATGCTAGTTGAATGGGTTGTTTCTTATCCATTTCTGTTTTTTAAAACCCAAACGGACGCCGCGACGCCGCATTGGCATTTCTTTTTATTTATTTCTTCTCTCATTTACTACCAGAAACGGCTGCGTTTAGGGGGAAAAAATTTTCGCAAACGAGAAAATAAGCGTCACGTTATGATTTATACTACTTTCTCCTTTTTATTATTATTATCATAGATTTTGTTTAAAGAGTAAATAAATTAAATTTAGGCCCTTTTTTTTTCCTGAAAATGTAGCAAAGCAATTAGGGCTTCCTGCTTTCCTTTTGGAATATAAATTCATTTACAAAAAAAGAAAAAATGTATAAACTTGCTCATAAACAATGACTTTAGTACAAGCCTGGATGGTAAGAAGAAAGATGACAATGTATAATACAACAACAAAGAAATAATTGATGGTTCTCACAGATAGCTCGTGGTGGTCGTTCCCTTCACTATTCAAATCATCACTTCCTTTCTATTCACTTCCTTTCTATGTTGCGAGGATTAGAGCACCACAGGCAGCAGGAGCGTGATTGCCCTCTTTGTAGACAAGGTTCCCTCTTACAAAAGTTGCCAGCACTTTTCCGGATAGCTTTTTTCCTATGTAGGCAGAGATGTTCTGCATATACAAGGGAAGAAAGAAAATTCAGATCACAAATGGCACCAAGAACAAGAATCATATTCACAGCAACTGCATTCGATTCAGGGTATGCTCTCTCAGGTGGGTTATCATGCATTTCAATAAAATTTGGTAGTTCAGAAACGTCAATTATTTTTTGTGCAGGTTAAATTTAGAAGAAAAAAAAATGGAAATTCACAGCCGAAGTTCAGAGTTCAGACAGAGATGTACTCTCTCTCTCTCTGTCTCTCTCTCACACACACACACAAAAAGCAAGCTTCAAAGGGCAAGAAAAGGGCAAAGCACATGACAACTGAAAAGTGTGAATGAATTGAATTCTCAAGGAAAATAAAAACGAAAGAAAGATATAGGGTTATTGGATACGTACGGGATTTTTAACATACATAGGATGATCAGCATTGAGGTCAAATTCCACTTCAGGTTCCCAGACGACAATGTCTGCATGGTTTCCAGTTGCAATGGCTCCCTAAACAATGGAGTTATGATCTCCACGTTCTTTATTCATAATGCATCAAACAAATCAAAATGGAAGTGCATTTGAAAAGATGATTCAAGATATTTACCTTTGAATGTTGTTGGGCAAGCTTCGCAGGCCTTTCACTCCACCATAATGCTAACTGCTCTAATGTTACTCCAAATTTTCGTCCATATGACCATGTCACAGGAAGAACAAACTGCAGATGTCTCAATAGAATGTTATTGATCAGTGTCAACACCCAGCAAGAGTAAACAATGATCAAAGAGAGAACATGAAGATATGATCGAATAGGTATGTAAAAGATGGTAAGAAGAGCCATATAAGCAAGTCTAATCATGCAGTCGACTGCTTAATTTTAATCTCTGAATTGTTTTTCCTATAAATTTGTTCATCCTTACTTTATCAAGTTACAGTTTATTGTTAATCAATCATATAGATAATTACAATGCTGAACTAAAAGCAACAGCTTTTGTGGGTCGTGAATCTGGATAACAACATGAAGCAGACCAAAGTGGTTTTCGTCAGATTTCAACCTTGGATCCAGATATATATACCATTAAAGGGTTATGGTAATTTACATGCCAAACCTTCATGAATCAATGTTACTGCAAGGTGAATCAATGTTGCTGTAAGATGGTAGCTATGAATCAATGTTACTGTAAGATGGTAACTAACTTTTATAAGTCAGCAATGTCTATGTTGTTATACATAGAAGAAAGCAAGCAGTGGAGATAATTTTTTCTGTAAATGGAAAATCACCAACCTGTATAGATGAAATGCCACCCCAAGCCCTCAGAAAGTTACCATCGTTCAGGAGTTTAAGTTCTGGGACTGTTGGTGAATGATCAGAACTTAGCATATCAATATGTCCTTCCTGAAACAGAATGTATAATACAGATGAAGCAAATTTTTGAAGAAACTAGAACTAAAATAACTAGTAACACCCTTAAAATTATTAGTAATACCATTAAAGCATTCCATAGTTTTTCTTTATTGGCTGCATCACGGATAGGTGGAGCACACTTGAAACGAGTATCTCCATCTGGAATCTCTTCAGCTGAAAAAGACAAGTAATGAGGGCAAGTCTCAACAGTTATGCTGTCACCTCTCCTTTTTGCTTCCTGTCAACAACACAGAAATGACCCTTCATGAAAAGATATATTTCAGAAAATTGTCCACAAGCAGTAACTTATTGGCAATTAGTAGGGTACAAAGCAGAACAAGAAAATTGTGCTATGATTGAGCACAGGAGTTCTATCAGAGTGATGGTATCGTAGAATACACCTTTATAAGATCTAAGGAAGAACTGGCATCAGACAAATGAACAACATGTAGATGAGCACCTTCTGCTGGACCTCCGATCCTTGTGTCTTTTGTGACAGTCAAAAGTTCTCTAATAGCTGCCTCCTCCCTGGATGGGAAATAAAGGAGTAAACTAACTATGTAAAGAAATACAATTCAACAACTTATACTTTGTGCAAAACATGGACAGGACCATTAATCTCTCAATAAAATCCTTTAAATATTGCCCCTTCCCAAAGAAGAGAATAAAAGAAAATTCAACTTACCAAGAAGGTGGCCTTGTCTTAAGATAAGTTGAATACAATCGAGGATCATCAGCACCATCTTCAACTTGTAGGTGACTTTCGACATCTTGTTGAATCTCTGAATGTACAAGCAAAGGTCTTCTGTATTTGCCCAATACAGAAAGCCCTGCCTAAAGCAGCAAATAGATGAATTTCAGAAGATAGCCTAAACATTACCAATATTGCAAAAGCTAATTTAAGGGACAAAACAACTTCATTTATGTGTGCATTATTACAAAACCAAAGAAAAGTGAAAAAGAGTGAATAGAAATGTAAATGTTCTCTGTTCCAAAATGAAGCCCAGTTTCACTATCTGTTGATTCAGGTATCAAAAGCGAACCTTAATATGATTGGCATCAGTCATAGGAAAGTCATTGATCCCTGAAGGGCACATAAAAGACTGCAAAGCTAGAACATAAAATGTTGTAAGGTAAAATTTCAATAAAAAAAAAAACACTAACACCACAAATTACAAAATATCCCCCCCAATCTTTGTTTGGGGACAAAGGGGAGGCGAAAGGAAGGGGGTTAAGTTCATAGATAACAGCAAGATAATTCTTATAATTTTATTGGTGGCATAACTATCTCAAAATATACAAAGACCCAGCCTTCAAACAGGAAATAGATACTCTGTTCTATGCAAATGATGTATAGCTGAATATTATTAGAAGTTTACCTTCAAACCAAGGACACCAGCATTTAGGAGACCTTCCAGAGCTGTTGCATTGAATGCATTTTCAGGAACTAGACCTCCCCAAAAGCCTGGTGATAGTATATTTGTTAGAGTTAAGTCCTTGAAATAAAGATTTCTTAAGGTATAGTTTGTGGAACATACCAACGTCAACAAAAATTCTCTTCTCTGCAGCCTCAATCTGTCAAAAAGAAAAATTGAAATGTTCAAATAGATGATATATAGCATATCTATTAACTAGTCACATATATGTATGATTACTACGCATACCTTGAGTTTCAAGGTTTCTGTTGAGACGGTGGAAGGAAAGCTATTTAGAGGCATGTCAATCAATGTTGTAATGCCACCTATAGATATGCAGTAATAGAAATAGTTAAGGTGTGCATACAGTGTAGCACACCAGAAAGACAAGAAAGAAGTATTCCATTTAACATAATTCAAAAGGACTAAAAATACATGAATAATATGTGTTGATCATGAAGGAAAAACGAGGAAGAAAAACAGATTTATCAGAACAACCAATCTATAAGCATTTCAATTAATGTCTTTAGGTAAATAAGTAGTGAAAAACCTACTACTGAAACCTGTAATATTTGTTCATGAAGAAGAAGAAGAATAATTTAAACCTCGTGCATTTATTACCGATGGTAACATCAGTTGATAAAAGTTCAATATACGTGTAAAGCAAGATACCTGCAGCAGCTGCTTTAGTCCCTGAAGGAAATCCCTCCCATTCAGCTCTTCCTGGATCATCAAGATGTGCATGCCTACCATGGAGTACGGACGTAATCATAAGCACATTTTAAAGTATTTGAGATTTACCTTTGATCATATCAACTTTCATGCTAATACAGTTATCTATCTCAATTATTGCTTAGAATTTAAGTAGATATTTAATTCTACGGAAATGAACAAATTGTGAGTGCAGTAAGAGGCAAATGGCAAGAACACGAGCATAGATCTTACACATCAATTAAGCCAGGCATGACAACTGCATAGCCGTAATCAACTACTTGTTTAGATTTTCCATTCCAATCCTTGTCCTTAATTACGGATATGATATTCCCTCCCTTCACCTCAACTGTCCATTTATGCATTCAGAAAATAAACAAAATGACTAGTAAGCACATTGCAAAGATCTTGCTCAAGAGAGAGGTGTAGCATCATTATAATGATGATGATAATATCACCAACATAATGAACTACATTTCCATGTTTCCTCTTGCAAAACTTCTTTTATGGAATGAGTTGTTTGACATACCTGCACCAGAGATAATCCCTTGAAGTGTCACGATGCGCTTGCTCGCTATCCAAAAGTGACTGTAAGGAAGAAGACTGCAATCGCTTTGAGGTGGCTACACAAATGTAATAATCATAATTTCTGTTATCCAATTGATCAATAGATAACATTAAAATCATAATCTACAAGTACACACTGCCTTAAACAAAACCAGGAAAATTCAACTTAAATAATTCCTTAAAGCAAATCACAAACACAGGATCACTTCATAGTTATTAAGATTGAAAAATCATCAAAGTACTTTAGTTTTGAGATTCTTAGACCATAATCCTTCTTTTGCAAAATCAATTAAAGAAACCGAGAATCGAAAATCAAAATTCCCCAAATTCTGAGATAATTCGAAGCAGAAATCGAGAAGTAAACTCCTCTATATAGCGCCAAAACCAGATATTACGTCTAACGAAAAGCCAGAAAACTGAAAATTTTTATTTCATCTATTCGAATTCTCATCACCAAGAAAACTCAGCTCACTTATGAATCAGGAATGTCAAACAAAAGCCGAAAATCAAAGTCTATTTATAGAAACACTTAACACTTAAAACTTAATACTGAAACTACAATATAATGAAACCTTGAAATAATCTTCAATGTAGAAAAGAAAAAGAAAAGAAGCCAGGAGCGTCAACAGAGGTAAGAGCTTCCATTGCCAGTCCATCTCTCCTCCACCCTCACTCCTCTCTGTTTTTTATTATATTAAAGAAAAGAAAAACAACCGACGACGACGACGGCAAGAGTTCCATATATTGGTACACGTGTGATTTCACGAAGAAGGAAATGAGAAAACGACTGTCACCCGTCAGTGGGAAATGCACCGCCAACAGCCAATTGCATGGTTACATCTGGATTCGTGATGAAATGTGAACCGTCCAATGGAAATGTGAGGAGCGAATGGTATCATTACTGATTTGGTTAAAAGATTCTCAGCTAGGAAATTGTAATTACAATGGAATCTGTCAGAGTGCGGATCAATGCCCATTACGTGGGACAAGTTTCCGCAGCGGATGAAAACGCAATCGTTTCATTGGTTTGTGCAGGCACTCTGTCTAATGGCGCGTACGAATCCACAGAATTTTTTTTTAATTCAAATTATTTTGACATAATACTGAAATAAGTTTTTAAATTATTAAAAAATATTTAAATAAATCTTAATTCTATCATTATGTTTTATCAAATTTCGTATTTTTATTTTAAATTACATAAACTATTATGATTAATAATTAATTAATTTTATTAATAAAAATATCACTTGTTATTTTATATCTATATGATATTAATATTATATTAATATGAAGTATAAAAAAATCACATAATCATATTATCATGTAAAATTAATAAATCATTCATTATTAATTATAATATGCTAATATGTTATATCATAATTAATTATGATATTTAAGTATGCCATATCAACTTCGCGTAACATAAAATAATAAATAATATTTTGATTAAATCAATTAATAATCATAAAAATTTATTTGATTTTAAATAAAAAATATAAAAATTTATTTGACTTAAAATAAATGTACAATAACTTGATTAAATACAATAAATGTGTAAATATTTATTTAAATTTTTTTAAATAATTTATGAGTTTTTTATATATTTTAATTTTTTTATTATAATTATATTCTGCGAAAATGTGTATTCTATTATTTGGAAAAGAAATAATCTCTCAAACATAATAATAAGAATTAAAGAAATTGTTTACAATCATAAAAAAAAGATATACTTAAAATGTGTATTAATCTAACAAAGATTTGCACTTATGACTTAGCCTATCTTTAAGAATAATGGAAAAGAGGGAAAGGAAGAGCATGTCACAAATTTATACATTATCATTTAACAATATTGTTCGACTAATGAGTAATTATTAAACTAGATGGTAATGTATTGTATCATTTTTAGTTCATATCGTTTTAGACGAAAAATTAAGATAATAACTTGATTTTAAGTATCAAATATAATATAAGTTGAATGATCATTTCATTGTAGTTTATTTTTGAAAATTTAAATATTTAATGAACATGTATTACTTGAAATTCCTTTTTCTTTACTAATTTGGTTTTTAAAATATTTAAAAATGTAATTACATCAAATTAAAAAAACTATTTATTTTCTCTCCACTACCAAAATCGTGCATGATTGTTTCATTCCTCTTTTGTTCATGTAAAATATGTTAATCTTCCCTTGATCATGCCACACCATGCACCAAATACATTTCCCTTTGAAGCTTCATTAGCATCTCTCAACTGATTGGCAATCTATCCTTGGTCATGGTAGTTTCCATGTCCCCCTTATTCAAAAAGTTGTTATTATCATATAGTAAAAGTGAATGATAGGAAAGTAACTATCATATTAATTGATTATAATTGAACAAATAACTTAAATATAACATCAATTTTAATATATTTGTCTCATATAGAAGTAGAATCATAGTATAATTTATTTTATTAATAATTAAATAATTAAAAAATTGTAATTAAAAAATTGCTTGCACATGTTTCTTAAAATTCCTACTTCCCGGGACAGGAAGAAGCCAGATTCGATGTGGGAGGATCGTAGCCGTAGAACGTGGCGCCATACTAATCGTAAAATTGAAACATTTTTCCCACTGGAAGTCATTGCCAAGAACAAGGGAACCCAGGCGTACTTAACAGAGAGAAACTGCAACGGGGCCCCAACTATAAATACTGGGTGGTCCAAACAAAACCAATAACCGTTTTTGAATTACCAAATTACCCTTCTGTAACCAGTCCAGTCCAGGCCCTCCTCCCCTCCCCGTAGAAATTCAAACGAAGTTCCAATTTCGTCTATCGGGGACGCCGCGTTTGGAGAGCGAGAAAGCGAAGGTGAAACGAAGAGAAAATGCTACCTCCGCAATGGGCTTCCCCATGTGGAAATCAATGCACTCACAAATACGCTACTCTCATGCAAATTCCTTGTAAACTTTCTCTTTCCACGTTTCCTCTTTGATTTGCTTCCAGCTTAAACTTTGCGATTCTGTCAATATCTGTTTAATAGATCTACGAATTGGCGACTTTTTTTTAATTAATTCTTGATATTGTTGCATTTTAAGTTTTCTTGCTTTAAGGTCAAGATTCCATTAGTTAATTATCCTTTCTTGCATTTCTTGGTGATTTATTGCTTTGTACGAATTGGGAGGGTATCTTCAAATGATTTTGAATAATTATTGTATATGCGTTGCTGAATTTGGCTGTTAGTTTATAATAATGTGAACTATGATAGTGCTATGAATTGGCTATTAGTTTCCTGAACTCTTTCTTTTTGGATGTAATTAGATGTCAAAACTACTTTGTTTACCTAATCAATCGCTTATAGGACTAATTTGAGATTTTTTTTCCACCTAGTATTAAATTAAGAATGATGATTGATTCATCTGAGAAATTGTGTCAGCTATGCATTGACTCTACTAACTATGGCGTGTTCTTGTAGGGAGAGTGTTTTGCAAAAAAGGTTGTGATGCGGATGGAGAGACTTGGGAGGAATGTAAGCAGTTTTGTTTGTATTCTTGCTTATAAAACGTTTTCTGGAAAATTTTATATCAGGTTGTATGGTTTATGGCATTTTGTAGTACATTGGATCTGATATGATTTAATCAAATTGCTGAAATCAATGTTTTGAAGTCCCTGGTTAAGCTTTGTAGTGCTTAATTCATATTTGCAAGAAATTAGTCTCACTGGCACCTGACTAAGACACAAGTTCTGGTTATGGTTTGGGTTTTCATATGTTTTTATAGGAAAAATGAGGCAACTTATAATAAAAAGGAAGCAGTTCATCAAAGCAATGGTGACAATGGACCACAAATTCTTATCATTGGTTCTTGAGAGTGAAAATTCATTATTCGTTAATGTATCCAGCATTCACTTCTCTATGCATTATTCGCTTTAGAGAGATTTCATCAATTAGAAGAGGATTTCTTTAACCAACCTTGAATGATAGTGTTATACTAAGATATATTAGCAAAGCAACATATCATTTGCGGCTGATTATATGTTAAATTGCTAAGATTACGGGTTCTTCAGGTTTGTCAGAGTGTGAAGAGATATGCTATAAGGATCCTGTATTAAAGGACCAGAAATGGAGTGCTTACATTGACCGTTCTCCTGGGGCTGCCAATTACTCTGAGGTGTTTAATCTTTTAGCCATTTTTTAACCCATTATTATACTTGTAATGACACCGATTTTATCATTTGCTTCCAATTTTCCATCTTTAATATGGTTGAACTGTTGTTTACACAAAGCCTTTGGATTGTGCTGATCCTCTCTATGAGCTGACTTCTGAGAAAGAATGAGAATTATTCTTTATGAACTTCTGAAAGTCCACTCTTATGCATATTTAGTCAATTTATGTCCTCTTTAGTATCTGAAGTTCTGTACTCCTAGAAAAAGTTTGTGCCAGTTTTGAATTTGGTCTTCTACACAATTTGAATTCTCTAAGTCGCAGATGATTGTTTGCACTGGGTTGCAATTGACTGTTATTGTAGACAGTTTGAGACACAATTACTGAGTATTTATGAGTATTAAGGGGTATAAGTCTCCCTTGGATGCTTTTGGGCTCTCTAGAGTTTGTACCCGGTGATGCTCTTGATTTTTTTTGGAATGTTTTAGCAAGTGCAATTAATTCAAATCAAATGTGGGATATATACTTGGATTAGTGTGCAAAAGAGGAGATTCTGTGACAACTATATAACTTTTTCCCAATAGTGCCAAGGTACCGTGTGTGGTTTAAAATTGCCGCTCCACTTCTTATCTTGCTTCTAGACTTCATAAAAAATGGAATGCTTTTGGTATTATGACCACAACTTTATTAGTCAGGTAATGCTATAATAGAGTAACACCCTTTTAAGGGTCTTGTAGGAAGATCAGCACCTTAGTCACATGGAAGGCTTCTAATGAGAGGTAGCTTGATCCGTTTATCTTGAATACTGATTATGCTTTGCCTGGTGATTCACTTCCTGAGAATGACATGTATAACATGAGTGGTGTGCACAATGGTGAAGCACCAAATTAAAGCAGGCAAGTTGCTGTGGTTTAAATAGCAGTAGTACTTATTTGGTGGAGGAAAACGTGATTTGCAGTTTGTTATTCAAACATCTCATTATTCAAAAGCATAAGGATGTACATAGAGCACAGTTAAGTAAATGATAGGAATTTTTGTACAAAGAAAAAAAATTATGAGAATGTCTAATAAGGAACAATGAAAGAAGGCACTATGTTTGGTCGATTATATTAATTTTGTTGTTCTTCGTTTCTGCATATAGGAATGCTTCCATGCTTGTGTAGCTGGCTGTGGTTATAAGGTTGGTTTTCTCTCATGACTTTGAAAGATTAGTTATTCGCTTTATCTACCTCTGTTTTATTGGCAATTTGATGTTTTTTGTATACTGCAGTTTGAAATGTGTCAAGAGAAAGTTGATCAAGTCCGACCAAACAGACCATTGCCACCCAAGCCTCCTCCTGTAGAGAAGCCACCAAAACCACCTGTCACTAATCCCGATGAACCTGCTGAAGATGTACCAAGTACTTCAGCATAGCAAGAGGTGAAACGTAAACATATGATTAAAAGTATACCTCAATAGTATTGTTAGCTGACTAGTCCGGACTCTGCAAGGAGATCCATTTATGTTACTCACATGCTACTATTGATTGATATCTTGGGGCTGTTTTGGTGAAGAAGCATAATTTTTTGCTTCTATAATTTGCCCCTTGTCACCTTAGTTAACCTTCAAATCAATCTCCAATTGTTCTGGATCTCCACTAACTGAGATGTAAGTGCCATATATCCTTCCAATTTTGTTTACAACACATGGAAGCTTGCTGAGATTTGGTATATTGACAAATTTCCATATTCTGAATGAAGCTTTAGACTGTTTGCTCTGTAATTTTTGATAGGAAACAAAATGAGCCAATCCAGTTCGTTGCATTTGATTATGGCTGATCTTTTTGAATGAAAATTTGGGTACACAACAGTTTGCTGCATGTTAAATCCCTCTGATTGCATAAAGATGGTTCTTCAAGCACTGATTTGATATTCTCATCAAATCAGTAGTTGCTTCATGAAATATTTGGATATTTGAAAGGTTGCCCGCATAAAAGTAACGAAGTTTGGATCCCACTTGGCTATTGTCCGGTCACAAGCTTTGTTGAACAGTTTTTGGAGCAATATTCTGGCATTGGAGCTTGAGTCTCAAAAGATAACAGCATTGGTGGTGATATACTCAATTAGGAACTGGGAATTGTCAAATCCCGGAAACCTATTTGGAAATTCAATAAATATAGAATTTCTTTCTTTTAATTTTGAAGGATTAGAACTTGATTCGTCTGAATGAATTCGATGCAATATCGTTTATGCGCTAAAGCAAAAGAAGAAGAAGAAAAGAAAGAAAAATAATCTAGTCAGGCTCGGCCCGAATAGGAACAATATTTAGTCCGCCAGTAGGCCCACTATCCGACCCAGCACCCACCCGTGTTGTTACCTTTTCGCCTTTTGCAATCAGAAAAACCCTCTGGGAGCAAAAGGATGCTGGACTCAACCCAGACAACGACGTCGCTTTAGAACTTCGTCGTCTCACAACCGCTACTGAGAAATAAGCAACCATAATTTTCGTTCATCGAAGCTCGATTCTAGCTCGGATTCAATCTACTTCCAGTTTACATCCTACAAAACCCTAAAAGTCGAAGTAAGAAAAAAAGGAGAAGAAAATGCCTCAGGTGAAGATCATCGCGAAGAATTTCATGGACATGGTGGCTTCATTGCCTGCCATTAAGCTCGACATGCTTTATCGTAATCAATTCATTTGCGAAGCCATTCTCAGGTCTTTCTTCTTTTCTTTATTTTTTTAATCATTTTTCATTGCTCTTATAATAGGTATTTCTTTCTTCTTTTCCTTTTAAATTTGAATTCAGGATATGTCTGTTTGGGAATACTTCTTAGCTAACTCCTTAAAACCAGTGAATTTTCTGAATTGACGGAAGCATTTGTTAATGGAGCAGGTCGATGCCGCCTCTTGCAAAGAAATATGTGTTACAGATGTTGTACATTGATGTTCCGGTGACAGCCAAGTCGTTGGAGGAGTGGGTGCTTGCCGATGGATCCTCTAAGCACCGAGTTGCCATCGACCGGTTGATTCAGTTAAGAATATTAGAAGTAATCGATAGGTGAGCAACTGCAATACTTGTTGTTTCCCTTACATATTTTAGCTGATCTTCCATTTAAAATCAAGCGGCCACTCCTCATTAATGATCAAAAGTACAGAACAGCTTAAGCTTAACGCGAAATACTTGTCTCTCTTTTCTTCTAATTGTAGTGTAGAATAGGAAAATGACTGTATGTGCTAATCTGATTAGTCAATCTTTCTTTCTTTTGGCAGGAAGAAGGAAACCAGTTACAAGTTAAATCCCACATTTCAGACTAACCTCCGGAAACATTTGATATATGGGTAAGTTTTTCTAACTTATATGGTACTTTTTTCATTTGCAGCTGTCAAAATAAAAGGGACAAAAATTCTTCCCTTTGTTATGTATTATAAGTTTGCATACTTATAGAACCTTCAAAGTTGCCAGTGTAAAATTTATTCATCTTACTCTTCTATTTGTATTACATCAGTTACTGCCAGTTCTATTGCGCATATAGTTGATTGTCTATTATGCCATTAGATTACTTATGCTGTTGTTGTCATTGTAGTAGTTGTATAAATGACTGTTATTGTGCAGTGGGATTTTGCCAAGAGAACCAATGCCTTCAAATGTTACTGTGAGACTCCCTACCTCAGAGGAACTTGATGCCTATGCACATGAACAATGGGAGGTGTGAATTTTTCCTATTTATGTCACCCATCTGTTTCTAAAGAATTTGTGTTTTTGATGGTAGTTTATGTGATGTGGAATGATGCAAACACTTTTGCAATTTACTCAATTGTTTAGTTTTATTGTTTGAGCTGCTTCTTACCTCTTCAGCTGTGTAATGCAGTGTTTCTTGCTGCAACTTATAAGTTCAGGACAAGCTGAAAAACCAACAAATTTTAGCTCTTCCATGATGAGAATTTTTCAGCGTGGTCTTTTACGTCAGAGGTGTTATTTCTTGCCATGTACTTAAGCTTCATTTTTTTATGCATTATATATCGAAGATTCTATATCTCATGTTTGATGTCATGCTGTTTATATGTCTGTATCTACAGGGAGAAAGAAGCTCCAAGATTAACTGAGAGTGGTTTCCAGTTTTTGGTGTGCATCATATAAACCATGGCCCTTTTGCAGTTGTTTTTTGGTTGTCTGTCGCCTAAAATAATGTCTCGTGTGTGTAATTTACAGCTGATGGATACAAATGCTCAGCTTTGGTATATTATCAGAGAATATATCTCCAATTCAGAGGTATATTTCATTAGATATTTTTGGTGTTTTCCTTGGAACTTGTTTGTTATGGATATTTGGGTTGTTAAGTACATGGAAAGGGGAAATTGGAATAGATTTATTTTCAAATTTTATTTGGCATTGATTTTTCAGTTCAGAACTTCACTTTAGTTTTATCAGAATGGTTCTTTTCTTATATGGGAGTGTACCTTAGGGTGGGCACATGTGCAAGAATGCAAGAGCCTATGCATGCATGTGCACTTGTGTATGGCATTGTGCATGAGGTGTGTATATTATGGCAACTGCTTTTGCAATGAAAAAAGTATTTTCTGGCCATTGCCTATATAATCCTATGGTTGTGTATGTGTCTGTGGATGGGCAGATCCATCTATTGACCATTTCAATAAAGAAAAAGCAAAAGTTTGTCCAGGGTTATGTCCTTTACATGAAATTGATGTCAGCAATGCAACTCTTGTTCTGTCATTCTGTAGCAAATGTTTGTATCTTATGCTTAGACTTTCTTCTTTTAATACAGGAGCAAGGTGTAGACCAAGCAGATTTAATTGCGTTTTTGCTAGAACTTAGTTTTCATACCACTGGTGAGGTACGCTTTGTTTATTTATAATTTTTCTCTTCATTCATGCTTGTTCATCAAAAATTTTTTTGGCAGAAGTCTCTGTAAAACCTTAATGCTTGCAATTTGTTTGATCCATGTTTAGCAAGAATCTACATTAACCTTCAGTCTTTTTGACCGTGTAAACATTTTGTTGTCTTTTGTTATTCACATAGAAGCTTATTCCCTTTTGGTCCTGCTTTTTCTTGACTTTTCTTGAGATTCTTTAAAGCTAATCTCTGTGACATTTTCTGGGTTGATTTGCTTTTTCTTCTTGTAGGCGTATAATATGAACACACTGACGGATGACCAGAGAGCTATGATCAAGGACCTTTCGGACTTGGGATTGGTCAAACTTCAGCAGGTTCTCCTAATTAATGCTATTTTTCTTATGGGACTGCATGGACTATCTATTCTTAGTAATGCTTTATGATGGTTCTGAGGTATTTGCATATGTCCAGGGCAGGAAAGATAGTTGGTTTATACCTACTAAATTGGCCACCAATCTTTCAGTGAGCTTAACAGATTCATCATCAAGGAAACAGGTATGGCTAAACAAATAACGGGTGAATGTATAGCTTCTGATTCTAGTAACTGTTATCTTGGCTTTCTCTAGTTGTGTTACTCTTACTCATGCAGTTCTTTTGCTATATTTTGCCTCAGGGATTTGTTGTTGTGGAAACAAACTTTAGGATGTATGCATACTCGTCATCTAAGTTACACTGTGAAATTTTACGTCTATTTTCAAGGTATGAGGTGGTGAATCCTTGAATGTTGTTGCATTGGTTGCCTTATTGAAGAGCCAAATTGCATTTAGATAGAATAACAACAAAACATTCTTTAAACAATGAGCAAAGTGATAAACTATCTGGTTACTTTTTTTGTGGGGGGGAAAAATGGACTTCCCTTTTGATAACTTTTGAAGATCATTTCTAGAGTGGTTACAAGGAAAATGGAAAATCACCCAGTGTCAAAAGCAGAAATTTCTTATTTGCCTCTAAGGTCTTTTGGATCTGTGGGGCCAATATGTGGAAATACGAGGACACAAAATTTTGATTATAAATTAGCTGTCCCTTGATTACCACAATCAATAGTATTCCCAACTGATTTGATGCTATTAGAAGTCTATAGAAGATGATAAAAGAATGTACTAAAACTTTTATTTAGTAAAGGATGGAGCTGTTTCTGCTTGATTCAGAGTATAGCTGATTTTTTTTTTTTCTTTCTCTGATCCAAGTTCTCCACTCCTTTATCTATCCACTGAATGCCAAAAAAGCTCTTGAATTCACCTGCAATCTGCTGATCGCCATTTATAGCCAATTTTTTTCACCAGCTTGTTCTAAGATTCTAATATTTATTACTCTTATATTCACTATTGATTTCTTAACTAAATAACAATGTGCTAACATTTGTAGGGTAGAGTATCAACTTCCAAACCTCATAGTTGGTGCAATAACGAAAGAGAGCCTGTATAATGCTTTTGAAAATGGCATTACAGCTGAGCAGGTTGGTATCTATTTCTAGTTGCTCCTGTCCCAAATTGCAGAATTCATGGAGGAAATCACATGATTGACAAAAGTAAAAAGTGAAGTTATCTAATGCAGCCTAAGCAGCTTGTTTTGCTTTGTGTAACCCCTGAATGCAGATAATTACATTCCTTCAGCAGAATGCACATCCTCGAGTTGCTGAGAAATTACCATCTGTACCTGAAAACGTCACCGACCAGGTAATATCAGCTTAAATATTATGGCACTATCATGTGATCAATTCATTTAAATTGATACAGCCTGACTTCTAGGGAGGCATATTGAGCATGCTATTTTCGGTAGGAAAGTAGATTACTTTAGGGATTATCATGTTATTTGTCACTTTCTAATTTTGAGATGCACTCTTTGTTCCAGATAAGATTGTGGGAAACTGATTTGAATAGAGTTGAGATGACTCCTGCTCATTTTTATGATGACTTTCCTTCGAGGGTAATCTCAAGCAGCATTATTTGAGTAATATTCTGATATCTGTTGTAATTTTGTGATCATATTTTGAAGTTCAAATCTTCTATTGGACAGGACGTCTTTGAGACTGCTTCTGACTTTGCTCGCGTGCATTGCGGTTTACTATGGGAGGATGCTAAGAAAATGCGCATGGTTGTCAAGGCAGAGATTCATATGCTCATGCGAGAGCAGCTTCGTGGTCAAAACAAGTAGATTGTATGTATGTCATCCAATCTGCAGGAACTGCACACTGAACAAGATTGTTCAAAGTTTTGCTTGGCGAAAGGCTGGTAGCTATCTTCACTTAGCAGGGTGGTCGTAGATGAAATTCATTTTGGTTGGGGGCTGTCAACCTGAATCTGGCTTAACATGAGTAAATTAGGAGAAATACAACTCTCTCTTCACTGAAATCAAAGGTTGACAGAGCAGCCTGTACCTATCTGCGGTGGAGATTTGGTGAAAATCACCTGTCAATAGTTTAACTGTGTTATATATCCAAATCATTGTAGTAAAACACAATAATCAAAGAAATGTTTATTTTAATTCAACATCGATTTTTATTTTAGTATTGTCCTAAATTTACACTTGTATTAGTATCAACTAAATTCCTCCTGAATTTTGAAATAAATAAATTCTCTGATCAATGAGCAAAACTATAGCATTTGATTGTGTGTAACTTATATATTGAATAAAAAAATATGACCATAGCATTTTCGGCCTAAAATAATTATATCACAACTGTTGCTGCCCAGGATCGAACTGGGGACCTTTAGTGTGTAAGACTAACGTGATAACCACTACACCACAGCAACCGATGACGCTTTGAATTGGATCACAATCCATGACAAATATGACGAAAGATGCAATCAAGATGGAATCTCTGACCATTGTTTGCTAGCGTGGAAAGATGTAAAGCCAAGCAACAAGAAAACACACAGATAGTTTCCGAGAAATTTCCTCTCTTTCTCAATCATTCTATCATGTCTTTTGTTTGTCGCCTCTAGATTTATTGGCATCATTATTCTCTTCTCCTGTTTCTTTGGACTTAAATTTATGTTACCATACCTTATTATGTAGGAAATTGAAAAATCCCCACGCATTTGGATATCAAAACATAAACAGCTGCGGCCTTATAATTGGGATACTTACACTTTATAAAGAATAAACACACCCCGGAATAAAAAAACACAAATGTCACTTCTTCTTTGATTGATAATCCACTCCCACACCTATTTCTTCTTGTCTTATACTCAAAACTCAAAAACCTATAGCGTCTAAGATCCCAAGAAGCTGCCTGTTATCCTTGAGATTATCTTGGTGATCATCTGGTTCTCATAATGTCAAGAATTATAAAATCTTGCATGCAATCCATCCTAAAAGGTGTGAATTTGATAATGGGAATGGTCGGGATTGCTATGATTTTGTATGGTTTTTGGATGGTAAGAGTTTGGCAGAGAGACATGGGAGGGTCATCATTTGATGACTTCAATTCTACTGCCCCATGGTAATTAAGCTCCTTTATGAGTTCTAACAACTTGTTCTTGCATGTTTCTGCTGTTTACTCCGGGTTAAGTCACAATGCTCACTAGCATTACTTACAAAAGTGCAGGTTCATATACACTTTTCTGGGCACAGGCATCACCTTATGCTTCCTAACATGCCTAGGCCATATTGCTGCAGATAGCGCCAATGGTTTTTGCCTTTGCTGCGTATCCTTTTTCTATATATTTGTTTTTGAATATCTGTTAGATATATATATACACACTATATATTTGTTTACCTTAAATGGAAGCAGTACATGGTGATCATCTCAGTGCTTCTGCTGGTAGAGACTGCAATGGCAGCTGATGTACTCTTAAACTCTGACTGGGAGAAGGTAGTTTTACCTCTGTGACTTTCCCTATTTGCTTCATTCAATCTCTATTTCGTGTTAACCATGTAGTTTGATTTCTTGTCACCCATCAGGATTTACCAGAGGATCCAACCGGGAGGTTCCATGATTTCAAAGCATTTGTGCAGTCTAACTTTGACATCTTCAAATGGATTGGCCTGCTTATCATCCTAGGACAGGTAACCTGGTGCTATATCTGTTAACTGAACTACATTGCTTTCTTCTTTTGTTAATTATGAAAACCGGACTAAACTTTACTGCTTCAAAGCAGAAAAATGAGAAGAGTAGTTATGAATATAGATCTTTGAAAGAAATCATCATGAACTGAAAGAAAAAAAAAATTGGTTATGTTCCCAAGTAGTTTATGTTCATCTGGTTCCCTCAACTCTGCAGGGGCTTTCCGTACTGTTGGCAATGGCCATCAGAGCCCTTGGCCCCAACCAATGCTCCAACTATGACAGCGATGAAGAATTCACTCCAGCCAGGCTTCCCCTCATAAATAACAATGCTCCACAACCTGCTTATGTCATCGGAGATTCTCCCTTTGCCAACAAGAATGAAGCTTGGACTGTAAGAATATTCTTTTCAAAACTTACCGTTTCCCTGGTACCAATATGACCTTTATTTACTTCTGTTGGTCTTATCCCATGTTGTTGATTGATTATATGCAGACGAGTAAGTGAAGAGAGAAGCAGCAATTTTCCGTATCATTCAGAAGAAGATATCAGAAGAGAGAGAGAGAGAGAGAGAGAGAGAGAGAGAAGCAAATGAAGGAAGAGGACGCCATGAAAACACAGCCAAGGTAGGGGCAGCCGCGGCTGCTAATACTACGAAAACTGTTCTCTACAAGATAGAGCATTAATTACTCAATGTTTTGCATTATGATCTGTATTATATAGCTTAGACCATGATATAGTTTAATTTGTACTAATATAATCTCTTCATAGCATAGTATATTTTTCAAATTAAGTTGTGAACTTGTTTCACATATATCTTCCAACTTGTTACACTGTCTGAGAGAATTACTTCTTGTGCTGAATATCACGAGAAATAAACAATGTAGCCCATCTCAAATGCTCAGAATGTATGAGTAACAAGAAAGAAAGAAATTGATCTGAATGGTTAATCAATGAATAAATAACTCATTCGTCTAAAGACTACACAATAAAAACTTGATTCCTCAAGAATGTTACAATCACAAAATTTGGGAAGAGAAATGTAGTATCCCCATATTAAAACCAAGAAGGGTGGACAAGAAAAAAGATAAAAAAATGGGGAAACACCTATTCAGATTTTTTAGAGAGCTTCCTCTTCATTCGGCTAAAAGGCCCGACGGTACTATCCATAACATACATGTAAATAACCTGGCTCCAAGATTTATACGACTCTAAGCCCTCGTAATATTCAGGGGCGATCTTCTTCACCTTATGCAGCTTGCTCCCAGGGATCCTTGGGAAGTCATGGTGCTCATTGTGATATCCAACGCTCCATGTCAAAAGATTGAGGGGACCATAGTAAGAATATGTCTCTTGGTCAGGCTTGAATATGTAATGCTCAGAGATGAAATGGCCGGCCATTGGGTGCATTCCACCCCCAACAAATGTTGAAAGTATCAAATACGCAAAAGATTTCCAGCCCCAAAAGTAAACTAAGGTTGCATCAAGACCAATCTGAACAAATAAGTTGATGAACTCCCAATAACCAGGGGGCTTCGGTTTGAGAAATAGAGGGCGGAGTGCATAGAAGAAGAGTTGGAAGATGACCCATATGGCTTTTGTTACAACATTAGTCACAAGATGGGCTTCGGTGTAGCTTGGGACATCCATGTCCATGCCGTCTACCCCTTGGAAACGATGATGCTCAAGGTGATACTTCTGGAAAGTGACAGACATGGGCACACCAATAGGGAGGTTAGCAAAAATCCCAAGCCAACGGTTGTAGACAGGAGTGGAGAAAGCAAGATTGTGGCTGAGCTCATGAATGGCTAAGAAGAGGTTGTGGTTGAGGAAAGAACCAAAGAAGTAGGCAACTGCCAATATCTTCAGCCAGCCAGCATCATGTAGGGAAGTTGCGGTCCACAGCTGAAGCAAAACAACCACACTAATCTGCAATGCCACAGTTTCGAGGAGATGAGTATTTCTTTATCTTCATTGGTGCAAATTCAACTCTAACAGATCTATCATTTGAAAGTTCTTCAGCATAAGAGGCCAGCATAAAAAAGAAAAGATGGGGCTTAAGAGAAACGTGATGGTGACCCCAACCAAAGGTGATGAATGAACATTCTCAAATGCCAGAGCTACTTGAAAAGCAAAAATGTTACATGTGGTGCTATAATAATTGAATTAAAAACCAGTTTAAATCCTTTTTCAATAGGATCCAACAATTTGATGATAAATGTACCTCGCTCTTGCATAATATATGGCATACCAGCCTCAACCAGAGAGGGACAACACAGATTCTACTATTTAGAACTCAAACAAAGATCTTTAAGTAAAATGTGATTTGAATCCAAGAGAGACCAAGAGAAGTAGCATAACTATCCAAACAAATTACATCATAAAGCAAACGCCGCTTCTTAAGTGTTTAGTAGAGTAGTATCACCATTCTATGAAGTTGGCAAACCAGTTGAGATAGAAAGGATTACAAAAACATTCCACGAAATCTACACCACCCAACATGATCCCAAATTTGTGGTCCATAAAAGGAACAGACCCCAAAAAAAAAAGAACCCATGAAATTAAATTTCTTGACGAGCCTAGTTCCAACCAATGTCACTCGAAAGGTGGCTTCTTTCTAATACCGAAAAGAAAAAATGGAGGAAAGACCCAGATTCCCATTGAGGTAAATAACAGAATGTAGCACCCACAAACAGAAAGAAACTTAATCAAATCAAGTGCAGTTATCCACCGGCATTACCTCGGATCTAAAAGCAATGAAACAAACCAAATTGAAGAACGAGAGAAATCACAAGAGGAAGAAAAAAAGGATATAAGCTTTTGGGATACCTTAAGGAAAGCCAAAGGATCAGGGCCAAAGAGCTCTTTAATTTGAGGGTATTGAGAGAGGATCTGACGTCTCCTTGACGCATGAGGCTCATCTGTATATGACCAGAAAAAGTCGTTTGCCATTACCACTCCTTCTGTCTCTTCCTCTCTCCTTTGCACTCTCCCCATCTCTCTCTCTCTCTACAAACCGTTTATCAGTTATTTTCTTTCTCTTTTCTCTTCCTCTTCCACTGCCTGCTCTCCAGACAAGAGGTTCTCTTCCTTCAGAATGTTTTGACCCTTTTTTCCTTTATAAATCTTCATACATTTAATACACCAAAAAAGGGTATCCTTCGCCGATTTTCAGTCACTAAAAATTTAGAACCCTTCTACGTATGGACGGCGTTGGTGGAGTTCCACGGTTTTAACTTCAAAAATATCCAGGTTGGATTTTAACCCTTTAATGCCAACTGTTGGGACTTTTGGGCCAACCAACAAAAGTTAAATTTGCTGTATGAATAAACGGATAAAAAATTTGCCCCTTAAATTCTACCTTTTTTTATTTTGTTTTGAGAATCTAATCCCAGGGTTCAAACCAATCTTCCTGATTTACCAAAATAATTAATAAAAAAATTGAAAAAAAAATCAAGGATACCATATTTATTAATAATACCAGGTTCATTCATTATCCATCATCCAAGGAAAACATGAAACAGAAACAGAGACCATTGGCATAATCAGTTGCTTACATCATCTTTGGCAATGGCTGGCTAAGAATGCTAGTACTCATACCAGCCAGGGTTTCATGTCCTTAAAAGGCTTGCCCATTTTCCGAAAAAGTAAGGTAACGCGATTAAAGCAAAAGAAGAGGGAGAAAAGAACGAAGGGCAAACTGCCAAGTGTTCTTCAAAGATTGGCATGCCAAAACCAGGAGCTGGTTCATAGATTTAATTATCATATATAAACATTGAAAATCATGCTCGAACGTCAGTAACAGAAAGGAACAACAGATCATGTGATCACTTGATGCAATCATGCAACATGCAGAGGAAGATTCAAGCAACTTCACCTTCTATTCAAGTTGTTGAGCATATCTTCAGGAATTATTTTATTAGTGATTCTTGAAATGATTCATACAAAGTTCAAAGGAAGTTAGCACAAAAACCAGCAGTAGAAGCAGATAAGGCAGGACCTGATTCCAGCAAGGACTTTTGCATCTTCAAACTTTAGGCTATACAAGCATGTACAAATGTACTAAATACAATTTATGGGCTCCTACATGAACTAATTCGACTTCACCCACCAGCCCACAATAACTCGGGCATGGTTTCTTCTGAGGAGAAGTGGGAAGAAAGCACCGCGCAAATACTAGCTGGACCAAAATTAGCCAAATCAAGCGATTTGGTGATTTGGTCTTTATGTAATCAAGAGGAACGAGCAGACAATACTCAGACCACAGAGGAGATAGTTTAGACTGTACTTTTCACCTTAGGTGGGAATCGTAAGTATCAAAAATGGTATCAGGGACAATCAGTGGCAACTTATCTATATACATGAAAAGCCTTCTAAGATTCTCCCTCGTCACTGTGGCCATGTCAATTATATCCCTGCTGTCTGTAAATACCCAGAGATCCCCAGAGTTAACTCTCTTAAGACTATCACGACAGAAGGGGCACGACTGCGATCTTGATCGCCTGCAATTCATTGCAACAGATCCTTATTAGTCAAAAGAAATCTATGATCATCCAAGGCAATATAATAATAATAATAAGAATAAAAAGAAGAAATCCAAGAATCAGTGAAGTGTTAATCTAGAACTTATAGACATCCTGATTTTATGGCAACCTGCAGGTAGCCTAACCATTGACAATCTCTAAACACCAGATAAGTTGAAAACTATTTAAGGATTCTAAGCAAAAGAAGAGACAGCATAGCAAAATCATTACAGAAAAGATTACTGGATACCTTATTACAAGCACCTATAGATTTCAGGTCTAGTTTTAGTTGTTCAGAGCTTTACGATTATAAAACTATATAAAGCAAACTGGGATTCAACCTAGAACGCTATCCAAGTTAGATTCAATTGTGCTCCCTTACAATTAAAGGGAAGGAAAATCATCTTTAGATATCTCAGACTAGTCAATAATCCCTGTTTAGTTGAAGCGCAAACAGTCAGGAAGAGGTTTTACTTATGTGGTCAAGCAATTTACTTAACCCAAGACACCATTCTGAAGTGATAACATCAAGAGTATTCAAACCTAATTCCTAGATGTAGGAGACAAAATAAGTATAGATATAGAGTTTGAACGCAAGTATGATGTTGAAATCAAGACACTAGAAGACCCAAAAACATCCAAAACCATGCTGCACTAGTGGATGACATGTAAGGTTTCCCCTTACAAAGAGCAAAGAAAACATTATATTCTACATTCTACAAGCTGCATCATCATAAGCTTTAACCATAAGTTTCAAAGATTCAATTCCATCATAATTTAAATAGCATTTGAAGAACACATCCACCAGATACTTCAATTTTATTTTATTGCAACAAAGCTTCTTATTCTCCTCTTTTATTCTCCTTTCACTCCAGTGCCTCCATTCACAACATACATATCAAGCAAGGTTATGAATGCAAAACAACACAAAAATTAAGGTCCTAGAGAGGTCATTATTGTCCACGCTACATATTAGTAGGGATGGTATTCCTATCAACTCTTGGGATGTCAAAACAGGAGAACTTTGGAGGATGTTTGCATAGTTGATGTATTAATGTATGATAAAAATTCAGTAACTGCTTAAAGCAGTGTTAGGATACAAAAATTATGAAGCAAAAGAAAAAGGGATAAGGGGATGAAAGGCAGGGGAGAGGAAGAATACCATTCACGGTAACATTTCAAGCACATGGCATGGTTGCAGTTAGGCAGCACAATTTTACTGTTCATCTCCATGCATATTCCACATTCTTCTTCTCTTTCAAAATCAACATCAGTAAGCTGCCTATACTCTTCATCTTCCTTTCTTCGGTACCTTTCCATGCACACTGCTTTCTGTTTTTTATCTTCAGTATCAGTTACACCCCTCTGAAGTTGCAGTAAAGAGGGATAGATAACAGCTGGACACAGTTGGAATTCAGATGCATTAGGACAACTCAGAGTAAGAACTACATTCTATAAGCGCACCAAAACAATTAGATTGAGAAAGATACCATAGAACTCTCTTATGCTTGCTTTCCTTTCATGTGTAGACATGGTGGTAGTTCCATCCACATATACCTGCAGAGTGTGATATGATGATGAAATCAGCTAATTTTCATGATTACAAATTATCTACAAAAAGAGAATGCCACAAAGTAACAAAATATAACCTTGTAAATTAGTATTCTTAACAGCCCAAGGGCACCTGCAAGGTGACAATCCGTCCACTGCACCAAAAATAAGAAGAGGTGCGCAGCTGGACTGTACGACATTCTCATTTGAAGGCATGCACCATCATACTCCCTTGGAAAATCAGAAGCCCTGCACCTTGCATTGCATGATAAGCATTTAAGCAGAATGAGAAGAACATAATGATAATGTTAGGCAATATAGCACAAGGCTATGATCAAGTTCAGAAGAACTAATTCTAAAACAACTGTATTAGCTACATTTAGTAACCCAGTTTTAGCAGCTACAAAGAAATGTATAGCTTATTCTCTAGCTGTTTAAGATGTCGGGTATTTATTCCGTGAAGGAGGTTTTCAATATTCAAGAAAAAAGTATATCTCAGAACTTAACCAACCATTGTCTTAACAATAGTGCTATCAAATTTGTCAAGTTACAAGCAATTTCCACTGACTCTATAGATCAGTTTGACTAGCCAAAAAGCATAAATGGTATAAATGTAGTGTATAAGAATTAAATCACTGTATTCATGCAATTATTGAGCTGGGGTCAGCCGTTGGTGATCGAATATTGATGCTCGCATTATAAAGATTAAAAATAATACTGAAAGCAGTACAATCGAGTGGAACCCATTGGCCATGTGAAGTTAGATAGAAAAAATCTATCATAATAACGAAAAATGTCCCACAAAAACTTGTAATCTCGCAATCTCTCAAAAGAAAGCTTACACTCTTGCGGTACTGTAACATTATTGAAACGATTTTAACAATAAAATACCACTCAGAATTACGAAATATCTAATGCCGATTTTGGAAAAAAAAAAAGAAGAAGAAAGTATCAGTAGAAGCAACAGAACTTAACCTACTATAATCAGAAATAATAAATGCTTTACTGACCAAAACAAGCTGAAAGTAATAACTTCCCCACTTCAAAAAACAAAATGAAAAAGGAAAAGTTGAACACCCAAAATTTAGTTCTTTTTATCTTAAGAAAGGGCCAAGAATTTGACTTGGAGGGATAAAAATCAAACGCCTCAAGCTAAGAGCAGCTGAAGAGAAACAATTTTTACAGGGAAACGAGTACAACATTGTGCTGGATAAGTAAATTAGAATTCAAAATGATCTTCAAACCAAAATTTTATATTTATATTTTTTTTTTGGAGAAAAAAAAGGTTCAAGCTTTACGAACTGCAGCATTCATTCCAAACAGAAACTAGAGCAGAGACAATCAAAAACATCACCAAAAAGAAAAACCCAAACCTCAAAAGAGAAGTAAGAAAAAAAACCCAGAAATTAGGGGGAAGAAAAGGACTTACAGAGTATTAGCATGTTGGATATCAGCTTCAAGCACTTTAAGAGAGTCCTTGAAAGACTTTCGCATAGAACCTACGTACATCTCCCCCCACCCAAAATTCCGATCAATCCTCCCCCCAGAAATCAACCACCCCCCAAAAAAAACCCTAATCTCCAAACCCTTTAAAGTATTTTTTGACAGAGTCTTCGCTCTCTCTCTCTCTCTCTCTGAAGAGTCTCTCACAGAGCAGAAGTCTCTCTCTCTCTCTCTCTCTCTTTTGGTGGGTGGTTCTAGGTGGCGGTGAAAGCGCCTTGTATTCTCATCTTGAAAGTGAAGGCAAGAGTGCTAAAAGTGGACACGTGGATTATCCTGTGTCGTGGAGGCCCCAAAAACAATCAATTAATTAAATTAAAATTAAAAAAACGACGTGACCCTACGGAAAAAAACAGAAAAGAAAAGAAAAAAAAAGGCAAAGAAAATATGCATAAATTCATGCGAGAGAGCCCGTGACGTGCCCCTTATCCAATATGGAAATATCCACTATATCTACACCAGAATCTAATTTACTGACATGCAATTTTGTCAATGATTCAATATTTATTTTTATTTTCTTTCTGCTTTTTGGGAGTTATTGTCTGCCACTCGTCCTCCTTTACTTTAGGTACGTCCGATGTTGACATTTTTCCCCTCTTTTCTTCATTTGCCATTCTTGTTTCATCTTTTCACCAAACTGCCATTCCGTTTTTTTCTTTTAATATTCCTTTTTTTAATAAATATATATATCAGTTTTATATGTACATTCCTCCCTAGTAGATAAAGACAATTAGAAATTGCCTTGATGTAAGTCAACATGACGATCCATTACTCAAGCAACTATAGTATTTTTTTTTATATAGTATTTCGGTTGAGATTAAATAAATATATAGTGAAAAGAAAATATTAAATTTTAATACTTTATTAAAATATAATCATATTAAATTAATAATATAATTAATTATTAATTATTAATCTAAATAGTTTATCCTTAAAATTCGATTTCGACAATATTGCCATTGAATGTTGAATTATTATTATAATATTTTTAAATTCTTTTTGAGTGAGTTGCCATAAAGTTTTGTCACGACAATTCCCTAAGCTAATAGGCATGCCCCACTAATAATTGTAAGATATAATATACAAAAAAAATTAAATTATTTAAGAAAATTATAATAAATCTTTATATTTTTATTATATTCAATTAAGTTTTTAAATTTGTATTTTAAATTAAATAAATTTTTATAACTAATACTTAATTTCATTAAATATCATTTATTATTCTATATTATGTGATATTGACGTCGTATATTAAACATTATATATGCCTTAAATTTACGTAAAATATATGAAAGAAAGCATCTTATTATTTCATAAAAGAAAGATTTTGAAAATTAAAGTTTCTTAATATTAAAAGACAAGTCTTTTTTTATATTGAGGAATAAAGTTTTAAAATAATCAAAATATTAAACAATGAGATGAAACTTCCAGAGTAGCGTTCATTTGAGGATCACATATATAAGTGGTGTCAGATGAGATGCCACGTTGTTTCTTCCTTGGGGAATTTTCAAATAGAAAATTTAAAAATGGCATTTTTGTGGATTTCTAAGCTTGAGAGGGTAAATTCTGCACTACCTATTTATTGTAAAAGTTTTTCCACCTAATATTATTGTGTTATTTATATAATATAATTATTAGATAAATTAAATTAGTACATGATTAACTTCATTATCGGACTATTGAAATCAGTCGCTACAACATTTCCAATCATGCATGCCTTAAAATTTAGAAACTCTATTTGATATGCTATAAGTGTATAATACTTATACATTGTCATTTAATTACAAATTCTCACCAAATAAATATAAAAAATAAAAATTTAAAAATATTTTAAAATAAATATTATTAAAAGTATGATTTTTTTTAGAGTTTTTAATTTTTAACAATATTTGATTAAGTGATAATATATAAATTTTATACATTTGCAATGTATCAAATATTAACTCTAAAATTTATTCCTTAATCCAAATATTATCATGTCTAATAGTTTGTTAAAAAAATAAATACGTAGGTAGCATTTTGTATGAAGGAAGTGAAAGCACATTCTCTGCAACGTGTCTAAATAAATTACATTATAGTGTTTATTTTGTAATATATCATAATAATATAAAATTACATTGTATTCTGTAATGTTATTAAATATATTTTTACTCTTTAATTTTATTATTTTGTTAAAAATATTTTGTAATGTTATAATTAAAATAAAATATATAATATAAGAATTGTAAATTAAAATAAAATATAATATAAAAAATTAAAATTTATATAGTATACTTAAAAGAAATTAAAATAAAATATGTAATATAAAAAATTATATTAAAGAAATGAAAATAAAGTATATAAGATTATAATAAGAAATGAAAATAAAATATATGACATTAAAAATATATTTAATAAGTGATATTATAAAAAAATTTATAATAAAAAATACAAGTATACTAAACTTGTATTTTAATAAATAATCATAATTTTAAAAATTAATATTATATTTTCAGCAAAGTACTTATAAATCAAATGCTGTAATGTTATCTTTCTTATATTTTAATCATTATTTTACTTGTATACTAAATACTGTAATATTATTTTTTCTATAATCACATTACTTACAATTATATTACATTATAAAGTACCAAATACCACTATAATTTACAGCTAAAGGAGGAGTTGGTAATGGCCATAAATGATAAACCTAAAACCCAATCAACAAGTGTAATAATTAGAGAGCATTTGTTAACGTGGGCCATCATTGAGATTATGTAATTTTAAGTAGGTTTAATCTATTGGAGGTTGATACAATAATAATGGAGTTGGGAATCCAAGGTCATTTTTTTTTTCTTGTTTTTTTGGATAGTGCAATAATTCAGGAGTGCATACCAAATTGTTTGTTCAATGTAGGGCTAATTAAAGAAAGAGATTTGCCATGAAATTATCATGTTGTTGCCCGAACACCCAACATTGCAACTAATATGTTAATTGGTCCTCAGTTATGGATTCCTAATAAAAAAAATAAAATTAATAAAAATTGAAAGATAAATCTTAAATATGTGACTTACAACTCACATATATATATATATATATGTTAAAGTTTAATTGCTTGAGGTTGAGATTTTTTTAGGTATCCTCACATTTTAATTGGTCAAGGATCGAACCCTTGATCTTGCAAATTGGAGGCTTCAGCCCCGATTATCTAATAATTAAAAAATTATATGTAAAATTTATTTGTAAAAAATTTTGATTTTAGAGATTTGTTTGTACATTTTGAATTATTTCATTAAATTTAAATGTAATATTCGATCACATTAGATAGGAATGTAATTATTAAAATATATATATAAAGATTTAAGTCTATGTTACAAATTTATTTGATCAATCATACTTGAACTTGAATCATTACAAAAATCACTTCTAATCTAAGGTGACAAAAAGAAAAAATAAAATCCAATTGTGTATAACTCTCTTAATATTTATCTTATTTAAAAATTTGTAAAAAAAATAAAAAGTCTATATTTGATCCATTGTGTATATAGTTTTATACACTATAATTAACCATTAAGTACCATCTTGTAAATTTATAAAGATAAAAATTAAAAAATACATAAAATAAATAATTTTTAAAATATCAATATAATTCTATTATTGTTAATCAAAACCCCAAAAAAAAGTAAGTAATCCTTTGCAAATCTATCAGCGACTAAGGGAGAGAAACAGGGGGCGGTGGCAGTTGTGACAGATGGGTTCATTGAGGGTAGATGCGTGCCGTCCAACTCATCCAGCGGCAACGTTATCACAAATTGTGACACTGCATTCAACAAATGATTATTTACTTCATTGTTTATATATAAAATGGGGGAATTAGACTATAAGATTGTGATGCCTTCTTGTCTCTTTCACTTAATTTGTTATCTTTTCAACACTTACCTATAAAACGTCTACTATAAACTCAATTCGAATTCGTCTAATCGAGGATAAGTATAAGCACTAGGGAGCCTTACTTTTTAGACCAAAGCATTAAAAAGCCTTCATATCAAGAAGAATAATCACGTACTAGATAATACTACAAGAATGCAAGTCCATTCTTTTTTTACTATTCTTAGTAAACAAATTAAAGAGAGGATGGGGCCAATAGTAAGCAACCTTTTTTTTTTTTCCATGTCATTTATTCTTTTCTGAAGAGGTATAATTTTATTATTTATTTTTTTAATGTAATTAAAAATAAAAAAAATTAAGATTAAAAGAAAGCATAATACTTAAAAAAAAATTTAAATAATTTTTTATTTTATTATGTTTAATATAGTTTTTATATTTTTATTTTTATTACTTAATTATTATAATTATATAATTAATTAATTATTATTAATCAAAATGACATTTGTTATTTTAACATATCAGGTCATTAAAATGGCATTGATATAAATAGTGAAAAATATCTCATAACTAATCATTATGTCAAATTAACATATCAGGTCATCATTAAATTATAATATGTCAACATGTTACGTGAAATAGAATGATTTTGACTAACAACAATAAGTGAATTATTAATGATAAGCGTATTTAGTTTAAAATACAAGTATAAGGACTTGATTAAATGTAAAAAAAAATATTTAAAATTTTTTAATTATTTAAATTTTTTTTAGATATTATAGAAATTTACTGTAAGGAAATAATTAAATATTTTAACTTTTAATCATTTTTTAATCAAAATGATAAAATTTTACTCATTTAGGAGAAATGATTTGGTTAAAAAAAAAAGAGAAAGGATAATAAATTTAAAATATTACTTTAAGTAGAGTGGAAACCTCGAAAGAATGGCCCATTTGGTTTAGGGGTCCGGCTAATTACCAAACGTGGGCCTGAACAAAATTTAGGTTCACATGGCCAAGTCTCAATCAGAATAAGGCTGAGCCTGAGGAGAAAAATATGGGCTCAGGCTCATTCCGCTTAATACTAAATTATCCATATAACTCCTCGTAATTAACGAAGACAGATAGGCTTCTGAGTTCGAAGTACGCTGGTCTGATCAGCCCCGATCAGTCCTTCGCTGCCAGTGTGATGACAACCAAAACCGTCCACGGAATCATTTCCTCTCTCCCAAAATGAGAACCTTAATTTGTAAAAATCCAATCAAATTCAGAATCGCAAACTCCCAAATATCACCTTCAGGCTTCCCCTTCCGTTTTCCGTCACGAGAAAATTTAAGGTTCCGTCACATCTCCCGTGGCAAATACTCTCACATCCCCGGAAGAAGCATCGACGTTTCTCCCGCCAAAGCTTCTTTATCAGCTGAATCCCCGAGTTACGGCGGGTGGGACGATTTTGAACCTGGTAGTTGGTCTGCCAACTCGGGTGAGTCTGCTCAGTTTCGTGACTTCCTTGTTTCTATCGGAATCGACGATAAGAGACATGTCTTTATGTTTTTATTGGGACTTGTTTGTGCCTTGGCGATTTCTAGGGTCAGAGTTTCTACAATTATTGTATTTCCAGCTTCTGTTTTGGTTTTTGGTATTGGGTTTTCGTTTGGTTTTGTTAAAGGAGGGAGCTTCAATGAGTTAAGCTCAACTAAGAGAAGGTCAAAAGAGGAGATTTTAAGAGGTTATAGTGATAAATTGAGGAATTTAGCTGATTTTTTTTATGGGTTTGACGTTGAAGTAAATAAGTTGAAGAATAATATACAAAGAGCTATTGATTCTAACAGAATTACTATACGCGATTTGGAGAATTATGTTAGTTTAGTGGAATCGATGAGGCTATCTGCTTCAAATGCTAGAAATGTTGTTGAAGCTTCTGTGGATAACGTGGGGAACTCTTATAGAGAGAATCAGAAACCATCAAGTAAGAAAAAGGAGCCTGGTGAATTTGGGCTTCAGTGGTTGCAATATCTTGGGAATTTTTTAGGAAAAAAATCTGTGGCTTCAAATCCTAATAAAGTAAAATATGATGTTAAGTCAGAGCGTGTGGATACTGATTTAAATAATCAAACTCGAGGAGATGTTTCATTCCCTCTTGTTGAAGATAGAGTTTCTAGTTCACCAAATAAGAGAAAAGGAGTTTCAAATCAAGGCTTTGCTCAAGATTCTTTAAATAATTATGCTATTAATGGAGATAGAGATAATAGAATAGATATTGATATGGAGAATGGGAAAATAAGGTCTGAATTTCTTGGTGGAAGAGCTAAGAGATTTCTTGAAAGTGAAGGATATAATTACGAGAGTAACAGATTGCAGTTTGTGAATACTCATGGCATCTCTTTTGACTCTAGTCATGGTAATGAGAGTAGAAGATGGAAATATGATGACAATCTACTTGATTCTGTGGATTTTAGTGTCAGATTGGAACATACAAAAACTGAAGCCTTATTTCTCCATGAGCAGCTGCTTCAGAGATCTAGTTGCAGGTCTTCCCACAATGGAAAGAAGAGTGAGAATGAGGCATATGGAAAGAGGCAGTGCTATGAAGATGATTCCCACCTGGCTGATCAACTATCTGCGCATGAGAATGAGGTCAGCTCTTCATCCTCAAAGTTTGCAGATGATGTGGTCTTTGATAAGTATCTTACAGAAGCTTGTGGTCTTCTGAAAGAAGCCAAGGAGTATATGAAGGGTAGACATGATGAAGAGCGTGTACAGATCATCTTGAATAGGTCTGCCACATTACTGTCACAGGCCATCACGATGAAGCCCATGAGTCTGTTGGCTGTGGGCCAGTTAGGTAACACTTATCTTCTTCATGGAGAATTGAAACTACATGTTAGCCGTGAGCTGAGAACTCTTCTTGCTAGAAATGATCCCATAATTGGTGAGATGCCACGAGGAAGAGTTCTCAAGGGACTAGATGATCAATTTTTCAGTAGAGATAAATTTGTATCCCTCCTAGTTAATGCTTGTGAAGAGTGTGAAGCGCTCCTTGTGAGGGCTGGTCGAAAATATCGGCTGGCATTATCAATTGATGGAGATGATGTGAGATCCCTATATAATTGGGGTCTTGCTCTATCATTCCGTGCACAGTTGATTGCAGACATAGGACCAGTAAGCATTTCCTTCAACAGTAATTTAATTTGTTGTCTGTTATTTAAATTCTCTTGGTCAAAAAAGGAAACAATTTTATCAACTTTTTGATGAGTGATCTTCATTAGGCTTAGATCATTTACAGTTAAATGTTGGAGGCTCAAAGGTTGGTTTAAAGTTTTGGCATTTATCTAATTTCCTACTAAATGGACAGTTTTATCTGGATTGGCATTTTGAACCTTGTTGGGCCTTTTTCTTTTTCCTTACAAGTGTTTATTGCAGAACATTTTAATGAATGTTGGAGTTTATCTTTCCAATTTCAGGAAGCAGCTTTTGATGCTGACAAACTATTCTTGGCTGCGATTGATAAATTTGATGCCATGATGACTAGAGGCAATGTTCATGCACCTGATGGTATGTCTATGTTCTTTGTGTCAGTCAAGAAGTGCGATGTCACAATGATGATATGCTAACTGAATTGAAACTCTTATGACCGTTGACAACTGATTTATGGGTATAACTGAAATGTAATCACAAAATAGATTTTGTTCTGCAATGTGTGCTATTTAAGTGCATTTGCTTGTGGTTGGGTTAAGAAAATCATTTATGTATATTCTAAACTTTATCTTAGTACTTGGCCATGTCTACATGATTATATGTTCTGTATATTTTTGGGATTGTGGCAATAGAGCATTCCTGTTTGCTGCATGGCAAGTATAATTTAATATATATTGAGTGAATATGCAAATTCCCTTGACTCTTGCATATGTCTGAATCGCAGCCCTCTTTAGATGGGGAGTCACATTGCAGCAAAGATCTCGCTTAAGGCCTGGTAATAGTAAAGAGAAGGTGAAGTTGCTACAGCAGGCTAAGAGGTTATATGAAGATGCACTCCATATGGACTCCAAAAATCTGCAAGTAAGAGATGCCTTATCATCATGTATATCTGAGCTCAACTATAGGTATTTTTAGCCATTATGAGAGCAGTCATGTAAACTTGAATGATTCATTCTTTCTAAGTTTCTCTGCTCGGGGCCTGTGGTATTTGCTTATTTTTTCTTTCCAATGCAAATCAACGTGCACGGCTTCTTGTCATCATTGTGTAAAATAAACAATAATATCAGTAATAATAAAAAGGCAATTGAAAATACATCCTCTGATTATCTTCTTACATCCCTTGGATAGCTAACAGCAGTACAGCACTAAGCATCAGAACGGTGTCTAGGGTCTATGTACGCATTCAATTTGCTGTTAAATTCTGTTGAGTGTGGGAATTTCCTTAAAGGATGCCTTACTCCAAATAGTTGGACCTTCTTGGATGTTTTTGTTGAGATATGTTTTCTCAAGTTTGATAGCTCTTTATTAATTGCCAACATATATTTAGACTTCTGGTTAATGCTTATTCCGCAAGAAAACTACAGTATAATAGTAAAACTGAATGGATATCTAGTATATTCTAGTCTTCTAGAAGTTGACATTTCGTCATGGTCCGTGCCAACCATACGACAATGTCTAAATGATCCAAAACCGAACTATAGACAGCATGTTTTCAGCCGCAAGCAAGGTTTATGTCAAAACACAATCTTGAATGTGTTTGATTTTTGGCAAAACTCAAGTTAAGAAAATGGAACAAAGCAGAGAGAGAAGCCCTGTCTTTTTGCAGAATGCCTGGTATGTTAAGAGGTTTGAAAGAGAGGACGTCATGTACCTTCCAAACATTGACAGGCCTTGAAACTATTAAGCTAAAATTGGTTTCATTTAACTCATAAATATTTTTCCATTAAGTCAATTACTTCAGGTTGATTGTCTTTTTAAGATTCTGAATCTCCCTGAATTTATACATTGGATCATAATCACCAAACATAGGTTCAATTATGGATTTTCTTTGTGGTTTTTGGTGTTATGTTCTGGATCTTTCTACACTAATCCTAAGCCATAGACCTCAATTGTTCACGGAAAACTTTCATCATTCCAGCAAAGGTAACAATCCCAGCTAAGGTTCCATCGTCTTCGACAACCCACACGTAGCTTACACGGTGTGCAAGTGCCTGAATCATCACTGCCACCAACGAGCTCCATGGATAACACACAATCGCCTCTGATCTCCTCACCAATCTAGCTGAATACCCTCCTAACCTCCCACCCCTCCCCACCCCAAACTCCTCATCCGACGAAGATGAATAAGATGACGAAAACGAAGCTCCCGACGAGATCCCTGAATCTTCTTCCATCAACTCCAAAGCCTGCTCTAGATTCCTCTCCTGCAACCTCTCTTTCACCAATTGAATTAAGTCCTCCGGCCGTCCACCGCAGTCTATATAAGCCATCAAATCACCAGCTGAAAGGTAGCAATGGCAGCCGCTACATCCTCCCCACAAGAATTCAACGTGAAAGGCGAAATTTCGCCGATCAACTTGCCGTCCGTGTCGACGATAGCAACGGACGTTTGCATCTCAAGGACTGAGCAATCAAGGGTAAGGCCAAAGAAGCCGGGTCATCATAATGGACGGCCAGGATGTTCTGGCTGTCGCTGATGTTAAGGGAGTTGATCGGATTGACAGCGGTGGGGCTGAAAAGGCCAATGGAATTGAGAAGGTAACGGATTATATCTTCTTGAGTGAGCCAACAATATTCGCGGTTGCTGTGAAGGGTTGAATTAGAAAGAGTTATCTGGAGAAGCTTTTTCCTGGAATTCGTGGTGCCGCTTTCCAATGGTATCACAAGATTCTGGGCTCCTTCCAGAATCAGATCTATAGCCTCCACCAAGCTGAAAAATTAAACACGAATTTAATTAGATTAACGTATGGTGTGCTTAACCAAATCTTAAGAAACTGATATATTTAATTAATTCAAATAAAGACTGAACAGAAAAAAACGAAAACGCGTCATTAACCCAAAAAAAAAAAAAAAACCAACCTTGCGTTAGGTTCTAAATGTCTGACAAGGCCAGGAACCTTAGGAATTAGGACAGATACTGGAGCCTGAAGGGCTGTCCCAGGGTTCGACAGGTTTTCTTCCTTACACAAAAAGCAAATGATATCCACCATGCAAACTTTGCCTAGACAACGACACTCCTCAAAACCGGCGTCAGTCTTGTCGGCGCCCGGCAGATAACGATGATCGCAGTTCCAAACGCTAATATAGTTGTCCCCGAATCTTTTCAAAACCGACAACGCGTGGCCAACCGTCGCGGAGATAGAGAGGGACCTCAGCGCAGGCTTTCCAAGGCATAGGTCGGATACTTCACGAGCCAATAAACTCACTGCCATGCACGACCGGAGAGAAATGAGAGAGCTAAGAGCTTGTTCTTTAACTGGATGTTTCTAGAGAAATGGAGGCGATGCAGTTTTCAAGGTGTGTAGGGATGATGATGACTTCCACAAAAGTAAAGAGGTGGAGAAATTTTCGGTGGGAGCGTGTGTTATTTATAGGAAGTTAGTAACCGGGAATACCCGGTCAGCCGGGTAATAATATTTGAAACGGTTATGGGTTGTGGTGAGAGTGGAGCCCGAATTAGAACCGTTTACAGCTATGAGAGTTGTGTACTTCGAAAATCAGAAATCAGGGGACTCTGATTGATTTGTCTTCCCATTTTTTCTAATGTAAAGCTATGGTGACTGGTGAAAGAGACCTTAAATTGGGCCAGCTTGGGTTTGGTTGGCAACTTGTCTTAGTAAATTGTTGTTTAATTAAGCAGTTTTTCTTGGAGGCTTAAGGCAAGTGAAAAGTCTAGTGTGTTAATTCTCTTTAAACCGAACATTATTGACCAATTGATAAACTTTTTTTGGTTGGTTTTTGTTGGTGAATATGTTTAACCATTCATAATTTCTTACTATAAATAGGGTAAATTTTATCTACGTCTCTTCTAATTTTAACTTTTCTCATATTATATTTGTAGTTTTTTTAATTAGTATAATTGTGGATAATTTCTATTCTTACAGATAGTTAATATTTCAATTTACTTAATAAAATTAACAAAATACTTTCAATTCAAAGTTAATCTCTTTGTTTACAATAAAAGGTATTTTACTTAATCATTTGTAAGAATAGAACTTATCTACATGATGTTAATTGTGAAAAAAAAATACTTAATGTTAATTGAAAAAGAAAATCATATTCGTATTACAAACTTAAAAATCTAAAAAATATAACTACAGTTTGTCATTCAAAATAGTTTATAAGTTAAAAAGAATGGGTTTATTTCATTGTATAAATTTCGGCCATTCTTATGATAATTTGTATAACTTTTTATTACAATATTATATATAACTTTTTATATTACAGAAGTATGATTTGAAAGCTTGCAATTTTAATCTACTTGCTACAACCAAATTATATAATTGCAACTAAATAAATTTTTATAATTATAATTATAATATTATTTATTATCTTATATTTACATAATGATGATATGAAATATATCATATTTATATATTATTTTTAAAAAATTTACTTAAATTTATATCATGTGGTATATAAAATTATCAAATCTAAAATTATATAATAATATCGTACCACGGCACCAAGCAAGCTTAAGCCTAACTTGCGCAGCCGAGAGTAGGCAGTAAACCGGCAGGCCTGCCATCTCTATAGACGTCCAGAAATTATTGTAACTAGGGATCTTTCAGCAGCACAGAAAGATATGCGAACACAATTCATGTTTAGCTTTTATGTACGGAACGAGCTGTCCTTTTCCTTGCAGGGAGATATTTTGAAGGCATGATAAATTCCAGCGGCAACTTTGATTTGCTTTCTCGAAAAACGCTTGGGGGATGCTCCTTTGTCAATTGAATTCCAGTAATGCGATCTGGTGGGTAATATCTTTTGGTTTTGCCGTCTGATGTGCAAGTGAAAGACCTTCTCTTCATTCTTCATTGATGCTTTAAAAGCTCTGTGAACTTTAGCCACTGCCACGGCCCAGAGTTTTAGGCTGCCTGGCGTATTACTAGCCGTCGACTCCCAAACCCCAAGTTCAATGAAAATACATCGATTTTCTAATCTAAATGCAGAAAAAACCCCATGGTCGTGCCGGTCATTTCATTTCTTTTACCAACTAAACCAAAGACAAGTCCCGGGTTTAACCTGGGCAGGCTGCTTCTTCCGATAGGAAAAAGTTAAAGGTCATTTGTCAAAAATATTAATTTAGGCCTAAGTTTTCTGAGGTGATAATCTGTGGAATACTGGAATTCAATTAGAAAAAGTGCCGTTAAAAAGAAAGGAGAAAGTCATGAACCTATCATAATTAGTTTGTCAACATTGGTCTTGTCATATGTATATATACATCTGCCTAACTCACCAAATAATAAATCCAAAATTTTAAAACTATTAAATTTAGTTTGGAGAACAAAAAGTGTTATTTTTCTTTTTTTTTTTTAAAAAAAAAAAGCCCAACTAGTTTAAAAGTTTATATATATATGTAAACATTTTGAGATATAATTTTTTATTATTTTTTACTAAACTTTCATATATTATGAATATTACAATACTCTATATTTCTAAATTTTTAAAGATCATTATTCAATTACAAAGGACAGAAGTTTATACATATTCTCTTACAAATTGGGGAAAACATTCATTCATAAGGGTCCAAACAAATTAATTTACACGAAGGCTGAAAGAGACCACACATTGCCGCGTGAAAAATGACCTAAAGTTTTTTTATAATGGATAACAAAATTTTCCAGTGTAACGTAGTATAATTTTGACTATGTTGAGGATCGTCAAGGGTTAAGCCACTTGAGCAACGTGCAGCCTGTGCCCTATATTTTCCAATAAGATGTAGCGTACAGCCCATATTAAGATTTGACATTTAACCAATCTTTATTCTTTACCATATTCAACATGTTCATTGCATTCAACCATCAAATTCCATATTACACATACATACATCAAGTCCGGCCTGTTTTCTTTTACTAAAATTACATCAAGAATTAATAAGGGCAAATGAGAAAAAGAAAGAGAGGATTCTCTCAAGATATGAATGAATAAAACCAATTGATATTAATTTCAAGGAACTAAAACAAACGTTAAAACTTACTATTTGATTATTGTTAAAAATTTATAAGGATATTATTACTAAAAATATTAACGTATATTTAAGGGTGTATTTTTAATGATCGAATTATTTGACCAATTTGATTATAAATTTTGGATATTGATATTTAATTCAAATAAATTAAAAAATCAATACCTTTAATTACCTTTAAACTGAAATGAAAATAATCGAATTGATTTAATCAAAATTCAATTAATTCAATCGATTATTCCATGTCAATCCAAGTTTGCTCAATCCTAAGTATAAGTGAAAATTAAATGTATCAAATCAAATTTTTTTGTTGAATAGTTTTGAATTTGAATCATGCATTTCATGTTTATTTTAAAGTTTAAAATATAATCGTATTTAGTAAATAATATTTAGGATTATTAATTATTTAGCTACTTTAAATGGGATTTCGCATGAGTTTAATCCAAACTTTTTGTTCCATTTTATTATACAGTTATTATATCCAATCGTGTTGAAGTATTGGTTGAATTTGGATATTAATTAGTAGTTTTTTTTTTTTTGGAGGCCAAGCCTCACCTGTAGAAAACGGGTGCCACGGAGCAACCCGATCCATTTCTGCGTCAGCGATGACGTTTACGGAACTTGACTGAATGTGGTCCCTGAAAATCTAACGAGCCTGGTTACAAAGACCGCAACAAAGAGGAATGGGGAGTACACAGAGTGCCCATGCTACCAGTCGGATTAAGGACACGTGTAGGTAGCAATCAGTCATCAGCTTCCGCGCTTAAGACGCGTTCGGTTTCACTTTGATAAAAGAAATATCCAACGGTAGGATCTATTGCAAGGTGAAGACAAACAAGTAGCTGTCCCACCCCGTACACGTCACTGTACTAAATCCGTACTTACTTTAGAACGATGTGCCACGTATGCCTTCCGACATTTTGTCGATCTCGAACTGGGGAATGCTATTGTCTTTCATTTTCCAAGGGTGATTGAATTTGCCAAGGAAAAAACACAGGACATGGCTAGTACCGGTAGGCTCACTGTCATCAATCAATTTGTTAAATGTTCCAATCATTACTTATACGATTTCAAAAAAATGAAAAAAAAGAGAACATAACAAGTTAACAACAAAGACTTCTGTTTTACCATATTCTTATCAAAAATGTTAAGAGATGCAAGATTTTGCATCCTTTTGCATAATTTTATACCAATAATTAAAAGTAACAAAAGTAAGGTACAATAATCCGTTCGAAATTGACTCGATGCCAACTAACATTTTCTCTTAAGTCGAGTTATTGGTGATAACAAAATTTTAATACAGTGAAAAACGATTATTTTTTAAAAATAAAAAAAGTTAAGATTTTTAAGATTTGTTAATGATTTTTTTAAAAAAGTACTTTTTATGATTAGTTAAAATACTAATTTTAAACTAATAGAGTTAGATTAATAGATGCTTATAGTTAAGGATGGTTAGTTTAGAAAAGATTGTTGTATTTTTGCACTGTTTTTTTATTAAATTCAAGAGGAGACAAATGCATTGATTATAAATTTCTTTCTTTAAATAATAACTTAACCGGTGGTGTTAAATGCTAGTTAACATGTGTAATGATAAAGTTTTTGTAGTAAATATAGTAATTAGCAATTAATATGATAAATTTCAATGCGTTAGGAAAGAGATATTACCTAATACAATATAGTGATTTTAATATAAATAAGTGCTTATAAGGCACTAGTTTGGCTTCTGCGATGTCGTTAGTTTTTCTTTTGGGACTCCTTTTGCACATGTTAAGTTGTGCTCTGTTTATTGCTATTTAGTTCATGTAAGAGAAGAAAAAGATGAAGGAAACATGTAAGAAATGCTTTGCTAATAGTAATTAGTATTCCTTTTAGGCTTTCAAGCTACACGACCATTTTAAACTTCTTAAGTATCAGACCAAACTGATCAATTTCGGCCCATTTGAAAGGAAAGCTGCCAGACTCAGACCCAACACAGAGAGTTGCTAACAAAACATTTTGGGCCTATTCTGTTTTAAAAAGAACAGGGTTCCAGGCTAAGCCTAGTTCAGAAGATGGGCTTGGTTCATTTGGACGGAGCCTGGGCTTGTTTGACCTCGGACCAGGGAGAGGGCCGGCTGACGACCTCGTCATAATTGGATCACAAGGTACTGGAATTGTTTGACCATCTGGTTTGCATACGTGGAATGTCGGATGCCCGTCCTGTCGCCACCATACAGCCTGAAAGTCAGCGTCGGGAATAATGTGCTGACTGGGTTCATCGTCATACTTCCTCTGTGATTCGTGGCTGTGGATAAGCGCGTTAGGCAGATTCCTTGATTCCCGTCTACCGCCTGTGGTACTATCCAAAACAACATTAAAATAGGCAAGTGCTTATCAAGTTATCATTCCATAAAAAAAGTTTGACCCTTTCTAAACCATTAATAGAATTTGATATTTTTTAATTTATTTATATTATGTAAATAATTATAAAGCATAATGAAGATTAATATGTAAATGTCCAAATCCATATACACATATGCAAATTTGTGGACTTTGAATTACAAGAGATTAATAATTTTTTATTTTGATGATTATTTTTATAATTGGATTTGGAAAATGAGTTGACATGGTAATTTCTGATCATGAAATTATTCATTAAATATGTGAAATAATTATTTTAGATGCTCCCGTACCACTATTTTGTCTTGTTAAGGAATAGAATGCGATGATTTCTATTTTGTTTCATAATTACCTTTTACAAATTTATCAAATCTTAAGTTATAAGAAAAGAAGAAATAAGGAAAGGGAAAAATAGAGGATTTTCGGAACCAGATCCTATCGCCGGTGAGTTGGAGAGAAAGAAAGAAAATAAAAAAATAAAAAAAAAGTGAAGGGGAAAAGAAAAAATTATAATAGCAGTAGCATTAAATTTTTATTAATTAATTATAATTATTATTTTCATTATAATTTAATGATTAAATTATAAGAAGTTTACATTTATTTAAATCAGATTCTTAAACTAATGGTATAAATTAATACTATTATTAATATATTCAATTTCAATGAATTAAACCTTATAGTAACAATTCGATGTTATTATTTCATTTCGTTGATTCAATGTTCTGTAACAGTTTTAAAATATTTAAATTTAAAATTACTATGGAGAAGGTGTGGAATTTGAAAGGAGGGCATAAATTAAAAAAAAGTTCCCTACAACTATCCCACCTGATCATTGCCCAAACTCATTTTGTTATAATTTGTAAGCTTTAAGATTCCTAAATATAGATAGCAAAATCCAAACCACCACGTTCATGTATTTTTTGCGAAATAATTTAACATTTTAAAGAAGAAAATAAAAAGAAAAAGAAACACAAGAACACTGGAAAAGCGGTTGTGGAACAATCTACGTTCAGATCTTGACGTGTGATCTAAGCATTGGTTGTCGAGTTTTGGATAATGTTGCCACGTTATCATGGCTGTCCCCTCAATTATATATATAACCCACGGATCACGGCTTTTTCCAATATACCATTTGGTCTTTCTTTAGTTTACTCTCTCAAGTTCTCAAGCAACCTGTGTTATCTTTGGTTTGAATCAATCTCCGACCTCTTTAAAGAAAGAAATTTCTAGTTTGATTGAGGAAGAAGAAATGTTGGCAATATTCAACAAAGGGTTAGTGAATCCACCGAAGGAGCTGCACAGTCCAGCTTCGGTAAGTTCATCTAGGAAGCCTAAGCTTGCGGTGGAAATCCTCAAGGATTTTCTCTCTGCTAATCCCAACAGTGCTTTCTCGATTGGCTTCGGAGCTGCAGCTTCCTTAGCTTATGTTCCACCACAGAATCCTTGCACCACTTACCAAAGGTATCTCTTTCTCTTCCCTTATATGCACAGTAATTACACCAAAACAAATCCCCCCCCACTCTTTTTTTTTGTTTAATGTTTCTAATCAAAAGTTGTTGGGTCTGATTGAAAATTTGCAGGTTGTTTTGTGGAGTGGATGAAATATACTGCATTTTCTTGGGAAGTCTGAACAACCTTTGCAGCCTTCTCAGGCAGTATGGTCTGTCAAAAGGCACAAACGAGGCAATGTTTATCATCGAGGCATACAGGACCCTCCGGGACCGTGGCCCCTACCCAGCCCATCAGGTACTCAAGGATCTTGAAGGAAGCTATGGATTTGTGGTCTATGATGGCAAGGCTGGAAGTGTATTTGCTGCATTGGTAAGATCTTCTTCCAAGCTCATAAAAAAAATAGAAGAAGAAGAAAAAATTAGGATGATTTCAACTGTTTATATTCTTACAAGTTTTATAATATACTGGTGTGTAGGGTGCAGATGAAGGGGTTAACCTCTTCTGGGGTATTGCAGCTGATGGATCTGTGGTTGTTTCAGACAACTTGAAGGTCATAAAAGAAAGCTGTGCTAAATCATTTGCACCATTTCCAGCAGGGTGTATGTTCCACAGCGAGCAAGGATTGATGAGTTTTGAGCATCCAAGGAGCGAAATGAAGGCAATGCCAAGAATTGATAGCGAAGGGGTGATGTGCGGTGCCGACTTCAAGGCCGATGTTCAGTCAAGAATAAGCACCATGCCGCGCGTGGGCAGCGAAGCCAACTGGGCGCTGCGAGGCTCCAAAGCTTGAATCATATTTTCACTCATGACCCACAATTGTATTCCATATGATTTTTGTGTTTTTCTTGGCTTTATTCCTTGCTTTTGAATTTTCGGAACGAACTTGCCACTGTAAAAAAATGCCTTGTGAACATGAAAAGGCATGTTTGATAAATAAAATGCAAAAAAAAAAAAAGGGAATTCCTTCACTTAGCAGATTAGCAAGTAGGTTTTCCCTTTCCTCAGCTTATGTGATTCAAGAACAAGCATATTGAAGATATCTGAGTCTTATCTGTAGCAGGGACTGATGGGAAATAGAGTTGTTTTTAAAGCATTAACGCTCGTTTGTTTCAGGTACATCAACACTTCAATGCAATAGAGTAGATACACACTGGTTTATAATGATTCATGACACAATCTAGCAAGTCAAAATAAAGGTATTGCTAATTCAAATTTAATATGTTGGAAAAACAATGATGCGAGAATCACCTGGAAAACCAGCTATTTTCCAGCTCTTTTAACTTAATTTCACAATTTAATCAAGTACATCTGTGTTACGTAGACTAAACATAAAGCTTGCTGACATCCTAATGTATGACAAGGAACAAATATGGAGGTGTCTATCATCGACCAGACTGCTAGATCTGGATTTGATTCCTTCGAAGTGATGAAAACAGGCGTATTTCAACAAGGCCATCTGCCCTTTCATGCAGGGAATGCAAGTCATAGAAAAAGATGGCGGAAAGACACCCTTGCAATTGATCACAGGCAACAGTACAACATGCACTAGCTTGCTGCTTCATCGCTGCTCAATCTAATCAATGCCGATGACCTTACACATCAAAGCATCTTTTGCTCAGTTGAGGAATGATTCTCCTAGTAATTCGTAACATAAATCAACCTTCAGCAAGCCTAGCCAAGCAGAACTACTTGATAATTCAATCTGACTCCACAAAGATCTGCAATGCAATGAAAAGATACAACAGAAATGAACCAGTAATATACATCCTAAAACTGATATTACCAATTTGAGATGGCAAGAAAATATATTAGAATGAATATGAAGCCAACCTCCACATCTGGCAATGAGTCATAAGTTTTCTTCTCTCTTGTGTCGGACACTGTAATTCCACTAATTTTCTGGACTCCAACTTTAGTTGCAATCAGATTCTGCACATGCAAAGAAGAACCCAGAAATTATAAATGGAGTGAAAACATAAACAGAAACACAGCTTGTCATGTAGCTGCAGATGGAGTACCAGCACAACTGGTGAACAGTAATCACTGCATTTTCAGAAGTTTATACAAGGGAGAAGAAGTAGAACAATCAGTATCAAATAATACGATAGCTTCCATTTGATACTAAATGATTGCATGTTCAAGTCCAGGCTGAAGCCATAGTTAAAACAAACTGATTGAAATTGTATGGTCCAGAAATATTTTTCATACCAGATGGAAATCAGTGGAACCAGATGCCTCCACCTGTGGTAATGCCTGCACACAAGTGTCAATATGACTATCACAGTAAATAAGAAAAAGAACAAGGAAAAAAAAAGCATTATTACAAAAATTTATTTATGCTCTTGAGATACTAATAATCTTGTTAGAAGACAAACCAAAGCAATTCATCTAAGTCGTGCTTGAGGTTCAACATTGCACAAGGCCTTCAACTACCTCATAACTGTACAAAGTCCCTCATGCTAACAAAAGTAAAAAAATAAATAAATACAACCATAATATCTAAAAAAGAAACACTATCCCATTACTTTTGGGTTGATGGCCCAGGTTTAAGTGATCCTCAGTTGTCATGACCTAATTACATGGACTGAAATTACCACTGCACCTTTCATACACACTTCTCATGCAGACTGGCTAGATTACTTTACATACCAACAACCACATCTCCCTCTTCATGAAAAAGCTCTAAGAATGCAAATTTCAAAACAGTTCCTACCATACCTTTTATGTTTACATGTTATGTGGTGTGACTTATCACTTTAGCCAGCACCTACCACATATCTCTCTTCATCAAGCATTTCTAAAAATATAAGTTTCAAGATCAAACCTTATCTTTCTCTCTATCTCTCCCTATAGAGGAAAGCTTTAGGTATATAAGCTGCTAGAAAATGTGAGTGTAGGCCAAAATAGCTAAAATAATGTTAGAAGTCAATTCAATCAAATACCATAGTCTGAAGTCCATTAATCATAACAATCTTCTCCTTGTGTGCACTATTTTGTGATAACCAAACCTCAAATGGGCCCAACTCTCTATCAGTATGGTTTGTGAGATTTAGGTGTACCTGCACAACAGTGATTAAGGCATTTAAAAGTCAATAAACTTATTAAAAATATACTTCAAGATTAAGCTGAACAAAGCAAAGGAAGAAACTCTTGGGCAGGCGGAATTTGATTGCAGTCTTCTAAAGTTTTGCCATTAGGATGGGCAAAGACTTAACAAGAAGTTTTGCCCAAATGCAGAAAGAAAAGCCTCTAATTATACATACTGAAAAGGGCCAATCCAAATTGATTAGAGATGGAATCTCCAGAATTTGCAACTCGATCTCTTTGCGTGTGATGGGCTGAAGAGGAAAAACATATCAGAATCTGTTTGATAATTCATATTTTTTTTTTTGAAATTAATGCAAATCTCAAACTCTTACGATAAACAGAACATAAAGAATTCAACAGTGTTTTTCTTTTCTTTTTTAAGAAAAAGGAAATTTGTTCAATACAGATTTGACAACAGAGAATATGAAACTGGGTTTTAAAATTGTAAGAATGCTTAACTTACATTGCCAAGAATTTGCTGTGTTTGCAAGCGGCCAGGTTCACCCAAATTTGTACGCCATGTTATCTGAAATTTACCTAGAATATTAGTCCCCTCTACTTTCACTTGTGCAGAACCATCCGAAGACGATTTCAATTGATAAAGGTAATTGTAAACCCCCCCGCCAGATCTGATAAGAATAGGTGGCTTAAAGATCTCTCTGCCAGTGAACGATTATCAATAAAGAAGAAAAGACTATATTAGCTTTAGCTTAAAAAATCAAAGAGAAAGATAACTAGAACTTCAAAGCATTGCACAGACAAGCTGCTAACAATAAAATAATCAAAATGATATATCCATTACTTACCCAGTTGATGAGTTATCTGCAGGATGGAGTTCATCTGCTTTTAGTGCTGTGGCACTCCAATGCGGAGCTGGTTCGAACTCAACTTGGTCCATATAAAGGTTCGATTTTGTATGATTCTCTATGCAAGCCTCTAAATAGGTAGTTTCCTGAGACATTACAGGAAGGGTGTGATTTGATGGCACAGCTGAAAGCCCTAGTTGACTCACAGCTTTTATGATTAATAATGCAGATGTTAAGACAATGGTCATAGTATTGGCGCTGGTATAGGCTGCACTTGTCATAGACCAACAATTGTAAAACCATAAGAGGCACTCCAATCATAAGATGGTAGTTTTACATATTGCAGAAACCGATTTGCAGCAGAAGGCAAGACACATTTGGCACACCCACCTTGCTTCTAATGCCACAAATGAGAAACACCAAAAGAGAAATATATATATATATGAGAAGTATATCTATAAGAAAACTCAGAGGTTGGGCTAAATAATGGAGGGTAGCCCTTGCCCTCCCATGATACTCATGAGGTGGGATGAAATACTGACGATGTAAAAGAAAACATTTAGGAATTGATTTGATATCAACTTCATTTAAGCATATTTACCCTACTATTTCTATACTTTGCATTTTAGAAAAAGAATCAACAATAGCAGCATGAATATCTGGGCTTTATAAACTTACATTAGAGAATTCAAGTCAATCTCAACCTACCTTGACAGCACGGACCTGCACAACAGAGACAAGAAACTTTACAATTTTGAATGGAAAAGTACAACAAAAGCCGAGAAGAAAATAAACGAACAAAGTAGAAGCAACAAATGCCTCTGGTGCTCGCCAGGGGCAGCATGTACATTAGATTTATTTTATTTCTTTCTTAAGGCATGGGATGGTACCTTTGTCCTAACTGATAGTGGATTTGCAACAATGAACTTGAAAAACTGTGGAAGATATTTTCGTTCGCCATCACCATCATTGTATAATGCAGTGCAAACCAGCCTAAAATTTTGTCATGCGACACATCATGGTCAAGTTAGGGGAAAGTAATTAAGGAAACCAATTACATGAGACAGCAAAACAGTTCTATAAGATACTACATACGTATGAGCTCCAAGTTCCTTGACATCATGTTCCACAATGAAATCATAACGCCCGCCTGCACGTATTGATTCAACAGGTGATTTTGATGTATCCAAGAGGAGGATCCTTTGCCTCTCCGTTTGAATTTCTGCCTATAATAAATGGAAGACTTCTTTATCTTTTGTATAAAATTAATACATATTTTTGAGTGTAAAAGTGTGCATGAACTTGCAAGAAAAACATCATTTAGGCACTTATCTCAAAGGAGACGAGAAACAAGTAAATAGAAAAATACTGAATTTAGATAATCAAAAACAAGCTTAAAGAGAAGCACATGATCTGGGGCTTTTCCCTTTTCAATGCTAATAACACAAAAGCTTAATCAAATTCAATTAAAGAGGGGAAAGAACAGGTCCTACCAAACTACAAAAGAAAATGTCAATAAGTTATCAAATTTTCTGTCGTTTCAAACACATTATCATTGCAGCAGGTAATCAGTAGCTATCAGCCAAATATTGCGGCAAATTCATCAAAAAGCAACAAATTAAACAGACTGACCTTAATAATAACATCCCTAACTTCAAAATTAGAGCTGTTGTTAATGCTAATATAGCTGCAGAATGTCTCTCCCAAATAAATCGCCCTTTATTAATTTAACCGGAAAAGAAGAATCAATCAAATCAAAAGAAATTAAAAAAAACGATTAACAAAAATAAAAACAAAGGGATGCAATGAGACCCGAAGGCTTGGGGGAGGACGAGGAGGCCAGAGAAGCCCATGGCATCGGAGGGGTGGTGGAGGAGGAATCTGTTGCCGTAGGTCAGATCGGAGGAGTCCGTAGACTTACTGACGTGGCTGGACAAGAGTGGAGGGAGGTTAGAGGCGGCGAGTGGATCGTCGAAGATGTCCTCGCCGACAAAGAGGTCGGCGGGGTCCAAGCGGAAGGGAGGTTCGACGTGGAACGATGGCTTGCAAAGCCGCATCACCCTGAACGCCAGGGAGTGCGTTCCTTGCTGCGTCGTGCTCATGGCTTAACTATTTCAGAATTATGAGCAACCCAGAATTGTGCCCTTTATTCTCTTTGTTAAATTGAGGCTTGAGACTTGAGAGACTCTGAGAGAGCAAGATGCCAAGTTATGAGAATGAGCTCTCGCGGTTTCCCTTTTAGCATTTGCCAGGTTCCCCAGGAGCTCGGGTCGTTTTATCTTCAACTGTTGAGCTTACTAATAATCCTTTCTCCGCCTAATTATGCAGATCTAAAAATAATAACAATAAATTTGCATATATAATTATTCAATTTGATTTAGAACATAATAGAATTATTCAAATTTGATTTTATTAAATTTAATTATTATTAATTTAATAAATAAATTCGAATATGATTCAACATTGAATTAAATCTAAAATTCAAATAAAACTTTAAAATAAAAAAAATTAATGTAACTCTATACTTTATTTTATTTATAAATATTTATCAAATTTATCAAATTCGAATTCCACTTAATTTAATTTTGAGCAACCCAAATTTAACTTCGATAATAAATTAATTAAATTTTGTTATTTATTAAATAATTAATTCAAATTGTTCCTGAATAGCTTCACAAGTTTACTTTCCTACCAAATCGATATAAAGACTTCAAAATTTAGAGATATTGGTTTAGAATTTATAAACAACTTCAATCCAAATAGACATTTGCCGAATCTAATAATTTATGCTCTCTCTTCAAATCAATTGGATCAAGTAAATAGGTAAGTGTAGATCATGAATAAAGATATATTATAAATGTTCGAGTTAAGCCGAGTTAACATAATGCTAAATTTGAATTTGATTTAATTAAAAAATTAGAGATTTGAACTCAATTTAATATTAATTTTGTATATCAAAAGTTGATTCAAAAAATAATAGAATTATTTGAACTTGATTTTATTAAGTTTGATCAATTACTGATTTAAGAAATAAGTTTAAAAACCGATTTAAGTTCAAATTTAAATTTTAAAATCAAATAAAACTTTTAAATATAAAACTTAATATTATTATATACTTTGTTTTATTTATAAAATATTTAAAAAAAATTATAAATCATTCAAGTCAAATATTATAAATTTGAATTCAACTTAACTTATTATTAATAAATTAATCTATCGAATCAATCCAAACAGATCACAAATAATTTGACAAAGTTTACTTTATTGCCAAAACCACTGAAAGACTTCAAAATGTGGACAAGAAACAGCTTTAGTCAAAATAAATACTTCTTTTTAAGTTAAAATAAAAAAAAATTATTTCATTTATCGAGTTTTTTTATTTAATTAAAATATATCGATAATCATTTTCTTAAATCTACAATCATATGCTCCTTCCACTTGAACATTAAGAACATCACGATTCTAAATGTATTTAGCTTTAACTATATTCATGGACAACTAATAATCTTGTCCATTTAACCAAATTTATTTTTTAATATTTCTTAAAAAAGAGTTATATTTATTTGTTTTAATTAATTAAAGATATATATTATTTAGTTTGTCTTTTAAAAATGAGTATTTAATAAATTCAAATATTTGATGAAGAGTTTTAAAATATTGAAATATGAATTCGGATAATATTTATAAATTTTATTAAAATAATTATAAATTTCAGATATATTATAATTTAATAAAAATTAAATTTTAATATCTAGAAAATAAAAAGAACCTGGGAAAGGAATTTGTGCTAGGCGTAGGGAAGCAGGCTGTAACGATATCTTCATTGCTCTATTTATAAACCCAACCGCCCAACCCAAACTCCTTTAATACCCGGAATCGCTCTGCTCTCTCTCTCCCACACTCTCACATTTTCTTTTCTTTTTCTTTTCTTTTGTTTTCTTTCCTCACGCAAACCCTTGACCTCAAATCCACACTAACCCCACTAAAACAAACACACACTCTCTCTCTACAGTGCTACCTGTCACCTTCAATTGCGACTTTTGCACCACTCAACTCGCATTTCTCTTTCTCTCTCTTACATTTGTTTGCCCCTTTTTCTTTTATATAAATAAAGAGATTTAGGGTTTTGTTTTTTCTTCGATATGAATCCGCAGCAGGGCTCGGGGAATAACAAGGACCCAGAGGAAGAGCCCGTGACCCAGTCGGTTGTTGACTCGACCGTTAAGACGGGCCCGGAGAAGCCTGTTGCTCCTGAGCCGGTTGCCGTTACTGGAGAAGACGAGGTTGTTACTTCATCAGAGAAAACGGAGGATACGACGATGGAAGATGATTTGGTTAATCCGGCTACGGTGTTTTGTATTCGCTTGAAACAGCCGAGGTCCAATGTGCAACATAAAATGAGTGTCCCTGAACTGTGTCGCAATTTTAGGTCAGAATTCGAGTTCAATTCACTGTCAACTTTGCGATTTTCTTCTTTTTCTTTTTTGGCTTTTTCATTACGATGTTTTGTTTTTCCCTTTGTTACTTCAGTGCTGTTGCTTGGTGTGGAAAGTTGAATGCTATTGCTTGTGCGTCTGAAACTTGTGCTAGAATTCCGAGGTAATGATAACTTACTCGTGAAGTCTTTTATGCTATCTTTGATCCTAGGGTAAACTATAGAACTATTTGGAATTTGAGTTTGTTGTGAAAGCTTTTTAACTTTCCAAACATAGCAAACCTTGGAATTGTGATGAATTCCATTAACGTTTTGTTAAACTCATTTATTCCAGACACGCTGTAACGGCAGAAATTTTTTGCGACTGAATTTTATATATAGATGGCGAACTAATGCATTAGTTCACTGTTTTCTTTCCTTGTAGTTCTAATGCAAATCCACCGTTTTGGATTCCCATACATATTGTGATACCAGAGCGTCCGACTGAGTGTGCAGTGTTCAATGTCATAGCAGGTAGCATATATCTACACCTTGCAGCTCTTACTGTTATAGTTTTAAAGTATTGTCGTTAGTGACCATGATGAATATTTTGACATGTGTAGTGGTGCGAAAATGTCACTTTCATATTGTTAGATTTATGGCTTATCAATCCATATGGTTTTGCAATGTCTTTTTATCCGTGGAAGCAGGATGATTAGTATGTGTGTATTTTTACCTCTTTGTTTTAGTCAATACGCTTGTGGTTATTGATGTTATTCTCATGTCTGCTTATAAGTATCAGCTTTGACTGATATAATATATCAGGTGCAAAGTTGTGTATATAATTTGTTGCATGCATACTTCTTGCAGATTCTCCTCGTGATTCTGTTCAGTTTATTGAATGGTCACCTACTTCTTGTCCTCGTGCCTTATTGATAGCTAACTTCCATGGGAGGATAACCATCTGGACTCAGCCATCCCAAGTAAGCTAGCTCATCATCTTCCAAATACTTAAGTCACCTCCTTTTAAGTCCTTAACGTGGCATTTCTCCTTATTTCTCCACTTCAGACTTAGTTATAGTGACTACAATGGCTTTTTTTTAGCTTTTGGTCACTTGTCATTTAGGCTTACCTTTTACTCATTTGTGGTCATAAGATCTTACCTTGGCTTAAAATTTGATGTGTAAATGCAGGGGCCTGCTCATCTGGTACGCGATGCTAGCTGCTGGCAGCGTGAGCATGAATGGCGGCAGGATATAGCAGTTGTTACAAAGTGGTTATCAGGGGTGTCGCCGGTAAATATTTTTGCTGTCTGCAAAGCTGATATATGGAAAAATGATCTTTGGGGCGTGAATTATCGTGTAAATTGTACAAATTTTTTTTATGTTGTCCTAATAACTTGGCTCAAAATTCTCATCATGTGTAAAAATCATAGTGATGGCACTTCTCTCACTATCACTAAAGCCTTCAGAGAAAAGAGAGAAGAAGCTGAGAATGGAGGGCTCTTTGTGTTGTTCCCTTATTAATATTCTTTGTGATTCTTTCAACAGATATCTTTTGCTCATTTGTGCTATGTTTTGTCTGGTCTCACCCCCCGAAGCATATAGATGTTCCAATCTGATCACTTTTGCTATTGCTTTATTTGTTTGAAATCAGTATAGGTGGCTTTCCTCAAAATCCAGTAATCCTGCAAACTCAAAGTCAACTTTTGAGGAAAAATTTCTTTCCCAGCAATCTCAAAATTCAGGTTTGTTGCTTTCTCCTCATTAAGTATTTGTAGTATACCTTGCCAGAAAGTTGAGGTCTGGCTCATACTTTTATTAGTTGCAAAATATGCATCATGTTCTCTTCATGATTGAGCATAAGAAGTAAATTTGTAAACACTCTGGACATCTAAGGTTGATTAATTTATAGGATGATCAACTGCTTTTGGTGTTCTTTGATGATGACAGTATTGGTTATAGCTCATCAGTTGGTCTGCCCTTTCTGTTTTATTAATATTGTTATAAAAGCTCATTATTGTTTGTATCTGATGAAAAAATGTGTTCTTTTCAGCCAGGTGGCCCAATTTTCTTTGTGTTTGTTCCGTCTTCTCTTCAGGGTCTGTTCAACTTCACTGGTCTCAGTGGCCACCTACTCAGGGTAGTACAGCACGAAAGTGGTTTTGCACCAACAAGGGGATTTTGGGTGCTGGGCCTAGTGGGATCATGGCTGCTGATGCTATAATAACAGACAGTGGTGCCATGCATGTGGCAGGTGTTCCAATTGTAAACCCATCTACTGTTGTTGTCTGGGAGGTTACTCCTGGCCCAGGAAATGGATTTCAAGCAACTGCAAAGACCAGCACAAGCAGTGGGATCCCACCTTCAGTTAATCCACCCATCTGGGCAGGTTTTGCCCCATTGGCTGCATACTTATTTAGTTGGCAAGAATATTTGATATCTGAGGCAAAGCAAGGGAAGAAGTCAACAGATCAAGATTTTAATGATGCTGCGTCACTACATTGCTCGCCAGTTTCAAATTTCTCAGCGTATGTGAGTCCTGAGGCTGCAGCACAATCTGCAGCAACCACTACTTGGGGCTCTGGAGTAACTGCAGTTGCCTTTGATCCAACTCGTGGTGGTTCTGTAATTGCTGTTGTTATTGTTGAGGGTACTTGTCTGATCTTTTAAGTTAATCTTTGAAACTTCTTGCTGTTCCTATAATGGAGCTTACACATAGGTTATAATGTTTGGTTAATTTGTTCTTTCTGCTTCTTGAATTATCTTGCTTATTAATTAGTTTGTTAAGTTGTTAATCCTCGTGATGGCATTTTGGAGATACTAATCTTCCGACTTAAATAAGCTGCAGACAGCATCGAAGATCCCATTACTTAGTGATTGAGAAAATAAGACTGGATGGGCCATGGTTTGGCCTGTAACAGCATGTTTTGGCAGTAATTGATCCATTGGATTATTGGCCTAATAATTTATAATTCCATTCTATACTTATTTTGGGCTGAAAGTTTCTTTGCTGTTGGTATACTTGGTTTCTGAATAAGATAGTTCTTCTTTTACCAGCTATTAATTTGGTTTTTGTTGTATCGTGTTTATTGAGCAGATCAATCTGAATAACTGATTTCATATATGCAGGACAATACATGTCCCCATATGATCCAGATGAGGGTCCTACAATCACAGGGTGGAGAGTGCAACGTTGGGAGTCATCTCGTCAGCCTGTTGTTATCCATCATATATTTGGGAACCCTTCCTCCAGTTTTGGAGGGCAAGCACCTATGCAAACTGTTTGGGTTTCTAAAGTGGATAGAAGCATACCACCTACAAATGACTTTAAGATTCAGCAAGCAGCTGCCGCCGGACCAGCTTCTGATGCCCGAAAAGCATCTGATTTGAGTGCTGAGAAGGCAAAGAGAGTCAGTTTTGATCCCTTTGATCTGCCAAGTGATGTTAGAACACTTGCTCGAATTGTTTATTCTGCTCATGGTGGTGAGATTGCTATTTCATTTCTTCGGGGTGGAGTCCACATTTTTTCTGGTCCAGATTTTACTGCTGTTGATCACTACCAGATTAATGTTGGATCTGCGATTGCTGCTCCTGCCTTCTCTTCAACAAGCTGTTGTTCAGCTTCTGTTTGGCATGACACTAGCAAGGACCGTACCATATTGAAGATAATTCGTGTTCTTCCTCCTGCTGTTTCAAGTAGTGAAATAAAGGCTAACGCATCAACCTGGGAACGTGCTATAGCTGAGAGGTATCTTCATAATTAGCTAATTTCTGTTCAGGGACTGACTGGATGGACTTTTTTTTGTTAATGTACAGCATGGTAGCACTGAATTTCTTTCATCTTAGAGCAGGTTCTGGTGGAGTCTTTTGGTTGGAGTTGATTGGTGGGATGCTGTTGGCTGTACACAAAGTGCTGCTGAGGATGGCATTGGTAAACATGCTTTCACTGTTTGTTACTGTTTTTTGACCTAAGTGCAAATTACATATTTTCTTCACGTTTGCATTTTACACTACCATCTACGCTTAATTAGTGGCACCTGTAATTCATGCTTGTTTTTTCAGTTTCTTTGAACAGCGTGATTGCTGTCTTAGATGCGGATTTTCATTCTCTCCCTTCTATTCAGCACAGGCAACAGTATGGACCTGTATGTGGTTCCTTGAACTTCATTATTGCACTATCTGGTTCTCAGTTGCTTTTACATGATTAATTACATTTTGTTCTTGTTTTATGAATTGTCAATTACAAGGTGAAAAGGCTATTCAAAAAAAAAAAATTACAAGGTGAAAGGAAAGTGTCTATAGTTTCTTACTATTATTATTATTGTTATTATTTTGACTTGGTTGAATAAGTGATGCACATTGGAAGATCATGTTCTTTGACATTTTTATATTTTCTGTAGCTGAAAAAAGTACACAATGCTTAGAATATCATCTAATGAGGCTATGACACCTTCAGTATCTTTAAAATGGAACCCTGCCTAGATAGCCTAAATTTTCTCCTGTCTGTATTACTCTGTCGCCTTCTAGGATGCTAGAATATAAATGTTGGCTTGGAGGGTGCAAAACAGATGAAATAGGAAACTTCAATCTTTGATGTTGTCAGGGCTAATTGTTCCAAACGCTTGGGTTTGAAATTCAATATCACCTTTATTTGAGCAGAGTTGATTAAATTTTTTATTGATTTTTTTAACTGTTTATTGGGTTGTCTTTATACATTGCAGAGCCTGGACAGGATAAAGTGCAGGCTACTTGAAGGTTCAACTGCCCAAGAGGTTAGGGCAATGGTTCTAGATATGCAAGCAAGGCTGTTGCTAGATATGCTAGGGAAAGGAATTGAATCAGCTTTGGTAAATCCTTCAGCTCTAGTATCAGAACCATGGCAGGCATCTGGTGAGACATTATCCAGCATTGATCCTGAAGCAATGGCTGTTGATCCAGCCCTTGTTCCGAGTATTCAGGTATTGTTTCTATATTTGACTTGCCTTAACATGTTTTGAGTCTTTAGTCCTGCTGAAATTTTATCTTTTGAAACAAAATGGTGTCCACTGTCCATTGTCAATGATTTGTCTTTATTGTTTCCTTACCGTGTTTCACGTATAAGATTACTGACGATTTTAGAGTGCAGCATAAGGGGTATATGGTTGGTCTCTGACCACGATTTCTGGATAGTAACTAAGCCCTACCAAAACAGTTCATATCTTGGCATATTATAATACTCTATCATGCTCTATCACAAGCATTTTCTTTCAGTGGAGAGGTTGTCCCTTGTTCAGTTAGCTTATACTTCCTATTGTTGATACACTATGCAGGCTTATGTTGATGCTGTTCTGGATCTGGCTTCACATTTTATTACACGTTTGCGGCGTTATGCAAGTTTCTGTCGCACATTGGCAAGTCATGCTGTTAATGCAGGTTCTGGCAGCAACCGCAATATGGTAGCAAGTCCTACCCAAAGTTCAGCAACTCCAGCAACAAGTCAGGGTCAGTATGTAACAGGCTTTTGATATTGAAAATTTATTAATAAAAAATGTACTTTTTTTGCATTAATGGGCTTATTCCTCCAGACCGTCATGTCTTTTAACCCTTCTTGATTTGTAATTCGAAATTTGCTGTATTTATCAGCCTAAACCATGTTATCATATTTTACAGCTGGTCAAAGTGGTACCACGAGTTCAACAGGAAGCACACAGATGCAAGCTTGGGTACAGGGTGCTATTGCTAAGATTAGCAGCTCCACCGATGGAGTTGCCAATTCAACTCCAACCATAAGTGGTCCATCTTCCTTTATGCCGATAAGCATTAACACAGGAACATTTCCTGGAACACCAGCTGTTAGGCTCATTGGAGACTGCCATTTCCTTCATAGATTATGTCAACTTCTACTTTTCTGCTTTTTCTTTCGGCGAGCGCAACAACCTCGCTATGCACAAAGAACTGCTGATGCAAATCAACAAAAATCTCAGCCTGGGGCTCCTGGAAAGATGGAGGAGGTCAATTCTGTTTCTGTTAAGCCAACGACAACTATGACTAGGTCTGATGAAGCCCAGGGATCAAGAACTGGACAGGTGGTACCTGGAGCTAAAGCAGTTGAGGAAGGTCCTGCTGGGCGGTTAAAGATGGGCTCTGGGAATGCTGGTCAAGGATACACTTTTGAGGAGGTAGTAACTGTATATTATTATTACTTCCATTACTACTACTGCCACCGGTAGTTGTCTCTGCTTAGAATATATGAGAAACTTGTTGGAAATTTAATGTTGATATGCCGAAAGTTTTGTTTTAGTTGTAATTGTGTGTTCAGGAGTCTAAAATAATATTTAGGATTGTGCTCTAGGGCACTGATGATGGCAGCCTGCAATGATACTTTGATATAATAAACTTCATATGTTGCTGTGCAGGTGAGGGTCCTTTTCTTCATTCTTATGGATCTCTGTAGGCGTACTGCTGCTCTAGCACACCCATTGCCAGTTTCTCAAGTGGGGAGCAGCAGTATCCAGGTGCGGTTGCATTACATTGATGGAAATTATACAGTGTTGCCTGAGGTAGTGGAAGCATCTCTTGGCCCACATATGCAGGTATGCAGATTTTATCGTCAAATTTTATGGAAAACTAGTTGCAGAAATGCTGGCTGCCAATAATTATTAGGCAGCTCTTAAATACAGTAACTCATGATTTATATCTGTCTGTAGTCGGTGATATATACTGATAGAACAAATAATATGTGGATTTAAAGTTGTGTTTTGCAAATCCTTCTGATTCTACAGAGCATATTGTAGATGTAACGTTAATAAAAGCAGTTTTAAGTAGCATAATGGAACCATTATTAGAAAAAGAAAAAAATATAAATAAAAGGTAGCAAAAGGTTATTGTGTGAGTGGACATAAGGTGCTAATGTTGGTTGTCCTGACTCTTTGATGTTCTAATTATTTAGATTTCCAAATTGCCTTTTGGTAACATATGTTTATCATCTCCTAAGTTCTCCTCTTTCTGAATTCTGTGCAGAATATGCCTCGACCTAGGGGTGCAGATGCTGCTGGTCTGTTACTGCGTGAGTTAGAATTGCATCCCCCATCTGAAGAATGGCACAGACGGAATATGTTTGGTGGTCCATGGTCTGATCCTGAGGATATGGGCCCAATAGATGACACTCCTAGGCTAAGTAATTCCATTGACTCCATTGATATGAGCTCCTTGGAAAATTTTGATGGCTATTATGGAGCCCAAACCCTGTGGCCAAGGAAGCGCCGGCTGTCTGAAAGAGATGCAGCATTTGGCTTAAACACTTCTGTTGGCCTGGGTGCATATCTTGGTATAATGGGATCTAGAAGAGATGTTGTGACAGCTGTGTGGAAGACTGGTCTTGAAGGTGTTTGGTACAAGGTTTGAGATTAAGCCTTCTTAAAACATTAATTTTTTCTTTTCACTTGTTGGAATTTTTTGTCAATGTGGGTATTACCATGCTCACCACATTAACTCTTGGAGTGTTTTGTTTGCTCATAAGATTCAATATGACTTTGAATATTGTTGGTGCCATTGAGATAACAGAGCTTAGACTGATACTTGGGAGGAACAACTTTTGTTATGTAAAACATGCATTCAGAGATATTAATTGATTGCTATGATCTTTTTCTCAGCTATGACATGAGTCTTGGAGCATAAACGTTTCATTCGGATATATCTTAATCCTTGTTTGTTTGGAATCCCTCTATCTTTGTCCTTCTCATATGAAATTCCTTTTTAATCTTTTTGGTAATTTTGGCTGCTTTTGGTGCAGTGCATAAGATGTTTGCGGCAGACTTCAGCTTTTGCTTCACCTGGTTCAACCAGTCAGCTTAGTCAAAATGAACGGGAGACTTGGTGGATCAGCCGTTGGGCCCATGGATGTCCTATGTGTGGTGGAACTTGGGTTCGAGTTGTATAGATGATACTTTTGACGGGATGTTTATTGGCTGGGCTCATTTTGATTCCTCCTTTATGTGAGTTACAACTTCTTATCTTGCAAATATATGTGGTAGCTGATCACCAGAATTGCCAGTGAGTCTTGATTTTGCTGGATTGAACAGTTGTATAGGATCGAGCTTTGCTCATCTCCATTGGCTCAGGAGCAATTTATGGTCGACCTATTAGGTAGGTTTCTCATTCTCATGAAAAATTGTCTGATACAGTTGCCCATTCGTTTGATGTTTCTCTCTGCCCTTGTTTATCTTTGTAATGCTTTGCAGGTATACTTTACAGTTCATTAATTCTCCTCATTTCCTCGTTGCAGATTGTAAATAGCTTTCTGGTAAATATGTCTATTCGTCTAGTTGCAGTTTACGCAGTCCTGATGGTGCGAATGTAATACCAAACCAAAATGTAGAAGAAGCAAATGATTGCTTTGATCCGAGAAGCTGTTCCTCCGAATCAGCCTTGATTGTTTACCGTCCCATCTTGTAAATTCTGTTGAGAAAACGACTTAGGTTGCTTGGCATTACTGTAACTAGAATTTTCTTTCCGAGCCTCCAAGAAGGGATGAGAACAAGAAATGAATAGGTTTAGATTCCCTGAAGTTTGAAACATTGACATGCTTGTTCCACTCGGGCAAAAGGGCAGCGCCCTCGGTCCAATCAGCTGTCTTTGTAAGTGAAAATATAATATTTGAGGTAAAAGAACATGTTTTCTGCATTGACTGCATGTTGCAAACTCCTACTATTTAGAAATCCATAGCAAATGAACTATCAAGAAGATGAATACCATGCGGTAATCTAATTTGCTGGTCTCCAAATTAAACCTATCTCCTTCTAGAGAATCCACTCCTTACTGTCCAAAAACTTAATTGGAACTAAATTCACCATAGTGTGATAATATAACAGGAGTATGTTGTTGGTCTCTAGCAGATTCCCTCTCTGACCGATTCTAACAAGAGGTATCGTTGAGCTTGCTTCTCACCTGTTGAGCACTTGACGTATGAAGCACTTCGATGGGAAAAAAGAGAAAAACCTATGTAGAAATTGGAATTAATACAGCACCATTGTCTTTTCCAATGTTGACCCAAAGGAAAGAACAATCTGGAGTCAAGCAGATAATTCTTTTCCAGTATGGAATAACCCCAAAAATGAAAAAAAAAAAAAATTGCTTGGACTGACTTTGGGACTCTCTTTTCTAATCTTGACTGTAAGGAAAGGAATATCTATCCGGACTGAAGCAAATTCCTTGTACCGTAAGATGTGGTTGAGAATAATCTCCACCTTTCATTCTCCCGTCATTTTATTTGGGAGAGGAAGGGTTGAACCCTGTAGGCTGCAACCGCTACTATTTTACTTGAAAATAATGCATTCAACATGATTATAATCTTTGCTTCCATGCTGTTACCTCGTAAACATTTATTCCTCAAACCAAGATTTTCCCAGTCTCGAATGTTAAGTAGACAAGAGTTGAAATAGTTGAATGAATACAATAATCAATTGTCTTGGACCATTAAATAGACACCCACATTGGGTTTAAAGTTAACCATAATAAAAGTGTCTTAAAAATATTATGTATTTTTTTTTTTTCAAAATTTTCAAAAATTACAATTATGATTATGAAATTTCACATCTATCAAATTTGAGGTATTTTAAACATATAAATATAACAAGAATTTTATCATCTATTATCAATTGATTTTAATCCCATGCATACTTGTCTTAAAAAATTCATTATGATATTAGAACAAAAACACTGTTTCATTCATTGATTTTTTACATGATGCATGTCATGTAATAAAATCTGTTTTCTTAACACACATGTGAGAACATGATGATTAATTTTAATCAATTAAATTTGAAATACCTTACTATTAATGATCGTGCATTATTCATTTCAAACAGGTCAATCAATGCATCATAACTTGATTGAAGAGGAAAGGACATCCATTTTGGATTTAAATAATTGACACTTGTTTCACAAACTGTTCGTCAACCGACATCGCGTTTACTTTTAAAGTTGGTTTAAGAGCGGAATTCATTACTTTAATTAATCAATTAAGTTTTATTATCTTAAAATTAAACACAGTGACGGCCATTGCTGAACTTACATCTGTGTTACCTTATTCGGCAGAAGGAAACCCTCTTTGCTTTGAGTGAATGGCATGCCACCTAGTCCTGACCCTCACTTTATTAATTGAATATTTGCGCCACGTTTGTTCATCTGCAATTCAACGAACCCACAGCTTTCGATTTATACCAGACAGGAGGTGCAAGAAACTAATGCCAGAAAGTGCGTGTCGAGACGAAAAACAGCGTCGACGGTGTAAAAAGGGCAAACCGGATGACTTTTTCCGACCAGACAAGACACCTAGGTTTCGTTAGGTCACATCCCAATTTCATCATTCATCCAATCATTATTACCTAATAATTCCTATTTTGCGTAATATAAAATTATTCAACTACGGTGGTTGACGGAGTCCGTTTTCTTCCATGCATGGCTTCCAACGAATTCTAACTCCTCCCTCAAATTCTTGTCAGGGCATTCGAACTCTCTACTGAAATGTCTAAGATTTAAAATTTCTTTAAAAAAAGAATTATCGTGTAATTCGAATCTAATAAATTTTCATATATTTTAAAAAATTTTAAAAAACTAAATTTTAATATAATTAATTATTGAATTAATATTGTTAATATAGTCAAATGTCATAAATATAAATAATAAAAAAATTTAATATTATTAATGATTAAATTAATATTATCAATTTTAAAAAATATATAAATTTAACTTTTATAAATTATTATACATAAATTAAATTTACTATTTTAATAGAGTATTAGAATTTATTGTATAGTTTTGACTGAATTTATTAAAAAACGATAAATCAACCTTCTAGCAGGAGACTATTGCTATTCCAATTTTGAGGGCACAAATTCAAAAGAAAAAAAATATAAAACTATTTCTACATGGTGATCATAATTCCAGCCGGCTAAAAGGCAAACGTTGAAAACTCAGACACGACAAAAAGAGAGGTAAAGGTTATTTTTGTATTTCTAAAGAAATATATAAATAATTAAAAAATGGGGGGAATAAAAGATAGCAATGCTTAGCACGTGTTTTGAAAAATATTATTATCTTACAAATACACATAATTAGAAGATAACAGAATAATAATTATAGAGATGTCATCGAGTATTTTATTATTAGATATTCGAAAATATTCAACTCGATTATGTAAAATTAAGATATTTTATATTTTAATTCGGGTAAAAAATTTAATCATAGAAGCCATTTGAGTCTATAATTAAGAATATAGTAATAATAAAAAAGTGTGCAAAAATAGGCGGCTAAATGGGAGAGAGAGAAAACGGTCGCTTTCCTAAGAGGCAGAAGGACAGAGAGAGAGATAGAAGTGGGAACACAACACAGCCTAGCCTGAGTTAAAACTAAAATGACACAAGCAAAAATCTATGACTCGTGACTCGTTCTCACTATCTGCCCCAACCAAATCCAACTATCCTCGTTACATAAATAGAATTCAGCACGAAAAGAATTTTCAGACCAAAAAATAAAGAGGAGAGAATTTATTTTCTCTCATCCAAGCTGCTAGGACTTCGTCTTTAGGTGATTGTATTTCGCTTGCTGAAGGTTTATAATTTCTGTTCATGGCCTTTTATTTTTTTTAATATATATTTTTTGGATCGTTTGACTTTTGTGAGATGGTGATGATGATGAGCTGTTCAGTGGAAATTTTTTGATTAGATTTAGCTTTATTTTTGGAGGAAATAAAACTTCATTTTAGTGAAACTGTTGTTTCTTTTTTTTTTTTTATTTGATTTGATCTGAAAATTCAAATTCAATGATGATTATTGTATTTGAATACAAGCAAATGAGAGTTTCGAATGTGTTCAAGGTTCAAGTTTGATGCTTATTATCATGATTTTTTGGTGGTAAAGGAAGGCGTAAAGCCGTAAATGATGTGATCTTCGAGAGGTTGGTTTAGGAGTGAGATATTGAAGAGAAAGACATGAGTTGCGGCTGTTTCCGTGGATTATTTGTTAACCGGGGACGGAACACCGATCAGGCCACCGGCGGTATCGACGGTGAGGATTCCGTTGAACCTTTTTTCTTTTTTTCCTTTAAAGTCATTGGATTTGAACATGCTCAAGTATTGTACTTTGGCTTGTTCTGTACGTTGGCAGAGCAATTGCTTGGGGGAGTCAACCATATCTCCTACAGTCAATTGAGATCAGCAACAGATGATTTTCATTCAAGCAATACAATTGGACGTGGAGGCTTCGGAACAGTTTACAAGGTGCTTGAAAATTACCTGAGGTTTATTTACCTAACCAAAGTAGAATTAATTGACATGTCTGACTAATTAGGGGAAAAGTTGAACTTGATGATGGATGTTTGAACCAACTGGTATAACTTCCTTTCAGTTTCCAATTTCTTTCTTACATTTTGGTATTCAGTCTTTTTCCTTTGCTTATAATTGATTTGAAAATACTAGTACTTCTATTGATATGAATCCAGGTCCCCCAATGCTTAATGGTTTGGCTTGAAATTGATTGCACAAAAGACATGGAACTTGGTGTCAGAAAACTAACAGGAAATATGAACTTAATTAACCAGAATTTGGCTTGAAGTTCTGACTTAAACTACAGCCTAGAACTAGAATTCCATGGATCCCTAAGCCCATATGCATTTCCCTTCGATTTTGGTTCCTCTGTGAGGGAATTTTAACATTCTGGCATTGGTATTGGAGGAACTCATTAGTGTCCTGCAATTACTGTCTAAGACATTATAATGAGTTTCTTTTTGTTCTTTTTAATGCAATAGCAACTAACTATACTGCAATGTTGCTAGGGAGTTCTGAAAAAAGGAGCTGAAGTTGCTGTGAAGACACTTTCTGCGCAATCAAAGCAGGGAGTGCGTGAATTTTTGACAGAGATCAATACCATATCAAATGTCAAGCATCCAAACCTTGTTGAGCTGATTGGGTGTTGTGTTGAAGGAACAAACCGGATATTGGTCTATGAATATGTAGAAAATAAGAGTCTTGATAAAATTTTGTTAGGTAAGATGGTCTGAAGTTCTTGTTTGAATGGTGACAATTGCATAACCTAATTGGTAGCTACACCCCTCCTATAAAGAATATGTAGAGCATATATACATTCTTTTTTATATATATATAATTGAAGGAGAGGGATTTGAACCATGTGCTTTAGACAGTAAGATAATGCACCAACCAATGAGCCAAATGCTCGGGTGCATATGTACATTCTTTTTGTGTCTGTGTCAATGAGAATACCGTGGAAGACTGAAACATCATTTTTCATTCCTTGTTGTTGCAGATCAAAGGAGTACAAATATCAAACTGGAGTGGAGCAAAAGATCTACTATTTGCTTGGGTATTGCTAGGGGTCTTGCATTCCTTCATGAAGAAGTTGTTCCGCACATAGTTCATAGAGACATCAAATCCAGTAACATACTTCTTGACAAAGACTTAAACCCAAAGATTGGAGATTTCGGGTTGGCTAAACTTTTTCCGGATAACATCACTCACATTAGCACCAGAATAGCTGGAACAACGTATGTCACTGCTTCTCTTTTTGCTCTTGTTCAAACATTACATAGGACTGCACCAACAGATAGGACTTTTTCTTTGGGTTTTTGTCGTTTGGCATGAAACCAAACTGGTGCTTACTTTGTTGCGTGCAG